GCTCGTTTACAGCTTATGCTTGCTTAGAAGCTAATGCATGTAAGATAACGGACAGGTTACAGAATCTCATGCACTTAGTTATGTCAAGTGCTGCTACTGGAGCGTAAGGCATATGTATATGACCTAATGTAAGCTAAGACAAGTTGTGTCTCTTGCTGAGATATCTTAGAATCCGGCAAATAGTTTCTCATATGCATAGCAGAACATAGTTGGTACTTTAGTTGATCTTGTGCTTGATGCATGTGTTTAGTGAATTAAGTTCAGTTTTAATACTCTCGTGCCCATGGGAAGAAGCGGGTATATTCGGGCGTCTTCTGCGTTGCTTTGTATCTGCAACTTTATAAAAATAAATATATTTAAATGTGTTCAGATCTAATAAGATAAAGAGTATATTCACACGATTATGTATATTGCAGATGGAGTCAACTTGGCCACCTTCCAGTCTAATTTCTTCTTTGACAACGTCGCCCAATAAAGAATTGTCGCTGTCTTTCAGTTGTCTTCTCTCCCCCATGGACAATCACTCTCAGCTAGCTACAGCTATATATAACAGCTATCTTTGTCTCACTCTGCCTCTTTGAGGACAGAGTTGAGAAGACGCCAACGCACGCGGATAATAACTACAAAAACAACTCTGTACAACTCTCAGCCGCAGACCAAGGCTACCGTTGGAGGCAATCATGAATTGGGAATTATGAAGTTTTGAATATGGCTATAAGGCGAAAATCTTTTCAATTTAACTGCTAACGAGTATGCATGCAGTCGTGGACGCCCCACTCTAAGCAACTTCATTGCTGGCTTTTGTTTATTGTCTACGATTCAACATTCAACTCAGCAAGCTGACTTTAAGCTATTCATTAGAAAGATAGATATGCCAGATGTTTATATATATATTTATATATGTATATATATAGAGAGAGAGAGAGAGAGAGAAAGAGTGAGAGAAAGATAGTTAAATAGCAGCAGCCAAGTCACTGGAAAACAAGTTTTGCTTGAACAAAAAGTTTCTGCTGCTCTGGCAGTTAGTGTATTCAACTGATATACAGTAGGGAGCAAAAGTGTTTCCATAGTTGACACTTTCAACTTTGTGAGTCGATAATTTCTAAACGAATGAAGCAAATCAAAAAAACTTTTTTTTCCAATAATATGTATTTAATTCTTAACAAATTGCCGTATATAACAAAAACAAAAGTTAATCAGTAAAATATTCAAACGAGGAAAACTGAAACAAAACGCATGTGTACAATTTTGCACCTTCCGATATTCTTACTTTGGTTTGATTTCTTAATTCTCTTATCGGCAATAGACATGCAGTTTTACCTTTATATGTTTTATTTATGCATTCTACACTTTTATGATCCAGAAATCCACGTGTTTCTTATTATTTGAAGTAGATTTGTTAATTTTAGCAATTAGTCTACAAAGTACCGCGAAAAAATGAAGAAGCGTTCGTCAGATGTTGAAAATAGTATTATTAGCCTAACTGAAAGTGGCTGTTCGACTCGTAGTACTTCAGATCAGCTTAATATTTTTCATTCAGCGGTGTCCGAAGTCCAGAAAAGACGCAATGGTACATCCAAAAACACTATTAAAGGCCGCAAACGACTCTTAAAGGACTCTGACGCCAGACTAATGGGAACTGATAAGTTCCTAACACCGAAGAAAGCATCTATGGACATAGGGAAAGACGTGAGTCGGCGGGTGGCTAGAAGAGCACTAGCTAAGGTTGGATATGTGGCAAGTATGAAACAAAATAAACCAGCTCTATCCGAGAAGAATGTCAAGGGTCGATTGAAATTCGCCCGGGAACACAAGAACTGGACTGTACATGATTGGAAACGTTTTATCTGGTCGGATGAATCCAAGTTCAACCGTTTTCAATCAAATGGCACGCAATACTATTGGCACAGGTCCGGGGAAAAGCTTCAAAAACACCATGTGAAGCAAACCGTTTAGCATGGAGGAGGCAATGTCAAAGTTTGGGGATGCTTTACTTGGTTACCATTGCATAAAATTGATGGTATAATGTTAAAAGAAGACCATCTCAATATTTTGAAAACCTGTCTACCCAATTTTTTGGACAAGTGTGCATACCCCGTAAAGGAAATCATTTTTCATCAAGATGGGGATCCGACGCACACTGCCAAAACTGTCCGCGAATGGTTACAAAACCAAGATTTTATGTTGATGGAGTGGCCAGCTAAAAGTCCCGAACTCAATCCGATTGAGAACCTGTGGTCAATCGTGAAGCGACGGCTCGGGCAATATCAATCAATGCCATCCAACCTAGACGATCTTTGGAAGCGTGTAGAACTGAAGTGGAACCGAGTTCCAAAGGAAACCATAGAAAAGTTGGTCGAGAGTATGCCAAACTGAATAAAAAATGTAATAGCTAATAAGGGCCTGTGGACAAAATATTGATTTAGAATCATATTAAATTTTTTTCACTGAAGGTGCAAAATTGTACACATGCGTTTTGTTTCAGTTTTCTTTGTTTGAATATTTTACTAATTATTTTTTGTTTTTGTTATATACGGCAATTTGTTAAGAATTAAATACATATTATTGGAAAAAAAAGTTTTTTTGATTTGCTTCATTCGTTTAGAAATTATCGACTCACAAAGTTGAAAGTGTCAACTATGGAAACACTTTTGCTCCCTACTGTATATATATATATATAAATATATATTTTCAAGGCATTACTTACAGCAAATTAATTTAATTATTAATATTTGCATAAGGCAACAAATGAATTTGAACTATTTGCTATTAGCTTTGATGAAATTCTTGCAACAGTTTTTTTTGCTGCTTTTATTTTTGCGAAATTCGAACTGGCAGCCGGCCAGGCCTGTTGGAGCTGCTGCTGCGGTCCAAATAGAAATGCGCTGAGAACTGTGCTTAATTAAAAATTGTAAGTGGCAGTAAATTAATTATAAAACGCAGCCAGCAAAGTGTTTGGCTTGCAGCAGCAGCGGCAGCAGCGGCGGCAGCGGCAACTCCACATGTGGGCGGCGACCACAAGGCATGGGCAGGCGCAGGTGTAGCAGTAGCTGCTGCTCTGTAGGCAGCTACTCACACACACGCACACACTTAACACATTTTACCTCGCGGTAGCTGTCAGCATTTTTAATTTCTTTGTGCATCAAAAGCAGCTCTGTTAATCAAATTTAAATTCCTGATTATGTTTGCGCCTATTTCGGCATGCCCGGGCGTTGGGCGTGGCCCTTTCAATACGGCATCTTAGAACTATTTTGATCGAGCTGCCGCAGGGCGAGAAATGCCACAGGAGCCAATTAACAATTCAGCATAATTTTAAGTGAAGCCTGTCAGAGCTGTGCAAGTGACACACGAGCCTAATGAATTGCCAACACACACACACACACACACCAGCACACACTCGCACACACACGTGTGCAAATGTAATTATTTTTAATTTATAAACAAAAACTATTTAAAAACTAATTCACTTCAAATGAAGTTGACGTGGCTTACAAATTGCGCAGTGCGAGAAAACAATGTTAGCAAATTATAGTCACTGCAACTGAGACTGCCTCCAGTTGGGAGTGCTCGACTATGGAATACCCTGAACGCCAGGCAAAGCTACTGCTGTGATCAGTCTAGACTGCTTGCTATATGCAGCATCAGCTCTGTTTATTCATCCATGGAAACTAAGAAGTAAATTTGAGGTCTCCAGCTCGTAGGGCCTTCAGCTTTTACTCTTTGATTTTGATTGCCAATTTGTAAGTGGAATGAGCTGTGGCCAGGTATTTTGCTGGGATTGCTGAAGGACAACTCAGCTGTTCAAGATCATATGATCAAACAAGATTAAGCCTATGTAGTTGTACCACGCCTCCTTCATCCAGGTCAACTTCTGCCAAGCCATGCCTTCCTCTAGTACGCCTGCTTCTAACACACCTTCCACTGCTTCGCCTTCTTCTGTCACCCACTCCTCTAGCACGCCTCCTTCTGACACCCCTCTCTCCACTGCGGCTTCTACACTCAACTCTCCTTCATCGCAACCTTAATCAACAATTATCTTGAAGACATTTTCTGAGGGAATTTCAATACGCTGCAAAATCTATTCATTCTAGCTCATCTCAAGCGAGTTTTTCGCTCACAATGGAATGAAAAAATTGAAAGTGAAACGCTGCGGAATTCCAGCTGCTGATAGTTGTGTTCACTGGCCAGTGTTGCATAGTGCGACTCGCTGACCGCAACTGTTGCAAGCTGTGTGCGAGGAAGCTGGCAGAGGCGCGGCAGCTGGCGGCAGTCAGTCAGGGATTTCTTTTGCTCTCGTCATTTGGCACAGATCGACAGCTCACCTGGCCATGTTGTTGTTGCTGCTTTTGAGTTGCTTCGTCGGGTCAGCGAAGCGTGCGGCCGATTGAAAATTTAATTTCCCGCTCGTGGCACAAACAAACTACAAGCTGCTAGCTGCCTGCCACGCCCAGCCGCCTTTTTTTTGTTGATGGCACGGCCAATGTATTTCCGCCATTTCAGCGTTTGCTCTGTTCCGTTTTCACTTTTCACTGGACTTCGATTTGGTTTTGCACGCTTCAACTGACGCGCTCTCTCTCTCTCTCTCTCGCTCAGTCTCACTCTGTCGTTCTGTCTCCCTCACTGGCGCTGTCTCACTGTCAGCTGAGTTTGTCTGTCGCTTGGCCTTGTTTATGGCTCTTCATTTGCAATAATCCAAATTGCCATGGCTACCACCAGTCGGTCCAACTACCCCAACTGTATTTCCTGTTTCAATTTGCTGATTTATTTATTGCCTCGGCCGACAGCGACCGGCGACAACAGCAACACACACACACACACACACACACACAGAGCCGCCCACTTGACTGATTTCCGTATTCTTGAAATGAGAAGCGAAAAAAAACACATTTTTTTGTCGATTCTATAACTGTAACTGTAACTGTAACTGTAACTGTATTTGTGCACCTGTATCTGTGTCTATCTAATTTGAGCTCCATCCGCTTTTTAATTCACCTGTGCAGGTCTCTCCAATCGGCCATTGGGTCCGCCACATCGCAAGAGCAGTCTACCAAAGCATCAGGAGGTGAAGCGTCGCTTCCTGCAAATTTGTGATACCAACTTTTCGGATGAGGTAAAGGCGGCACTGCGTCTGCCGGCGTTCGATTCGTATGAGTGGGGCGATGCCGATGTCATACACCTAATGCAGACCATGTTCCTTGAGCTCGGCTTCGTTGAGAAGTTCAGCATACCCGTCGACACGCTGCGCGAGTGGCTCTACGAGGTCTACAAGCACTACAACGAGGTGCCATTTCATAACTTTCGGCACTGCTTCTGCGTCGCCCAAATGGTAAGTGAAACAGGTCTATTGACTGTGACTTGAGTCTAAGCTACGACGAGCTCGACGAACTCTAGTTGACGCTATCCGCCTAGCAGCTACCCGACCTAGTTACAAGTGTTCAATTAAAGCTCGATATCTCGTGCAGAATCTGAGATAGACTAAGGTGGATAGACTAAGATAGACTGGGTGTTATCAGTGTTTATCGATGACTTGAAGCAAACTTTAACTGTTTGTGTTATACGAGAATCTAAAGACGAAGAGAGCGGCAGATAGATAGAACGGACGGAGAGGTAGGCGGACAAATGGACGGAGAAGCAGAGACTGACGGATGGACAGAAGGACAGACGGACGGACGGACAGAAAGACAGACGGACGCAGAGGCAGAGACAAAAGGACGGACGGAGAAGCAAAGGCAGACGGATGAAAGGAGAGGCAAACGGACAGACGGACGGAGGAGCAAAGACTAACGGTCGGACAGAGAGGCAAACGGACAGAGAGGCAAAAACTGACGGATAGACGGAGAGGCAAACGGACAGAGGCAGACGAACGGACAGAGAGACAGACGGACCCAGAGGCAGAGACAAAAGGACGGACAAAAATGCAGACGGACGGGAAAGCAAAGGCAGACGGATGGAAGAAGAGGCAAAAGGACAGACGGACGGACAGAGAGGCAGACGGATGGACAGACTAGCAAAGACAGACGAACGGACAGAAAGGCAGACGGTTCGAGACGGAGAGACAAACCACGCAGCGGCAGACAGACGAACGGACGGACAGAAAGGCAGACAGACGGAGGGACAGTTAGACAGGCGGCTAAAGAGGCCGTTGCCTGTCTATAGACAAAGCCATGTCGGCTCATAATCAAGAGAATATATATACGGAACCAGCCACGCCCACTTCTATCTGTTGCACACATATGATGCAAGCAATATACCCATTCGCTATGCAATCCAGGGCAAAAGAAGGATTTATGCCTAAGCACATATCAACTGTGCTTCCTCTGCCTAGCTGGCAACGCTCTGAAGGTCTCAAGTGTCAGAGAACTCACAAATAATTCGAAATGTTCAGCTTTCTTTCACTCGAGTTTCATTTGCTCTAAATAACTGGCTTCTGGGACTCTTCCATGTAATCTGTCAGTTTATTTATTCAAACCCAAATGCAGCTTAACTATTTATAATAACATAAATGCAAATGTCCTTTGGCTATGCCTTCGCACGTCCCACACCCAGAGCTCAGCGCCTCAAATTGAACTCAATTGTAAATTGTTTTAAAGAGATGCATTGAAATATGACTACATATATGTATGTATATATATATATATATATATATATATATATATGTGTGTGTTTATATATATATATATATAAGAAAAGAATGCCTCAGCTGGCTGCAATCAATATTTGCTATCTCCTTCTATGCGTGCGTGTGTTTGTATGCAGCTAAACAATGGACGCCGCGTTGTATGCAACAGAAAACGCCAAAGGCCATGTGAGGGTGTGTGTGTGTGTGTGTAAGAAAAGGCCTATTTATAGCTACTAGAACAAACACTCACACACACACACAAACTGCACATAAAAATAGCAACAACTGAAGAGCTAAAGAAATGGACGCGCCAAATGCTGCTCACTCCTCGCAGCAACAACGACAACAACAACAACAATGCTAGCAACAAGAGAAACAACAACTAGCAGACAGACAAACACACTGACTGGCTAACCGAAAAAAAACACTCGTCAGGCATTTGGACCAAGCGCAAGACAACAGCAAAAAAAAACCCAAAAAATAAAAAAAAAATTAAAAAGCAGGAAGCAAGCAGTTGAGCAGGCATAGCCGACACGCAAATACCCTATATATGCATAAAAATTATATATCATTTAAATATAAATAAGTAAGCTGAATATACAACTTAAAGTATATGTTACTGAACAGTCATATATATGCCTATAGCTTATAATTCTATATGCGTATATCTTTACTTTATTTCAATCAGTCAATCAAGCTTGATCGAGATTATTACGCGACTCTGCGCCTTAGGCAAACTGTATCAGCAGCAGTATAAACGCCTAACAACACTGCTTGCACGTTTACCAACACTACTATTTTTAGTATATTTAGTACACATAGAAAACAGAAAACAGAAAGTTATGCAATGCCAACTGTCTAGGTCAAGATAGGTATACCTATATATGAATATATATATTTATCATTTATCCCAATCGTCATGCCCATCTTAGTGTATATAAGCAGAGTTAACTAGTGGCTAGCGAATTCCAAATTCCGTTGGCCAAAATTCACAAAAAACAAAAAAAAAAAAAACAAAGCAAAGAAAACGCAGGCGGAGGCGACCCACTTAGATGCTCAAGTGCCAACGAAGCATTTTGCGAGCCGAGTTTTAACCTACATTTTTGCCAAATGAAACTTTCGCTCTTCATATATATATATATATATATATATATATATATATATGCCATACATATATATAGTTTATTTTGCTGTTATTTTGGGGCAACGATGAATTATTAATTTGCAGTTGTTAGTTGGCATCTTGAGCTTTTGGCTACCCGAACTTGACGCTAGACCACTTTAAAGGCGCAGTCATCGCTGCTCAAAGTTATCGATTAATATCGTTTGAAATGTACAAAATGAAATATGGGGTATAAAGAGTGCATGAAAGAAAAAGTGTTGGAAAGCGTTCATACATACAATGGAAAACAGTGTTGAGAAACGTTTTAGTTGAAACCTAATTGAAGTAGTGTTGGTAAGCAGTAGTAGTAGTAGCTAAAACAGTGCTGGTAAACATCAAAACTATGCTATGCCGAACTTCAGTGAAACTAGTATTGGTAAATTGTTATGTAAATGCACAATAAAGTCGTAGTGTTGGTAAGCGTTAATTTTGACATTCAATGACAATCCAACTGTATTGCAATAATATGTTGCTAAACGTTTATAAAGAAATCTGCCTAAATGTAGTGTTGGCAAACGCTTAGACTCAAATCTAGTGTTGTCTAAGAGTTCTACTGCTATTTAAGTACTTGCAGTGTTGGCTAACGATTATACATTAAGACTTAAATATGTTATGAAATCGAGTGTTGGTAAACGACAAGGCAATGTACGCCTTAAACATTAAAAATTTAACTGAATTCAACAACCAGTGTTGGAAAAAGTCGCTGAAAAAAGTAAAACTGAATTTCTGCATAGGAGAACATTGAACTTTAAGCCAGCTTTACTGTAGCTATAGATGTGCCATGTGGCCTTTGGCTTAACAACAGGCAAAACGAGAACTTAAAAAAAAATATTTCAACTTTTGACAACAAAAGCGCCCCGAAAAAAAAAAAACAGGAAAAAGTGGAAAATTTATGGAATACAGAACGGAAAAAGCGAAGAGCTGAAAGAGAATTGGAGATGAATATGGCCCGAAGGCTGCAAGGTTGCACGCAAGGCAAGCTGCAATTGTTTCACATGTGGCATGCCGCAAGCTCCTGCCACAAAATGCGCTCCCAGACTTAAGTTGAAAGCAGCTCACAGTTCACAGTTTCCCGTTCACAATTCGCAGCTCCCAGCTTACAGCTCACAGCTCACAGCTCACAGCTCACAGCTCACAGCTCACAGCTCACAGCTTGCATCTTGCCTTCGCTCTGTTAGCTGCCAAATAGTTAAAGGTGGGCGAGTCTCTAACTACTCACAATTCGGACACTGAGCTTTTTAGGTGGCCACACAAAAGGACAACAATTGTTATTGTTGCTCTTGTCGTTGGAGCGCAACAATGGAATGCATTAAACATGCGACATCGATAGACGATAAGCAATCGATTATTTAAATAACATTTGTGCTGTAGGCTTGATGACTCATGCGGCTGCAAATGCTGAAACTCATAAGCACTGATGGCCTACAAGATACCCTAGTCAAGTGGAAACGCTGATAGGCGAGCAGATGCCCTCAGCAGTTCCTATGATTTCATGGGGCACAAGTGAAGACTTGTTGTCCTAACATTCACTGAATGCCGAAAATCATATGCACTGATGTACCACAAAATACCCTAGTCCAGACTCACCTTACCATACCATAGCATTCCTTGCTATATCAGTCTATATAAGCTATATAAGTCAAGACAATCAAACATACCTTATACCAGTCCACATCATGTTGCACAATTAAAGACTTATTCAAGCATTCTGCAAATAAACAAGTCATATGCACTGCTAGACTAGAAGATACCCTCACCAAAATATACATCTAGTATTCACAGAACATTACAATACCAGTCTATATCACGGGCCACAACTGAAGACTTCTAATTCAAACATTCCGCAAAAACTCAAACTCATACACACAGATAGACTAGAAAATACCCTCACCAAGATATACGTCTAGTTATTAACCTACAACTGGCACAACTGTTAACTTGTTGCCCATCGAGTTAGCGCATACCCTAGCCGATCTACCCAGTGTGTATGAGACTACTCTGTGCTCACAAAGCATAAATATAGTTTCTATAGTTTTCTTTCTGCCATTTTTGTACATGTGGATCTTGATCTAAATCCCCGAGCCCCTGTGCACTTTCACCAGCTTAACTTGTCGGACAGCCCTCGCCAGCTAAACTACAACATGGCCGCTAGACCCGTCTGCATATGCGTTCGTCTGTATTTTACAATTCAATGGGCGTCCATTTGCATAGGCACTCATGTATGTATGGTCCATGTAATTTCTCTATCTACCCATCTCTCTCCCGCTCTATTTATTGTATATATATATATATAGCTCTCTCTGTCTGACTCAGTCTCTACGGACAGGATACAAACAGCCGTTAAGCGGCTTTCGCTTTTGCCTTCCTGTCATATACAACAACAATGCACGAATACAAAAAAGTATGCAAAATAAAATAACAAAATCAAGTATGCTTGCTCGACAAATACCCTGTAAAAGCTATGCATTTCACTAGGAATACAGAAATGTAAGATCTAGTTTTAGCGCTGATCTGTTTAGATCAGATCTGGATGATGATCGCTGAACTAGAAGTTTTTCTTTAAGTAAAGCTTTAACTGAGCTTTAAGCTGCTAGAAACTTGACTAATTCTTCTAATTCTTCAGGAATATATATATGTGTATACAATATATATATATATATATATGTTACAAATGCTAAAACTTTTTGCTTGGCTCTAGACTGAGTTTCACGCTTTCAACTTCGTGACAAATGGGAAATTGGAAAAAGTAAAGCAAGAAATGGGCGCTACACGATAAATATTTCTCGGAAATACCCAGTGCTCAAAGCTTAAAGCTTCGCTATGCAAAGATACCCTGCTCTATGTGGAAGCCACTCAGCCTTTCAGATGCATGCTCCATGGAAGATATACTTCATGCAGTCTGCTACTGAATATACCCTTCTTGGGAATGGCCAACCATGAATTGCAGGGTAAAACCAATAAATGTCTGACTGAGCTATTGAGCTGACAATGGGCCCAGTTGGCGTTTGGAGAGCAGCACACACACACACTCGCACATACACACACACACACGCACATTGCTACAAAGTGTTTTTATTTTTTCAGCTTTTTTCCTTACTATTTTTTTCGTTACCAAATGAGCGACGCATCAGCTCAGCTTTTCATTAACAAAGTGCAGTTTGCCAGTTGCCAGTTGCCAGTTGCCAGTTGCCAGTTGCAAGTTGTAGTTGATTTCCTCGGGGTGTTGACGCTGCAAAACTTTTGCGAGTGTTGTGAATGGCTGTCGGGCATTGTGGCGGGGCTGGGGCTGGGCGATGGGTTTTTGTGGGTTGAGCTGACACTTTCCACATGGTCGTTCCGTCTGTTTGCTGACAATGAATTTAGATAAACTTGCGAAATTCGAAATGCAAACAGCATTTGCATTTGCATAAATTTATAGCACCGACTGACGACTGACGACTGCCGACTGCCGACTGCCGCCTGGCCGTCGCCCAGCCGCGCTTTGTCACGCCCGGTAAAGATTTTGCATTCGCACAACGCTGCTTAATGCCAAAGTAAACGCAGCGGCGACGACCAAAAACTTGTGCAGCAGCAAAACTTAAGCGAGCCCTCAAGCCCCATATAGATGTATACCCAATACCAGATTCCTCAACTGCTCAACTCCTAAGTCCCTACCCCTTTACCCCCGTTCCTAGCGCAGTGCAACTTTGGTGCGCTAAGCAAACTTTGCGCTGCTTTTGTATTTCAAAAAGCTTAAATTGAACGCTGTTGAAATTCCTTAAGGGTCTCTTAACCAACCAGCACACCCACACTGCCCCACAACCCCCACTGCTGTCGCTCTGCGGGCTGCCGAGTGCTGCTCTAGTAGCTGCTGGTAATTGCAAAGGTTTCGCAGCCGTTTGCAGCGGACAAATTAAGTTGCCTTTCAGCTTTACCTTGCCCGCTGCCGTTACGTTACCTTTGCGAATGGCTGCTGCCGCGCCGCGCCAAGTTTAAGCATCAAATGTGATTTGGCTTAATAGCTTGCAACATTAAAAGTGCGCTCGCTGCCGACGACCAGTTGCATTGGCCTTCTTAAATATATTTAGAAAACCCCTCGCCGCCAAGCAGCCCTGCCACTTTCTTTAATTAGCCAAATTGAGAGACAATTCAAGACAGAGAGTGAGTGTTAAAGACCGAGTCTGGGAGAGAGAGAGAGAGAGAGAGAGAGCTAAAATTAATGATAGAGCGGGTAACGGCTTTGGCAACTGCAACTTCAGTTGACAGCAGCCCAGCAGGTCACAGGCCACATACGATACCCTTTAAAAGCATGCAAAAGGAGGCTTACTCTATATATATATATGACTCATGTCTCTGCTCTCAGCCAGACTAATTTGACAGCGCCTAATTGCACTCTTAGCGCAACCAACTAAGAGCAGTACGAAGTCGAAGAACGACTTGAGACTTAGAGTTTTTTGTAATTTTATATTGAAGCTAGAGCGTTGCCAACTTAGCTGCAATTTTAAATTACTTGAGCCATAGACCATAGGCCATTATGAACTTGATGTGCCTTCAAGGAGGTATCAGATCTATTAAATTGTAAACATTAATCAAGCGCTGAGGTCTAAGACGATTCATGATCAAATGGCAAGGCTTATGCAATAAAGGCAGAACTAAATGTTATCGATAACTTAAGCAGTTGCAGAAATATAGTTATCGCAAAGATAACGTTTGACAATGGCTTGAGAGACAGTTGCTAGACAACAACAGAGATACTAGAAGAGTGAGGCTGATCCATGCTGATGTCAGTAAGACTCGTTAGGTACCTCTTGAAATGTTAAATGTTATCGATAACTTAAGCAGTTGCAGAAATATAGAGACAGTTGCTAGACAACAGCAGAGATGCTAGATGAGTGAGGCTGATCCACACTGATGTCAGTAAGACTCGTTAGGTACCTCTTGATATGTTAAATGTTATCGATAACTTAAGCAGTTGCAGAAATATAGAGACAGTTGCTAGACAACAGCAGAGATGCTAGAAGAGTGAGGCTGATCCACACTGATGTCAGTAAGACTCGTTAGGTACCTCTTGATATGTTAAATGTTATCGATAACTTAAGCAGTTGCAGAAATATAGAGACAGTTGCTAGACAACAGCAGAGATGCTAGAAGAGTGAGGCTGATCCACACTGATGTCAGTAAGACTCGTTAGGTACCTCTTGATATGTTAAATGTTATCGATAACTTAAGCAGCTGCAGAAATATAGAGACAGTTGCTAGACAACAGCAGAGATGCTAGAAGAGTGAGGCTGATCCACACTGATGTCAGTAAGACTCGTTAGGTACCTCTTGATATGTTAAATGTTATCGATAACTTAAGCAGTTGCAGAAATATAGAGACAGTTGCTAGACAACAGCAGAGATGCTAGAAGAGTGAGGCTGATCCACACTGATGTCAGTAAGACTCGTTAGGTACCTCTTGATATGTTAAATGTTATCGATAACTTAAGCAGTTGCAGAAATATAGAGACAGTTGCTAGACAACAGCAGAGATGCTAGAAGAGTGAGGCTGATCCACACTGATGTCAGTAAGACTCGTTAGGTACCTCTTGATATGTTAAATGTTATCGATAACTTAAGCAGTTGCAGAAATATAGAGACAGTTGCTAGACAACAGCAGAGATGCTAGAAGAGTGAGGCTGATCCACACTGATGTCAGTAAGACTCGTTAGGTACCTCTTGATATGTTAAATGTTATCGATAACTTAAGCAGCTGCAGAAATATAGAGACAGTTGCTAGACAACAGCAGAGATGCTAGAAGAGTGAGGCTGATCCACACTGATGTCAGTAAGACTCGTTAGGTACCTCTTGATATGTTAAATGTTATCGATAACTTAAGCAGTTGCAGAAATATAGAGACAGTTGCTAGACAACAGCAGAGATGCTAGAAGAGTGAGGCTGATCCACACTGATGTCAGTAAGACTCGTTAGGTACCTCTTGATATGTTAAATGTTATCGATAACTTAAGCAGTTGCAGAAATATAGAGACAGTTGCTAGACAACAGCAGAGATGCTAGAAGAGTGAGGCTGATCCACACTGATCTCAGTAAGACTCTTTAGATACCTCTTGAAATGTTAAATGTTATCGATAACTTAAGCAGTTGCAGAAATATAGAGACAGTTGCTAGACAACAGCAGAGATGCTAGAAGAGTGAGGCTGATCCACACTGATGTCAGTAAGACTCGTTAGGTACCTCTTGATATGTTAAATGTTATCGATAACTTAAGCAGTTGCAGAAATATAGAGACAGTTGCTAGACAACAGCAGAGATGCTAGAAGAGTGAGGCTGATCCACACTGATGTCAGTAAGACTCGTTAGGTACCTCTTGATATGTTAAATGTTATCGATAACTTAAGCAGTTGCAGAAATATAGAGACAGTTGCTAGACAACAGCAGAGATGCTAGAAGAGTGAGGCTGATCCACACTGATGTCAGTAAGACTCGTTAGGTACCTCTTGATATGTTAAATGTTATCGATAACTTAAGCAGCTGCAGAAATATAGAGACAGTTGCTAGACAACAGCAGAGATGCTAGAAGAGTGAGGCTGATCCACACTGATGTCAGTAAGACTCGTTAGGTACCTCTTGATATGTTAAATGTTATCGATAACTTAAGCAGTTGCAGAAATATAGAGACAGTTGCTAGACAACAGCAGAGATGCTAGAAGAGTGAGGCTGATCCACACTGATGTCAGTAAGACTCGTTAGGTACCTCTTGATATGTTAAATGTTATCGATAACTTAAGCAGTTGCAGAAATATAGAGACAGTTGCTAGACAACAGCAGAGATGCTAGAAGAGTGAGGCTGATCCACACTGATCTCAGTAAGACTCTTTAGATACCTCTTGAAATGTTAAATGTTATCGATAACTTAAGCAGTTGCAGAAATATAGAGACAGTTGCTAGACAACAGCAGAGATGCTAGAAGAGTGAGGCTGATCCAAACTGATCTCAGTAAGACTCGTTAGATACCTCCAGAGTCTTGCTTGAAGAGACTTTATATCTAGCTTCTGTTAGCTAATCAATTTCAGCAGTTATGCTAAGCAGGTACATGTAAGTGATGTTAGTAAGGAGTGTCCGACGAGGGTTTACCCTAACAATGTTTTTAGCTATAAGCTTGAAAGTCTTCAACTGTTGGCAGCAAGTTCAACTGTGTCGTTGGGCTCTTGCCATTGGGCTAATTGCTCACTTGCAGGATATCAAATTGGAGTATTAAATAACAATTTCTTTAATTTGCTTGCAGATGTATGCGATTACACGCCAAGCGAATTTACTAAATCGTCTGGGCGATCTGGAATGCCTCATCTTGCTCGTGTCCTGCATTTGCCATGATCTCGATCATCCGGGCTACAACAACATCTATCAGATCAATGCACGCACCGAGCTGGCACTCAGGTAAGGGGCACGCTTGTACGATAGATATATATATATATATAAATATATATATGTTCGATTTACCAACAGATATAACGATATCTCGCCGTTGGAGAACCATCATTGTTCGATTGCATTCCGTTTGCTGGAGCATCCCGAGTGCAATATATTCAAGAACTTTAGCCGTGACACATTCAAGTGAGTATTGCCGCTATGAAAGTTGTTCAATCTGGGGCTGTGTGGGCGTGGCCATGGGGATTGGGGATTGGATCAAATGCGAGTTGGCAGCCAGCAATTTAATTGCCAACTTTGCTTGAGTCCATTTTATGCGCGGCACGTACAAAATGATGTTGCATTAAACGTCGGCACCGTTTGCCGTTGCTCTAATTAACACCCAACATGGACGCCGTGGACAACATGGGCAGCAGCTGCAACAGCTGCCGCCTGGCCGCCTGGCCACCTGCCAGGCTTATCGATTTGCTGCTCAGCTCAGCTGAAGCAGTTAGCTCCATCTCGCTCGCTCCCTCCCTCCCTTTCGCTCTCTCTGTCTTTCTCTTTCTCTCGCCCGCTCTTTGTCGCTGCTTGAGCTTATTGCATTCCATGCAGTTGTACGCGGCACTCTTTTGTCGCCCGCTGACACGGCGAGTGGACATCAAAATACAAACAGCATGCAGCAGACGACTGTAGGCAAGTGGGCGGCTGGGCGGCTGGGCAGGTGGGCCAATAGCAAACAGATTTAATGCTCACAAAATGCAGTTAAGCTGCTTTTTAAAACGAAAAATCGCGCATTATTGTGAAAACATTTTTGCGCGAACTCAATTTTGATTCGCATCTGTTCGGCATTTCAATGCGAATACTATAGAAGAAGACTTTTTCTTGTTGCTCTTCATATTTGTTCTCAGCTTCTATCGATTCATTTAAGCCATAATAAGAGTAGTCTGCTGCAGTTGTGCAGCTTTAAGCTGTTAGCTCTCTCTCTCTCTCTCTCTCGCTCTCTTCATAACTGCCTTGCTCTGTCTCTACTACTCAAACTGTTTCTGCTTAACTTTCTCTCTTTCTCTTGCTCTCTTTATCTCCAACTGTATTCTCTTTCTATATTCATTTTCCCTCTGTCTCTCCCTTCGACTCTTTTACTTTATCTTTTTCTGACATCTTTCCTTTACTCTCTTTCTCTCTCACTCTCCCATTTCCTTGTTCTGTTGTCTCCTATTGCTTCTTTTGCTTATTTCACTTTCCACCCGTTGGTCTTCTTCTTACTCTTCTCCACATATCTCTCTCTTTCTCTATATTAATTTTCCCTCTGTCTCTCCCTTTGACTCTTACCTCTTTCCTTTACTCTCTCTCTCTCTCACTCTCCCATTTCCTTGTTCTGTTGTCTTCTATTACTTCTTCTGCTTATTTCATTTTCCACCTTTTGCTCTTCTCCTGCTATCTCTCTCTCTCAGCATCTCTCTCTCTCTCTTCTGCATCTATATTTGCCTCACTCTTGCTCCTTTTCCCCTTTATCCACTTCTCTCCTCTTTCTATACCCTCTCCCTTCCACCTATTCCCTCTCATTCTACACCTTTCTTTTCCGCTACTCTTTTACCCTCACTTCCTCTTTCACCTCTTTTCATCAATCTAAAGCCTTCCTCTACGCCTGTATCCCTAGCTCTTTCTATTCTGATTTACCATTCTCAATAGCTCAATCTCCTTCTCTGCCTGTATTCACCTTTCCTCTCTCTCTATCTCTGTGCCCTCTTCCACTTCTCTTGTCTGCTGTTAACCTAGCTCAACATTTCATCTCGTCCCCTTTTAACGGCTCTTTATCTTGATCTGCATTCCATCAGAAGCACCCTCTCTTTGGCTTCATCCCTCGTTCTCTTTCTGCCCTTAACTTAGCTGTCGTCGTCACATTCTTTAAGTTCTGCCATAACTTCTTTTGTATTTGATTATTTCAATCAGTTGTCAGCGCTGCCTTAACAGGCTTTATCCAATTATTTATTTGTCCAATTAGGAATGCAGCTCGAATTCCGCATTTACATGAATCCATATAACAATTATGAACAATGCCCGATCCGATTCCAGGTTTCATGCTGGACGCTCGCACTCGCATTTTGAATTCTCAAATTGCAAATCGCAAATTGCATTCAACATGTCATCGTTGATGGGAATGCGTAAAAATATCGCATTTCTGGCGCACAATACAAAGCATAGCTCGCCCACACACACGCTGGTTGAGTGCTTGTCGATAATTCTTGATTGGACAATGGCTAAATTCTAGGTCTGCAGCCCGATGCCAGCATGAATTCTAATCAGATAGACCATGGCGCTATTTTGATGCAAATTGATGCAGTCATTGGTTGACAGCGCATTCCAGGGCATTACACAGCGAGAAATATTGTGAGCCAACTTTGCTTTAGCCCTAGTCGAAGGAGCTCCATTTGCATCATGTTGTTTTCTTCTCAGCGCTTTTAATGGAACCGTAAACTGTTGCTCATACCAATTAGCTGCCGACCCTCGGCGTTGGCTACTTTAAGCTTATTATACCCTCTGAGCAGTGAAGTGAGGTGAAGTGGGCCCATCGCGTCCATCTGCCATCGGGCCATGGCCAGCTACTAGTCGTGCTTGGCTTTTGGCTTTGGCTTTTGATTAATTGGCTTAATTCCTGTGTTGTGTGCATAAAGCGCACTTTCAGTGCTCGTTGCAATGCATTTATATTACAAAATACAGCAAACATTAATTAGCTGGCTTAGCTGCAAGGGAAAATGTTTTTCACATTGAATTGCCAGCAGACGTAAGCTGCGAGGGCGGCGCCACCAGTAGCCGAACTCTCAAGGAGTACAGGGCACTACTCGGCATGCGACATCGTTTCTACTTTTACCTTTAAGCCAGGCCCTTGCGTATGGCATCAGTCAACTCATCAGAGCCGAGGCGGGAGGCATCTCCACAGCCTCTGCTGCAGCTTCTACCTGCTTGCCAGGCTTGCCAGGCTTGCTCACTTCTGACTAATCTATAGCTAGCTGGCTTAAGTTTCGGCTTGAGCCCTTCGACTCATTGTCTCTACTGAGAACTCTTCAGTTCTCTTTGAGCTACATTTGTGCTGCATTCAATAGCAATGCCTCCTCTCTCCTGCGGGCACAGACTACCCGACCACAGTTGAGTTCAAGTCCAAACCTATTTCTAATGAAAGCCATATCAATCGCAGTCACTGCCTAAGAAACCTTTGGGTTGGCAAACATGGCAGACTGGGAACTTGTGGAACGACTCTCGCATAGCGGCCAAGACGTGGCCCATCATCATCATTAGCAGCAGAATTATCATTGGGTTTCGCATTAGCATTAGCATTATCATTATCGTCATCAAAAGCCGCGGAGAGGGCGTAGGAGAAAGGACTTTTGCTCCACTGGCGAACCGCACTCCGACTGTGGCACGTTCGAGAGTCCCAGCGTTGGGCGCCTTCACGATGTTTTGCTGCCAAGTTTGCGTGCATAAACTGATGCATACTTTTGGGAGTTTCTGATGGCAAAACTTGCCAGAATGCCACATGCACGCTAGCCTTGAAAATGTTATGCAACAGCAACAGCAGCAGCAGCAGCAGCAGCAGCAGCGCCAGCCAAGAGTGCCGAGAAGTTGCCAAACGATGCCACATGATACTCCTTGCCTATTTGTACACTGTCTAACGGAGCATAAACATGCCTGCAGTCAATATCACATATTGTTTATGCACTCTACTCTCCCCTCCCCCTACCCCACTCTCCCACACTCCCTTTGCGAGTGAGTCTGCTATTGGCAGGCATTACCATGTTGCCATAAGTAATAATCAACTGGGAATCATCCTGCCTCTGACTAACTACTATCTACTATCTACTATCTACTATCTACTATCTACTATCTACTATCTACTATCTACTATCTACTATCTACTATCTACTATCTACTATCTACTATCTACTATCTACTATCTACTATCTACTATCTACTATCTACTATCTACTATCTACTATCTACTCTCTACTCTCTACTCTCTACTCTCTACTCTCTACTCGCACACCATAAGTAAATGCACACTCGAGGTCAAGGGTTTTCAAAATTTCAAAGCTTTACTCAGCTGTATTCTCTGCACAGGAGCCGTAAAATGATTTTTCCGGCTACCAGATGCGACACTTGTCCGGCGGATGCATGGGGCTGCCCGCCTTGCAGTTGAAGGCCTCAGCGAATTCAGGAAAGTTGCCCAGAACGTTGTTAACACGTTCCGCATGCGATGCGTGATGCTGCCCGCCGCTAGATGGCGCCACAGCCTGTCCGCACCAATTCTGTGCAAAGGCGACAAAAAATGGACGCATCGTCGCGTTGGTCGACTGCTGCTCCTGTTGCTGCACGCGATACGCCTCGTAGGCCAAACGCAAGCCCTCGCTATCCGCAATATTCTCATTGATGGTCAGCGTGGCATTGCTGTAGCGTGTGCCCAAATAGCAGCCAGCTCGCAGGCCGAAGCGTATGATGGCACGCGCCGGCCATTGGCCGCCAGCCACGCGTCCGGCTGCATCGTAGTTGATGCCATCGTAGTCGAAGCCATGGATTAGCTCATGTCCGATCATATAGCCCAGGCCGCCCATCAGCTGAGCAGCCGCCTCCTTCGGTCCACAGTTGGGCAGCAGTGGCGGACGCAGCAGGCCGAGCGGCAGCTCGATCGCATTCAGCTTCAGCCGGTAGTAGACGTTGACGTCCAGTGGGCCGATCGAGCGGCCCGTCCATGCCACGGCTGATTCACAGGGCAGCTGCAGGCATTGCAGTCCCAGCTGAAACTCCGCCTCCGACTGGGCGCGTGACGAGTGCAACAGATTCGAGTCGTAGCTACGCGACTGCAGCACACGCTGTGGCGCCTTGGCCAATTGTTGCGGCAGCGATGACGGCGAGAGCAGCAGGCGCATGGCGTGCAGCTTCTGCAGCGCCAACGTCTGCGTCGCTGCGTCCTGTTCGAATATGGGCGTGGCATCGAGCAAACGTTGGAATTGCGCCTTGAGTGTGCCGAACAGCTGCTGCAGCTGCTGCTGTGTGCGATTGAGAAACTCTGTGGCGGCCGCATCGCTGCCGTGCAGCAGGCGCAGTTGCAGCTGCGACAATTGCTGCGGCATCAACTGATTCAGCTGCTGCAGGCAATGCTCACGCTGAGCGGCCAGCGACGTATCCTCATGCAAATGCAGCTCAAAGTGTGCCGGCAGCTGCAGCAGCAGCCAGCTGGACAGGATCCAGGGGTCGGCCAGTCGTAGCGTATGTTGCAAGCGCTGCAAGTAGTTCGTATCCGCGACGAGCAACAGTTGCGTCGTATAATGTTCGCCCAGCAGCATTTGAAAGTAGTCGAGCAACTGCAACTGCGGCAGCTGTGCGGCCAACTCCTGCAACGTTTGCGGCGCGTGCAACACAAGCTTTTGAGCCGTCTTTGGCACCAGCTCACGCAGCTGCCGCTCAAAGCCGACCAGCTGCTCGGCCAGTGCGGCGGCCCGACGCACACGCAGACCCAGCTCCAGCAGCAAATACTTGAGATAGCGTTGATAGAGATATTCGCTCTGCTCAGTTGCGCCCAACAGGTCGAAGCTGGGCGGCAGCAGGTAGAAGACGCGCTGCTCGTCTGCCTGCCAATTGGGCTGCACCGAGAGGCGCCACAAGCCTTGGGCGCCGAAGCGTCGCACAGCCGCATTGCCGCGCGCCCAATCGAAGCTGGTTGCATTGTTGAGCAGCGGCCAATCCGGCAGCAGCTGCTGCACAGCATCCATATAGACATGCACCGACTGGCGGCCATTCATGCAGCTGCCATAGAACGTGGCCAATTGATCAGCATCCGCTTCCTGTTCGCCATTCAGCTCGAAGTGGCGCACCAGCAGCTGCTTGTTCATGGCCCGCAGCTTCGAACGCATGTCGTGGGCGCCCAGCGATCGTTGGCCATACGGCGCATGCCAATTGCCACAGGCATGCTCATGGAAATTCTCGCAGGGCGCTTTGCTAACGTCCATGGCCTCCGCTGCCTCCGACACGTCACAGCTGGCGGCGTGACTCAGGCTGAGGATCAGCCCAATGAAGAGTAGCAGCAACTGCCAATCGTTGCACGTTGCCATTCTGACTTTCTCCTCACTCTATATGCTAGTACGGTCCGAGCTAAACTGCGGCTGAGCTGAGCTGAATCGGAGCTGTTTGGCTGCCAGCTAAACAGCTGATAAGCCCTTGCTGATAAGCTCTGACATTGAGAGCGCTTTACGCAATGCCAAATCATTGGCGATTGGGTTAGTAAATGTTGATGCGCTGACAGCTAACAGGCAGTCCACAGCGAGGGCTGCCACAAAAGTTGATGCGCAGCTCGCCAATCGAAGATAATCCATAGCCCTAGACTTATCAATTGATGATAACTGTTTAGTTGATGAGAAATGATTGATTGATTGATTGATTGATTGACTGATTGACTGATTGACTGAAGTTTAACTATTAATCAATGAGTGTTATGCTAGGTGATTGATGAACTGATTTACTAAGTAATGTAGTGATTGATACAGTGACTGATTGACTGTGATTAAGATCATGATTGAACTGACTCAATACAAGTGATTGACTAACTGAACTACTAAGTAATGAATGATTGACTGCGATCAATCAAGTGATTGACAGTATGATTGATAAACTCATTCACTAATAGACTAGTGACTAGTGACTTATGATTGACGTGCTGACTTGTGATGACTGATTCACTGATTGACTGATCAAACAAGTGATTAACAGCACGATTGATGCGCCGATCAATAATAGAGTAGCTCGCCAAATGATTGATTCACTGATTGACTGTAATGAATCAAGTGATTGACAAATCTGCCGAATGATTGACAGACTAACTTACTGAATGACTTAAAGACTGGCTTACTGATGTAATGATTGATTGATTGACGGACTGTTATCAGTAATGATTGATATATTGCTGAATGATTGATTATCTAGCTTTTATTGATTGACATTCTAGCTTACTGAATGATGTAATGATTGATTGATAGATTGATTGATTGATTGATTGATTGACTGAGCATTTGATTTGCTCAATGATTGATGGGCTGACTTAATATATGATTGATTGACAGTTTGGTTTGTGATTGATTGACTGACTGACTGACTCTTTTACTGATATCAATTGATTGATGGAGTGATTGACATATTTACTAAACGGTCATGAGCTAACTTAATATATGATATAATGATTGACTGCTATCAAATGATTGCTCGACTCACTGACTGTCAGACTAACCAAATGATGAACTTATATACCAAATGCTTGACTGACTGATTGATTGGATAAAAAATACCTGGAACATCTCAGGTAAATTGGCATTAAACTCAGCTTGGATTTGTCTATTCAAGCTGCTTAAATTGGCATCTCAAGCTCGATTTCCTTTCCATTTTCGAAATGTCAGCAATAATTATTCTGGGAACTCCTCACAAGAAATCACAACTAAATGACAAGCCACGCCGAGCGCCGGAGAAGCAAACGAAATAAAAATACGAAGCGCTTGCTTGGCTCCGGGCATCAAGTCGAGTGCATAAAATTCGCTTCGCTCTATTTGCCGCTGAGGCGTGGCAGGTGTTGGAAGTTTGCAGTGCAGTAACTCAAGTGCCGCACACACACGCCGAGCGCTGCAGCTGCAACGACTGTTGACTGGCTGTTTGTCTGTGCACAACGTCAATGCCACTTGACACGACAAAATTCAATTTTCTGCTCGTATATGACGCGACTTTTGCACATTTTTCATTTTCTTTGAAATAAAAATAAACGAAATGCAATTTAATATTTACGCGCCGCATGCTGCTTAGTCTGCAACGATTCTCATCCACTCGCTCGCTCGCTCTCCCTCTCCCTCTCCCTCTCACTCTCGTGTTCCGTTCTGTTTGCCCTGAATGTCAAAATATATATTTTTCGCTTTTTTTCCGGTTAGCAGCGCGCAGCTCAAGTCTAGAAAGGGGCAAGCGGGGGGTATATACACGCAGCCAGGGTAAACAACACACAGAACATGGCGTATACGCAATGTGCAGCCAAAAATATTACGTATACGCCCGCCTGCCTTCCGCACGATTGGGCTTAGCGCCAGCTTTAAGCGCGTTTTTCGCTCTAGCTGGGAACCTTATCGAAATCTTTGCTATTCTCCTTGCAGCACCATACGGGAGGGCATCATTCGCTGCATCCTGGCCACCGACATGGCACGTCATAATGAGATACTAACGCAGTTCATAGAGATTACGCCCATCTTCGACTACAACAATCGTGCGCACATCAATCTGGTAAGTGCAGGCGCAGCTAAACCAGATATATATATATATAATATATATATATATATATTTGCGATATCCTTGGCAGCTGTGCATGATACTCATCAAGGTGGCCGACATCTCGAACGAGGCACGGCCCATGGACGTGGCTGAGCCGTGGTTGGATCGGCTGCTGCAGGAGTTTTTCGCACAGAGCGCCGCCGAGAAGTCGGAGGGGCTGCCGGTGACACCATTCATGGACCCCGACAAGGTGAGCAAGCCCGGCTCACAGGTGCGTTTCATTGGACTAGTGCTGTTGCCGCTCTTCGAGGCGCTCGGCGAACTGGTACCAGAGCTCACAGAGCTAATCATTATACCTGTGCGCATAGCACTCGAGTATTACAGGTGAGTAGTTGTTGCCGCTCGGCAAGGCATGACAAAGGAAAGTGAACAATTTTTTCTTTTTTTTTTTCGATCTCACAGACGCTTGAACGATGCACAGACTAAGACACGCAAATCGGTTGCCGACAGCAATGCCTCGGCCACGTCGGACAGCAACAGCGGCAACATGGACTCAAATGCAGCCATGGCCAGCACGCCGGGCCACAATACGGCCGACAAGCTTTTGATGGACAACAATAAGGGGGGCTCAAATGCAGGCTCTGGTGCCGGTGCTGGTGGCGGTGGCGGTGGCGGGGCAGCTGGTGCTGGCGGCGGTGGCGGTGGCAGCGGCAGCGGCAGCGGCGGCGGCGGCGGCAGCAGCTCACCTCAAATGCCGCGCTCTGGCTCCGCCATCAGCGTCAAGTCACGCCGCAGCATACCCTCGCAGAAGTCGGCATCGCGCACCTCCGTGGATGAGCCAGGCGGCATGGCCGCTGAGCTGCACGATCTACCCGAGGGCAGCGAAAGCGGCGACTCGGAAACAGCCACCGAAGTGGATGTAAGTTCAAGCACAATAAGTAAGAGCAGGAAATGAGGAAGGACGGACAGACGGACAGACGGACACAAACAAACCTAGCATAAGAAATGCAAGAAAGAAAAAAAAAACAAAAAGCCAACAATTTCCTTTACCCACTTTCCCAATGTTCTACCCACTGCAGGTGGCTGAGAAGACATCCAAGTTCAAGGTGGACACCGAGGGCTGCAGCAATCGCAGCAAGTCCTCCCACTCCACCTCGCGGAAGTCGTCGCGCGAGAAGCGACCCTCGATGATTGGCGAACTGTGCAGCAGCGGCGGAGGTCAGCGCATACGCAACTCGTACGGCAACATTCACGGCTATCATACCAATCGCTGTCACTTTGGCAGCAATCGTGCCGTCAGCCTCGATCAGTACAGCACGAACAATCGCCGACTGTCGGACGGCCTGCCCCAGGTCATCTCGGACAGCAATGTCTTCTACGGACGACTCAATCGTGGCAGTCTCGAGGCAACGACAGCAGCGGCAGCAGCATCGGCGGCGACTCACGGCGGCGACCTCAACATGAACACCAGCAGCAGCAGCAGCGGTCAAGCGGCAGCAGCAGTTGCTGCTCCGCAAACTGTGCACAGTCAAATGTTGGCGTCGCTGCGCGAGTCAGACAAATTGCCAGTTACAACAACTACAACAGCAACAACAGCAGCAGCAGCGGCAGCAACTGTTGCTGCTGCTGCCACCAGCAATGGCAACATATCGCCAACGCTGACACAAACTTTGGCCAGCAACGGCAGTGCGCGCAGCAGCAGCGCTGCAACAGCAACTGTTGTTACCGTGCAGCAGCAGCAACAGCAGCAGCCCAGCAGCAGCAGCTCCTCTTGGAAGTCGCGTTTGCGCCAATTCTCCGACTACTTTAGCTTCAGCTTTGACAAGGGCAACAAACGCTTTGGCAGCACACGCAGCAGTCCCTGCCCCGTGCGCAGCGGCGGCGGCGGCAACAACAATGCAACTGGCAGCAGCAGCAACAACGCCGGCGAGTCCAATGCCGAGTCGAAAGCAACTCAATCGACCGGCATCTACTGCAACATCTCGAATAGTCCCACGCCTGGCGCCCAGATGACAGCTGCTGGCCAAGCGCCCGGCGGCATTGGCCGGCATCGCGCCTACAGCTTGGATGTGCCCTGCAGCCGCCATGCGGCGACACGCCACAGCTCCGGGGATAGCAGCAGTCGCAAATCATCCCGACACGACGAGCACAACAACAGCAACAACACGCTGCACAGCAGCAGCGGCGGCATGGGCATGGCGATGGGCATGGGCATCGGCGAGCTGTCGGGCATACGCATACGAATTGGCAGCGCTGAGGAGGGCGGCAGTGGCGCCAGCAGTGCGGCCACTGCTGCTGGTGCCATGAAATTGCCGCCAAGCATCAGCTGTGAAATGGGCTTGGCCAGCGGCTCCTCATCGGAGGCGGTGCCAAAGATTTGACAACAGGGGAGCTCCGATACGACTAACACAAATACAAACAATTCGCTCTGCAATCAGGCGGCCTTTCACGCGGTCAGCGCGGACGAAGAGCAACAGCCGGAGGAGCACCATCGGCAGCGACAGCAGCACCAGCACCAGCACCAGCACCAACAGCAACTGCTGCGGGACGAGGAGGAGGAGGCTATCATCAACGATAGCGACGATGTGGATGGCAGCAGCGAATCGGACGCTCTGCATCAGGACACCTCCAGCTGTGAGGTCTCATCGATGACAATGACCGTTTGGTCAGCCATTGGCCAGCGGCTCAACGCGCTCGTCTGCCACTGCTGTGAGCGCAAGTTGCCCGAGCCGGAGAATGTGTAAGAAGTCGATGCCAAATATAGCAAAAATTGTGTCACGGACATATGCCCACACCCACACACACACACACACACTCCCACCCACACATTGACATTGCCATTGCCATTGTTATCGTTAATCGATACCATACAACAACAACAACAACAACAGCAGCACACACGCGCATATATATTAATTTATTGAATTAAGTTGATCGATAAACGTTTGTCAATCGTCTATCGATTAATAGAAACCACATTTAGACTCGATAACAATACCAATAAGCATTTATCGATAATCCTTCATTGACAGCACACGCAAACTGTTGAGTGCTTTGTCGATAGGCGTTTCTCAATAGCACTCGTTCGATAACAAGCCATTTACCGTTTATCGCTCAATCGTAGCCCAATTAGCAATTAATGATAACTTATCGCCACTCGTTCATCGACAGCGCTTCATTCGCAAATACTTGATCGATAATCGTATATCAATTACACTGATAACACGAATCGATAACAACCTTAAGTTGTCGATCATCGTTCATCGGCAACAAACTCACATACTGTCAGTATCGATAATTCATCGAGGCTCATTTATCAATAATACGCAGAAGTTTATCGATAACACCAATACGATAACGTACTCGCATCCTGGCAGCATCTATCGATAACTCATATTGCAAATGATCGATAAATAGGAATTAATAACATACTCACATTCTGGCAGCATCGATAACATATTCGATGTTCAATTGTCAGTGCCAGGTAAACGTTTACGATAACACAGACCGATAACTATTGTAAAGTATCGATAATTATGCATTTAAACCATACTCACGTACTGGCACCATCGATAACATATTCGATGTTAATTTATCAGTGACAGGCAAACGTTTATCGATAACATATATATTTCTTTTTTTTTTTTTGATTAATTTTAATAAGTTTGTATGCAAATCTGTTCGTTTTTTATCGTCTATTAACTATTTTATATCGATAACAAAGTTTACTTGACAATATAATAAATATAATTAATTAATTGATTATGATAATTTTTTTATATAAATATATATATTACACTAATTATTATTATATATTATATCTTATATATTATTATTATTACTATTATTATTATTATTATATATTATTTTTATCGAAAAGCTTGAGTATTTATTTCATTTGTTGACTAAGTTTTCGACTCTAGACGTGATGATGCCAATCGAGTTTCGTTCGTGCTGCAATACAGTTGGACATTGCGAAAAGTGATTAGCGGAGCGGAATGGCGGAGCGAGACTTGTGTGTTGACCGTGACCCAATGGCCGGCGGCTGGACGCAGGTTGTTGCATGCCACGGCCCGATTGATTGCATACGAAATGTGTGTTCGCGTTTAATTACACAAAACAAAATTTTTGCATTTTGCATACGCAATGCGAATGCTGCTGCGACCGAATGCAATCAGCATGCCACAAGTTGCATGCCACACACACACTCACGCAGACTCGCACGCTGAGATTGTCCCAGCCTCGTTGCATCTCATTTCAAATTTTCGATTTGAGTGCCGAGTGGGCATCTGCCTCTGCTGCTTGTGGCATGCAACGACAAGCTGCATCTGGTGGCATGCCCCAAGCATGCGTACACTTATATGCCACAAACTCTGTGGATCACAGCTGCCTCTTTTTTTTTTTGCGAAATGCAATTTTGGCTTGCCAATGCAACCAGTTTCAATTATGCACACCTCCAGCTAAGAGCTCAGCTTTTAAATGCAAGTCGAAAAGCGATTGCTTTAGCGATGATTTATCAACTTTTGACTAATTTTCTAAGTATATCTAAGTATTCCTGTGTTTGGTGCAATCTACTCGCACATTGAGCAGCCTAGCCTTAATTGGGCATAATTTGAAATAAACTGTATACAATGAACACAAGAAAATCGATATTTATCGATTTTGTTGAGGAAAAACAAGACATACACTACGCTTTATCAGAGTAGAGCTTGCCTTCAACTGCTTTCGGCAATGTTTCTTAATTTCTAAACTATTTTAACTAGTCTCATCCCATTAGCATAAACTGAGCCACTTATCGATTCTTCCTTAAATTAAATAAACATTCAAAATCGAGCAAAATCGAATGAAGAAGCCCTATGCAGATGACGCGATAAGATTGTTTTGTTTTACTTTAATAGACATATATTAATATATTTCATACTTTGTGAACTTGCTTTTCTAAGTAAATGGATAAATATCGATATATTTCGAATTGATTGTTTTTTTTCTAATACCAGCGATAAGTTGCGAGTTGCTTAAATTTGAATATTATTCGTACGATTTGCGCTTGATTTGTAACTAAATCGATAAATATCGATATGCTTAAATCTCAACATACTCGATATATTTCCCATTTGAGACAAATATACTCCATATCTGAGTTCATTGCATAAAAAGTACCCACAAAATAATTGCACAGTAAGAGATAAAATAAGGTACTGCGAACATTCCACGTTAGGAGAGGCAAATATTAATTATATTTTTATTCCTTCACATTTTCTTTCTTTGTAGTTTCCCATGCAGTTCTCTTTAACTTTGCTTTTCATTTTTTTTTAATATCATCCAAGACTTTAAGAAAATATTTCCAATGCGATGGCAATGAAGCTTGCAAGTAAAAGTCACAGCAGAATAATTAGGAATTCAACGAGAAGTTAAAGAAAATTAAAAAAAAAACACAATATATATATTAATATATATGACGACATATCCCGAGCTGGATGTTTAAGAATTTGAAAGAAACTAAAACAAAGAGAAATTAAAGAAAAACGTAAAGATTAATCTTTGCTTAACAATTGTTAAATTCAAGTCCAATGAAAATAACAGAAAAACGAAAAATAAAAATATATATGAAGCAAAATACGTGTATCAATGTAAATCTCTGTATGTAATGTATGCAAAGTCTAACACACATGAAGCAAATGGAAAAAAGTGTTGCCTACTTTTGAGCGCTGCAAGATTTTTGGTCAGAGCAAAGCCAGTTAAAAGCCAAGAGCAGAGCGTATATAAAGCCAAGCTGGTACTTGGCGAACACATTCACACACACACATATATATATATATATATATTATATATAAACATTAACTGTAAATGTCAACTGCTAATCTATACATTTTCCACAGTTTTTTCTGTTTCAATTTTTTTTCTGCTTAAAATTAAGCACAAAAAAAAACGATAAAAAAAATATAGATTAATAAGCATAAACAAAAATTTACAAAAAATTTTAAGTGTCTAGCAACCAATGCAAAATAATCAGAAAATACAAAAAATATATATACATACATATGTATAGATATATATGTGCATAAAGTATGTGTGTGTTTTTATTTGTTTTAAAGTAATTGTAATAGAAAGTTTGTTTGTTTTTTAATCGATTGTTTTTTTTTGTAGTTAAGTGTCATCAGCGTTGTTCTTGTTGTTGTTGTTATAATTGTTGTCAGCTAAGTAAAAAAAGTAAATAAATAAAATGTTTGTTAAATTGAATGACAACAACATCAAAAATAATGGAAACAAGTTTGCTCGATGTCAATACTTTTTTTTGTAGTTAGACTAGAATGCTAACTAAACTAAACTAATACACACGCAAAGACATATATATACACCCATATACATACATATACATATACATATATATATATATATATATATATATATTTAAACAATGATTATGTATACTAGATGAATGCGAACAACTCTTAGACGAGTTGTATCTGTTGGTGTCAGGCGATATTAAGCAGTAGCTGATGTCGCTCACACACGCTCACACACGCACACACACACACACACATCTATAGTTGTATGTATTGGTGTATTTGTGTAATACTTTTGATGGAAACGAAAATGTCACACAACTTCCCTTGTTTAATGATGAAAAACATAAAGACTAAATACTTGAATTTACAAAAACCTTTCCAACAAAACCAAAAGAAAAACAAAAAAAAAATGAAAAACAACTAAAACTAATGCTAACTAAAAAAACTAAAAGTAAAAAAGAACATATATATATATATATTTAAAAAAAAAAAAGAAAACCAAAAGTTCTAGGTGTTTTACAAAATATATAAAAAATTCGAAAAGGAAGAAAAAAAACAAAAGATTAAGAAATTTTAAGCATAATTTAATTAGTCTAGACTCTGAGAAATATGCTTATCGATGTAAATTTTAGTCAACTATTTTGGCAGTCAATTAATGAGAACAACACGCCCACGCCCACGCCAACGCCCCGCCCCCACCCACACTAACCCAGCCCTAAGTAAAAACTATGAAATAACTAAAGCCAAACAGAGTTAAGTTAGAGAAACGTTATTTCAATTCATGTTGCTGGATCGAGCATAGTTAAGATCTGAAAACCTTAGCAATTTGGACCAAACATCCCAGAACAACAAGCAAATATAACTGAAACGAAACTCTCTGAATGGAGCACACTTTCAACAAAATATCTACCGCATAGAGCAGCATGCTTCACCTATGCACACACAACTACATATAGATAATACGTATTACTCGTCTCCAATAGTTGTACGAGAAAACAAAACAAAACAAAATATAAGAAATAACTAAAAATAGTTAAATGTTACCTACGAATCGAGGGATCGCAATGAAATTAACACTATGAACCACAACTACCTGTCCACTATTTACAGCACAGCTAGCGCAGCCCGAGACACTGGCGGACGTATATCGTATATTGAATATCACGTATAGTGGATATGATGTGCAGTATATCGTATATTGCAGATTGTGTATCGTATATTGTATATCGTATCATGTATTGAATATCGTAAATGGTATGTCGTATAACGTATATGGTATATGGTATATTGATACCGTATTATATGGCAGATTGTATATCGTATACCGTGTATTGTAAAACTTATAAGGTATACTATGTATCCCATATCGTATTTTGAATATCGTAAATGGTATGTCGTATATATATGGTATATCGTATATTGATACCGTATTATATGGCAGATTGTATATCGTATACCGTGTATTGTAAAACTTATAAGGTATACCATGTATCCCATATCGTATTTTGAATATCGTAAATGGTATATGGCACATAAAAATATCTTATATTGTATGTCGTATATCGTAGTACGTAATATATAATAGATGGTATATTGTATATCGCATATTGTATATCGTATATTGAATATCGTACACAGTATGCGACATATAAAATATCTCATATTGTATATGGTATATGGAACATGGTATCTTATATGTCATATTACGTATATCGTATATACGATATCGTAAATCGTGTCATATGTCTTATATGGTATATGACATATCGTTTATTGATAACGCAGTACATGGTATATAGTATATCGTATCCCATATGGAATACAATATCGTATATTGAATATCGTATAGAATATATCGTATATACAGCTGACAGCGTTGACGGCCCAGGCAACTACTTTATACTTTTTTACGTATCTTACAATTGAAGCGAGAGCGTTACGAACTTCCAAAACGGTTTCCATGCCACTCAGCACACACACACACACACACACAACCAGAGAAGCCCCTTTTGAAGAGAGTATACACAGGAAACAGTCCAATCTAACTATATATCTGACAGTCTAGAGATCACGTTGATATTAATCCCAAGACAAAGACAACAACCACCGATAACGGACCACAGTAGTGCCTCAGAGCGCTTTAACCCAGATTCATTCATTGTTATCGAGACACCGAGAGACATCGACTGTTGCCAGCGACACAATCGGATACGACATTTTGGATGGGGCTTCGCAATGCCCCGTACTTTATAATTTCACACCTCACTTCCTCTATCTCCCTCTCCCTCTCTCTCTCACAAATACACATGCGCACACAGATACAGAATAGTGCACTCTTAGAGAAGTATATTTAAGTGCATAGAGACTATATACTAAGTACTATATACATACATACATACTATACTATATATATATATATATATATATATATACATATATGTGTATACTAGCGACCCTCCTGAACTTTCTAACCAAAAGCCTTTAATTAAAAGAAAACAAAAACAAAAACAAAGACTACATTTTATTATACAAAAAATGGGGACAAGGAAAAACCGAAACTTTAATGCAATTTTAAATAGATTATGAGTATTACGAATACTATTAGTAAGGCATACTTCGGCAGGCCGAAGCCTAGATGCTCTCTCCCTTACTCCCTACCACTCTCTCTCACTCTCTCTCTCTCTCTCTCTCTCTATCTCTCTCTCTCTCACTCACTCTTTTTCAAGGCCCACACACAGACACAAGCAGGTAAGAAGTTTTAACCACTTAAATAACTAAAGAGTACTAGAAAACCTACTCAAAACTCTACTTACATAAATATATATATATATTGTTTATCGATATATATATATATGTGTAATTGTATGTCAATGAAAGAAGTCTATATAAAGATATCTATATATATATATATGTAAACTAAAGGATCAGATAGTTATTATTTATAAGAACAAACCGAAATTACGTGGCGAATCCCAAAGAAAACTAAAGAAATTGTTGAGCAAAATAAATGAATAAATATATATATATAACTATATATATACACTAATAAGAAGAAGATTATGAAAATGATGTGGAATCAATTATATGGTATACTTATACAAGGCAAAACAGAAATAAAACTGCTGTAACTAGCGCGAGAAACTAACTAAAATACATACAGATACACACACACACACAAGCATACATATATATATGAAGAAATGAATAAAAAATACCAAAAACATATTATATAAAATACTGCAAATCTTTATGCACAACGTGTTGTATAAGTGGCAAATACATATAAACATAACATATATTAGCAGCAGCAGCAGCGAAATTTAAGTGTAAAATACTAAGCAAACAAATACCAAATATCTATATATACATATACATATACATATACATATACATATACATATACATATACATATACATATACATACACATATACATACAGGCATACGCACAGACATACATGTGTGTGCAACGTTTTTTTTCTCACTTAAGAATATTGAGCATTGACAAAAGCATTGAAAATACTGACAAAAATACTGAAGCAGTTGGAAACTATTTACAAGCGGTATGAGTACAGCATCCACAAAACATGCAAAGAAAAATTCAAAAAAAAAAAATACACACACACACAAACAAATACAAGTACAACTTGTTAACGAACCCAAAGAATCATTTAAAATGAAACCTAAAAACAAATATCCATATACTATATGTGTATATGTATATGGGGAATACGATCTAATATATACCAAAGAGACATCTATGTGTACAATGAAATATTTAATTAAAATGCATTAACGACAAAGCAGCAACAATAAACATTTAAGTAATATCATAACATCATATATATATATATATATATATATATATATATATATATATATAAACACATCTCGTAATACCAACAAAATATTTATTCAAAGAAAACCCACAAAAACAACAGCAAATAATAATAATAATAATATAACTATAGAAGGAAACTCAAGCAAAATACCAAAATTACAAACGAACAAAAAATATACTAAAAATAATACCAAAAACTTTCTCTGAACTGCATTTAAATGAAATCTTGAACATGAAATTAAAAAAAAAAAAGACAAATTATATTTAACATTTAAGTTATGCCCAATGTGGAAAATGTTGGACTACAGCGAGCACGAGTACGAGTACGAATACGAATACGAATCCGAAGACGAATACGAATATGAATACGAGCATGAGTACCTAGTCGGTACTACTCAAATAGCAAACGAGTACTCAAACCACTCGCTCACATACACTGAGAACACACACAGACAGACAGACACACACACACACACACACACACACTCACACACACATGTATTTTTGTGTAAAAGTTTAAAACATGAAGAGCAGAAAATATGAACTACTGATTAATATGAAATATATTGAAATAAAATAATTTCCAAACTAATTACAAATAAGCTTTTGGTCTTTTTTTTGCAAACTTAAGTTTGAAGTCGTTTTAAAGCTTTATACTTTGACTTGCTGTCGGAAAATATACTAAAAGCTTTCGTGCAAAGCTTTCTTTTTTTCCGCACAGCATCTTAAGCTTTTAGCCATTTTTCTTTAGTTGTGTCGCTGTCTCAACACTTGCGCAGCTTTCTTTCACCTGCAACATGTTGCATGTGACAGCTGTGTTGTATGCTAGAGTTTACAGAGAGTTGCACGCGTTCAAAATATAAAAATAATTAACTAATAAGTATAATTGTTGAAAAAAAAAAACATAATGTGAAAGGGCTTTGAATATTATTATTTTAATATTTTATCAAATAAATATGCCTATTTAAGTTGTAGTCATTAAACAAATAAATTGTATGAGCTATAAATGCAATTGGAACAAGCACCATTGCAACGTGTTGTATGCTATTGAGTTCGATAGAGCGCATCATACAAATTCGCACTTGTTCGCACACGTTCGCAAGGCAACTGGGTCGAACGTCAATTCAGTTGACATTTGCAAGCGCGACGAAGCAGTCGCTAGCGACGCTCGATTCGGCATTCAGCTCGGACAGCAGCTCTCGGTTCGTTGTGGACGCTAAGTTAATATCTCGCAGTTAATAGCGAAGGCAGCGGCAGCAGCAGAGGCAAAGGCGACGGCAACGGCAACGGCAACGTCAGCGCCAGCCAACAATAAAAGCGAGCACAAGAACAATAAAAAACGTCGCAGCTCCTGTGTATGAGACGCCACCTTATTTGTTGTTGCATTTGCCGTTTCCTATTGTTGTTCTTGTTGTCATTTTACGCTAGTTGCTGCTGCTGCCTTCGCCGCGCTTCATATTCTCGCTCCATTCGCTTCATTCCGTTCCACTCGCCATTTTGTCGGCAACGTGCCCTGTGGAAGGTGGACGCGAATTTGTGCTTTTTGTTTTGTTTCCATGTGTGTGTGTGCGTGCGTGTGTGTGTGTGTGTAAATTTGGATTTTTCTGCTGTTTTGTTGTTGTACTCATTGCTTTAAGTATTTTTAGTGTTCGCGTGCGAAATTTGGTGTCAAAGTGAAACATTTACGTGAGATGTAAGTTGGACGAGGCCTTGAAATGTCCTGAAACAGGCCAAACGAAGAAACAACAACAAACAAACATAAAAAAGGCAAATAAGAGAAAATCAATGCGCGTGCCGAATGTGTGTGTGCGTGTGAGTGTGTGCGAGTGTGTGTGAGTGTGTGTGTCTGTGTGTGTGTGTCAAAGAAAATCCATAAAGCGCGCTGTAAAACTCGTCGCAGTCGAGCTATGCGAATAATTTATAAGATTGAAATTAAAGACACCAAAGAGTGCTCTCTCTCTCTCTCTCGCACGCTCACACTTTCTCCCTCTCTCTCTATCTCTATATGTGTGCGTGTGTGTGTGAAAGCAACCGCAAGAGGCCAAAAGGAAGACAGCGCAAACAATTTCTTGGCAGCTGCCTCAACTGCAAACGAAATGCCGAAATGCTTGGCCTGGCCCCAAAGCCGCCTCACCCGCATCCGCATTTCGTTCCACTTCTATTGCTCTGCCACTCTCTCTGTCTCTCTCGCTCCCTCTTGGGGCGCTGCAAAAATGTTGTAAACATGCGAGGCCGCTGCCAAAGGCGCTGGCAGCATCATACGAAACAGCTGATTCGCCTTTGGGCCGCATTGCCAAGCGCTATAAAATGCATATAGCACACACACACACACATACACTAACACACACTCATACAACTAGGCAAAAGCCAAAGCGTTAGAGCATTAGCAATATCTTTTGTTAAGTGCCAAACAAACAGCGAGTAAATGTTGAAAAGCAAAACAGCAGAAAATACTGAAAGAGCAATTGAAAATCTTAAGCAGAAATTATAAAATAATATATATATATATAAATATATGCAAAGATATATAGAGCTGGCCAAAGTTTTGAGTTGAGTAAGTAAGTAACGAGATCTGCTTAAACGAGTCATAGCAAAAACTTTATAATCGATTACCGATAATCGATCCTCCAGCTCCGATTACTTTTTCCCCATTTAGCGAGAGAAAAATTATCTAATATCGTTGCAAACTATACAACGAGTGTAGATATTAGACACTCTCTCGCTCTCTCTCCCTAGAGAGTACATCGAAATATAGTTAACTATGTATATAGCGAGTAGTTTGCCTATAAAATAGCTTAAAGCCTAAAATTCTAATACAAATTTTCAACAATAAATGTTTAAGGTGTAAGCCACTCGTTACTTTGTATATGTAACGATAGCAAATATTGCCAGCAAGCGCAATTCCAACGAGTAAAGAAAATATGCATGAAATACTTATGAAAATTGCCAAGTAGACCAAGAAAAGCTCACGTTACTCAAATGCAGCGAGTGCATGAAATCTAATCAAAGTAAATGAGACTCTATACATAATCTTACAAAATATATTCAAATTGTAAGAAAAGTAAACTAGAGATAGAGATTGCCATGCTCATTAGGTGAACCAAGGCCTTAGGCTGTAAGCTGAAATAGGTTTAACTATGTAAAGTTCTCGTTACTTTCTATATGATGAGATATTAACGAGTAATTTCCTTAACGAGTGAACTAGTTGAAAAGTTTTAAGATTTGTAGACTAAGCAATTTAGAGGGCAAAATATTACAAAGCAGCGAGTGCTACTTTAGCGAGCGAAAGTTCCAAATCTCTTGAACATCTTAAGCAATTGTAGACCAAGAAATATTGTTAAATAGTTAAGGCTCTCGATACCTGTAAAGCTGCAACAATCGCAGACTAAAAACATATTGTTAAGTCTCTCGTTGCGATATTAGCGAGTGCATCAGATTACCACGAAATGGAAGTATATGTGTCAGGCAGAAGGAGCCTTGGCAGACCTCATAGAGTATGCATACTTATGGGCAAGACGACGACGAGCAGAGTAGATATAGTCGTGACTGCCTCTCTAGAGACTACGAAAAACAACCTTACCTTTTTATACTCTATGCAGAATAATTGGAATCGCGCATGGTTCAGGGTATTTACTAGTCGGGCACTCACAACTAGCGCACTCTTACTTGTTTTGGTATTTACTTATGCATTCATTACGCCACTCACGTAATCACATCATCATGCATAAGGTTAGAGAGCTCTGCTTTTGGGACAAAAGAGGCAAGGGATGATCTAAGACTATAATTCACATGATTTACATATTTATAACTATTAATAATCATAAGGAACTGGAGATATAAAACTATTTCAGTATTTTTTTGCAGTATTCTTACTGCACTCAATTTGTATCGTAAGCAAAAGGAAAAAGCCGTTGTAAAGCCTTGAGAGTTTTTTATCTGACATAATACGTATACGCAATGTTGTCAGTCAAGCGAAGCGAACATATTTCATTGGCGTGCACTCCATTTAAGCATCTTTGAGATACTTAGTGCAGTCACTGTGAGCCGCTTAATACACGTAGCAAAATCATGTAGCAAATTGGTTCGCAGCACACAAAGTAAAAGGCGAGGAGGAGGAGTAGAAAGAGTTGGGCAAAGGTTGAGCTGTCTTTGGAAAGGATTTTGTTTTGTTTGTATGATTTTTTGCTTGCTGTGTTCAGGCCTGCCCTGATTTTGTGCAGTGTAAACGGCATGAAGGCCAAACGACAGCTGAGCACAGCCCGTCTCTATGCCAATCAACTTAACTATGTTTAACTTTCTACAGCTCTACTCACACAGCAACAGCAACAGCAACAGCAACAACTAGCTGAAGGGCCAGCCCACGTAGGAGCTGTGCAGCAAGTGAAAGTGGAAGTGGAAGTGGAAGCGGCTGTGGCAGTGGCAGTGGCAGAGCCAAGTTCAAAATCAACGCCTGACAATGACAAAGCGCTCCACTGGGCGGCCAGCAGCAACAGCAGCAGCAACGTGGCGCACGCCAGCAGCAGCAACAACAATCAATGAGAGCAGCACGAGCTGGCGACGAAGCTGCACAACAGCAGCAACAACAGCAACAGCAACAGCAACAACAACAACAAAAACAGCAGCAGCAATGCGCATTAGGCACTCGGCTGCGCTGCCAGCAAGCGGCATATCCTGGCTGCTGTTCGTAATCTGTATGCTGAGCTGCTTGTGCTGCTACACAGGTAATTACCAACACGCCAAAATGCTTGACACTTGATTAGCATGACATTGCAGCTGCAGCTGCAGCTGACACGCCCCCATCCAAACACCTCCCGAAGTAGCCGTCGTCCCCCACAGTAGCAAATCAGCAGTTGACAGATCAGCTTCGATTACGTGTTTAAGGGCTTATGTGCTTACGTTCTTACGGTCTTACGTGCTTACGTTATTATGCTTGACGTTGGAATTGGCTCGAGTTGTGCATCAACTTGTCTTGTTTATCTTTTGATTTGGTCACACTGGACTGCCTGGATTGAAGTAGTTATGCTTGTGTTCATATGATCGATATATATCGAAATTCGATATTCGATATTAATATTAAATCTTATCGTTTGAACTGCTGAGTTGCCTTCCAGTATAGTCATAGACTTATCGAAACATGTGCAATAAAAGTTATCGATTTATCGAAATCGATAACATTTTAATTATCCTTTATAACTAATCAAGCTAACTTTTAATTACACCAAAATTTCATTCAGCTATCGACTCATCGAAATCTATTCAATCCAAGCTAGCGATTAAATATATTAGTGTTTTAATGGAGTACTTTATATTATATAATATTATATCACCATTTCTATATATTAATACAACATACTCGATTAATATATGTGGCATAATAGCTATCGACTTATTGAAATCGATTTAACTTATTTAATATATTCAATCGGTATTCCACTACTATTTGAGCAATTTGCATACATATATCAATAACTATCGATTTATCGATAGTTGTTTAATCTTTGTCATCGAGGTTTTATCTTTAAAATACTGCAACTTCTGTGTATATATATATTTGTATATATTTATATTCCACTGATCGATTAGCATAACTGACACCGATCAGCCTAGTTATCGACTTATCGAATACTGTTTTATCATTGACAATTGCTTGAAAACAAATGCGCCTTTGGAGTAGGCACAATTGGTACTTAGCAAAGCCGATAAATGCGATAGAGCCCAGCACTTTGGATTGCCAAGGGTCATTCTATCGCCGCCATCGGCTCGATTGTCAGCCGAGATTAAGGACTCAGCCTTGATACCCTCATGCCAAGACAAAGAAATAATAATCATAAATAATGACGAAAACAATTGGGCGAGAAATATGAGAGAGGCATGCGAATGGCAAACGGAAAGTGGATACGGAAAATGTATTTGGGGCACGAACAGGGGCGGGGCCAGTGGCAGTGCCGGCGGCGGGGGCAGCGAAAACAATTGTGTACAGCCTTGACATTGCACATGCAAAGTCGACTTTGGCTTTCGTTGCCTTTTTCGTGGCCGTTCGGTTGCCAAGCACCTGACACCGCCAGCTGGGGGCGTGGCACACTTCAATTTCCAACACTTGGCCAACAGCGACAATTTCACATTGTTGTGCCACACACCAAATAAACAATGCACAAATGCAATTTACACTGGGGCTTAAATAGAACAAATAAAATTAGGAAGCCTTGATTCTACGGTCAACTAAAGAGCTTTAAGCTTAGCTGAAAATTAGTTGCACAACTTTCATATAGAATTATATAAATTATATTAAAGATTAGTTTAATTATTTAATTAATTATTTAATATAATTATTATTTAAGTAAATTATTTAAAGCAAAGCTTACAATTATATGCTACTTAGAGCTTTAGAATGTTCATTATGCAATGAGCTTATAAAGTTCCTAAAAGCTAAGGCTTATATCGAACAATCCCCAGGCATAAAAAGCTTTCACTTAAAGCTTTAAGAAGTCTATTAAACAACGAATGAAAGTTGCTAAAAGCTGAAGCTACTTTCAGCAGCTTTTTAATGCACAAATCTTGAAAGCCTAAGCAGAGAACAAAAAGTAAATTATTATTTAAGTCGTTTCGACAGATTTTGATGCATGCAATTCGTTTAGGGTATGCGCAAATCGAAGCGTGCCAAAAGAACGGAGGGAGGAACGAACGAACTAGCGAACTTTTGCCTGACTCTTGTTGTTATTGACGCACATGGCCAAAGTTTGTGGCCAAACTATTTTGGTTGGTGTGGTGTGTGGCATAACGAGTTGTCGTCGCTCCCACGAGGCAGCTCAAGTTCGGTTTCAGTGCTTCCGGCTTGGGCAATTGGCGCAGCTCGCCTCACATCTCTCCGCTCTCGGTCTTACACAATGCCAAGTTTTATTGCTCGGCTGTGCGCAATTGAGCTATTGGACGGCCAGAATTATGGGGCTGAGATGTCAAGGCAGAGCGATTGATAAGTTCTGCTGCCCCGAGACGGCTAACTAATTAGTTGGACTGTAGCCAATGTTCAATTACATATTAAAAGCGACGCTCGAGCTATGCTTCGAATATACACTTAGCCACTCAATTGCCAGACATGTTGGACATTCCAGGACGGACGACTATTATGCGACGAGTGGGCGCTCAGCTATCGGATCGATAGCTCCGACCGGCAGCAAATACTAATTACATAGTCAAGCAGTCAAAAGGCAACACACAGTCTCCCCCTCCTCCCTCTCTCTCTCTCTCTTCGTCTCTCTTTTGCATTTTTAATGGCACTTGACAACTGAGAAGTGCGTTGATAGACGGACAATCGAAACCTTTGAACGCACCAGCATAAACGCATGCATAATTCAAGCGCTTTGTGTTAGCGAGTGCATTGTTTGCCATTCGACTAATAAATAGGCAATCATCGAACGCTGATGTCATTCTAGCCGCGTCGGAACCCATGAACTAGTTTCGTAGAAAGTAAACTGGGAAGTAGCTAAAGTAACCACAGCAAGTAGCCATAGCGAGTAAATGCAACGAGCAACCATACTAATACCTATAGCGAGTAGTTAAGGCGAATAGCTATAGACAGTGACCATAGAGAGTGACCATAAAAACTAGCTATAACGAGTAGCTCTAACGAGTAGCTATAACGAGTAGTTATAACGAGTAGCTATAACGAGTAGCTATAACGAGTAGCTATAACGAGTAGCTATAACGATTAACTATAACGATTAACTATAACGAGTAACTATAACGAGTAGCTATAACGAGTAGCTATAACGAGTAACTATAGCGAGTAACTATAGCGAGTAGCTATAACGAGTAACTATAGCGAGTAGCTATAGCGAGTAACTATAGCGAGTAACTATAGCGAGTAACTATAGCGAGTAGCTATAGCGAGTAACTATAGCGAGTAGGTATAACGAGTAGCTATAGCGATTAGCTATAGCGAGTAGCTATAGCGAGTAACTATAGCGAGTAACTATAGCGAGTAACTATAGCGAGTAACTATAGCGAGTAACTATAGCGAGTAGCTAGTAGCTTCTTTAAGCAGCCAGTAAGCTAATAGATTTTTGCTACTACCAACTAAAGCTTGTAGTTGCAACGAGTAGCTATAACGAGTGACTCCTAGTAAATAATCCGCAAACAGCAAACAGCTTAATAAATTGTCGCTAAGGCAAAACATAACGAGAAGCATTTATTTTGCACAAATGTTGAGCCAACCACTTTTCTTCCCACTTGCATTTCCGCTTTGGCATATTTAGATTTGTTTTTGTTTTTTCTTTTTGTGTTTGGTTTTTTTTTTTTACCTGACGACAGGTCGCATGCATCAGCGCGCTAGCGACACGTTGACAGCGAAGACGACGTAAGGGCAAAGGTAAAGAGTGGAAAATTTGCATTGCATGTGGCGACAAGTTGGGCGCACGTGGAACGTTCCACTAATTGCATTGCACATAGCATTCAAAATGGTTTTATAATCTTTGCTTCCGTTAACAATTCATATGCCAGCAGCAACAACAACAACAACAACGAGTAGGTTTCCTTACGTCCTATGGCCAAAAGCTATTTTCCCACACACACAAAATCTCATTAGAGACGGCCGATGATTACCAACACACACACACACGCATAGGTTGCGGCACTCGGTGTAAGGCACAAGTTGAAAAGTTGATGGCTGCACTCACTCAACGTCGTCGCCCTGACACTGCCTGACACGCCCTCGCCCCAGCCCCTCCGTGACCCCTACCCCAAACGCTAAACATTTTGCACTTGCCATTGCCATTGCGTGTGTGGTTGTGTGCGTGTGTGTGTGCTTACCAGAATTCTAAACATTTATGAACTTTTGCCAAATACACAACTTTGCTGGCAACTATTTTGATGGGCCATTGCTTAAATGACTATGCGAAAATCGTAATTTAACTGGAAATTGAAATTAAAATTGAAATAGCTAAGCTTGAAATATGTTTCAATGAGTATATTGAAAGCGTAAAACTGTTTCAATCTGCTGCTAAATTGATGTGCAAATTGAGCTTAAGTTAAATATAAAAAAATTGAAATCGCAATTGAAATTAACATTGAAAGAGCCAATTCAATGTTCAAATTATTTACAAAGATGAATGAGATTTAATGTAGACATTGAAATAGGCTTAGCGTGAATGATTTCAAATTGAAATTGAAAGAGTATAGATATATTAATGATGAAGGGTAACTAATTAAAACTGAAATTAAATTGAAGATGAGTTGAAATTGAATTGCATTGAAATTGAATTGAATTTTAAATTGCATTAAGACTGAATTGCATTGAAATTGAATTGAAATTGAATTTAAATTGTATTGAAATTGAATTGAAACTGAATTGAAATTTAATTGAAGTCATATAGAAATTGAAATTGAAGTTAAATTGAAACTCCATTAAAATTGAATTGAAATTGAAAAGCTTCTAAACTGACTTAAATTAAGCAATTATTACTAACCAATCAAATTGTTTCATGGAATGCAATACAAACTGACCATAAATAGCAAAACAAAAACATTTTTCATAAACACAATAATTAAGGAAGCAAATTGATTATTTTGAATGCAATTCATCTAGCTAAATATATAAATAAATAAAAGTATGTTTAGAAATACGTAAATACGTATATACATATATACATATATATAACAAATTCTATTTGAAAATTCCTCTATCTCTAATTTTATTGTTTATCCATAACAAATTCGATGAACAGCAAAAATTGATTTTCTATGAAAATAGAACACGGTGCTGCGGCTGCAGGCGGTGTTTCAGCCTCGAGGAGGTCACCGGCTAAATGTCATAACAAAAGCTATTTATAAGTGAGCCGCACGGTTGCACATAAACGGCCAGGCGTCACCTGCCCAAGTGCCACCCCTCCGCTCCCACTCCAAATGCGCAGCGCTTCACAAACGAGACTGAGATTGCAAGTCCGAGTGCTGTGAAAGGCACGCAAGTCAACGGACATTAAAAAGTAATAAGCATAATTGTGAAATGTCGCCATAAAAGAGAGAGAGCGAGGAAGGCAGGGAGGGCGAGATAGAGAACGAACAGAACAGCCATGAAAGGCAGACGGAGCAAGCTGAATAGCGAGTCAGAGAGAGACAGAAGGCGAATTGAATGTAAAGGCGCGTGACGTATACAGCACGTTGGCCCAACTTTGACCCAGAGCAGCTAAATTGTTTGGTCGACAGCTGGCGCAAAAGTCGGGCGCTTGCTTTTAATTATTCAACGATCTCGCAAGGACCAGAGCACAAGACGCTGACTGTGGCGTCGGCAGCGAGCAGCATAGAAAACATCGAGCAAACAAACAAAACATACAAAATGCAAAGGAAAGTGTAAGAAGCAAACGCACAAACAACTGCAGCGAACTGCAGCAGCAGCCGACCGAATGTCGCCTGAAATACACCGCTCACCCCGCGCTGCCTCCACACACCCTGTGCCAATTGTTCGCCCAGCAGAAGCTGAAGCGAAAGCACATAAAACAGAAAAAAGTAACAAAAACCATGCACAAAGGTTGAATGGTAAAAAGAAAATAAAAAAGGTTGCGGTACTTTTGCCGCCGCCGTTGTCGTCGTCGCCGGCATCGGCGTCAGTGGCTGCCAAAGTCCGTTCAGTCATCCGGAAGTTGCTTACAACTTCGAACCATGTTTCAAGTGCACAGCCATATTCAGTGCAACTGCAACAGTAACTAACTATAACTGCACTTAGCTATGCACCTAACGGTGAAAGTGGCAAAACTGGCGACGCTTTGACTATTTGGGCTGAGATGGGGAAAGTGTGTAAGGTCGCGGCCCATACTTTCTGCCTACGTCACGAGCACAGCAACACACAGGCGCAACTCAAACATGCGCCAAGTTCTATGCTAAAAGCTTCAGCACAAAAAGCTCATTGCAACGAACATGTTACAGGCTAATGCAACATGTTTGCTGCTGCTCTGCAACTCGAACATCACTTAATCCTTAAGATATCTGAACGAAATCCGTTCGAAGCGAAACATTTAATTATTTTTGAATTCGAATTCATTTAAGAGTAAGAATGAACTAGTAATGAATAAAGAAAACACGCTTCAATTGAGTGGACAATTTAAGTAGATTGGCTAAAACGAATCAAGGAACAAATTATTTGAGCCTACGTTTTGGTTTTTATTGCAAAATTTCTTAATTACAAATTTTGTACCAGAATTAGTTTATTTTGAATGAAAATTTCAGAGTTTTATTTTAAATTTTTATTTAATTAATTTCTTAATTACAATTTATGAATTTAAAATTAATTTTTCTTAAATTTTAAACAAAGTTAAATTTTTTTATTTAGTAATTTTGTTTTTAGTTTGCATAAATTTAGTTTTTAAGTTTTATGTCCAAAAATTTTTTGAGTTGCTTATTCTTTCCAAATTTTTTTTCCATTTTAAATATTTCCAATATTTTTTACATTTTAGATATTTCCAAATCTTTTTTACATTTTAGATACTTCCAAATCTTTACATTTTAGATATTTCCAAATCTTTTTTACATTTTAGATATTTCCAAATCTTTTTTACATTTTAGTTCAGATTTGTTTTTAGCTTTACAAATTAGTTTTTTATTTTGTTTTTAGTATGTAAATATATTTTAGTTATATTTATCGACTTGCACTCTGAACCACTTCCCTTTTAAATTTTTTTTGCATTTTCTTTCCGTTTTCTTTCTCCCTTTTTCCCTTCATTTTGGCTGTAGGAAAGACTGAGCAATAAAATTATTTTTCTCGCAGAGGCTTCACTTACTTTTCTTCGTCTGTAATAGTTGTACTCCCGATGTAATTTCTCTTGGTTCTGAAATCCAGAATTTTTAATATAAATCGACCTTGAATTCAGTAACAAAAAATAAACATTTCGTTGCACTATTTTTAACAATTTTTCACGAAAACAAAAAACAAAAACACATTTTATCACGCTAAGAAATTTTGATTTTTTTTGTTTTGCCCTCTTTTTTTTAGTTGTGCTCAAAACGAAGAACAGGCACAAACTGAATGCTGTATGGAATCGTTTCCCGTAGCTCCACTTTCTTGCTGATTTCTGTGTCAAGGCCTACTTGTCTGGTCGTTAGATACCCACAATTTCCCTCGTTCGCTGACTCTAGGATCAAAGCCAGCTCGCTTCTCTCTCACTTCGTCTTTGTCTCTAAGTCCTAGCTTGTCTCTTGTCATAATTCTTAGCGTCTCTCACACTCGCTTTTACTTGCCATAGGTCTTAACTTCTCATTCTTAAAAAACTTAGCTTCTCTATTGTCATAAACATTAACTCTCTCTCTCTCTCTCTTGGAATACGATTTAGCTTCTCCCTCTCCCTTCCTTTCCTTCCCTAACTCTCTCTCAAACCATCAATCAACAGTTTTCCAATCAATAACATATTGACTAAAATTGAATATTCAATCATCAATCCGGCTTCATTTTATAAACAATCACCAGTCGGCCAATCAATCAATTAGTCAATCATTCCATCAATCACTTGTACTTGTCTCACTGTTGCTTCATAACCGTTCTCATAAGTTGATCAACTTAGTCCACTCAGACGCACTCAATCAAGTGATTGCATCAATACATCAATCATTTCTCATCCTGATTGAACGCATCTACAATTTACAATCCTTCTCCTTTCCAGTGGCGCTGGAGGAAGACTGCGTAGACTTTCAGGGCAACAAAGTGAACCACGGCATGCTGTATGTGCCCGGACCAGGTGTTTGTAGTCTCTGCGTTTGCTATCACTCCGAGCCGCTGTGGTGCAAGGCCATCTACTGTGATCCGCCCTACGTAAGCGCTAAATCCCAAATGCCATAATTTCATATCTAAAATGTCCCTTCGACAGTTCTGTAAAAACTTCAGAGTGGGCGAACGCTGTTGCGAATTCGAATGTTTGGATCCGCCGGGCGAGGACAAGCTTTATCAGGTAAGTTGAATGAAAGTGCTAGATGCATACTATAGATGCATAAGATATATACACTACAGATGCTTAGATAGAGTGTATCTTATAAAAGCTCTTCAGATCATACGGAAGTTAGCGACTTCAGTTAGTTTTCATGCACAGAAAAGATACAAGCTTTGATGACTAAGCAAAGATACTACAGATACTCTATATATGCTATAGATACAGTTATAGATACTATGCATAAAAGACTCAGATAATTCACTGACTCTAGATATTTTTGGATGTTATAGTAAGCAAAGTATCAAGCTTCCTTTTAAGCAACAAATGAATAGACTTTATGAGCGATAAATACAAAAGATACTTAGAGTTCTACTAGCTTAATAATGGCTGAGAAACTATTTATAAATAAATACTTCAAATGTTATTGATGCTTAGACTAAAGATACGACAGATACTTTGCTAAACTGATTACCAAGGATACTTTAGCCTTTTAGATAATATCACAGACAGACTTAAATGTATATTTACAAGGTTTACTATAGAAACTTGTAAACTTTGTAAATATATTTTACAAAAGTTGCTAAAGAGGCTGAAAATTACCAAAAGATACTTTATCTAGATGCACTTGAGATATACATGCTTTGGAATAGATTGTGTATTTAATATATAAGACAGATATAGTTGTTATACTTACAAAAGATACAATGTATCTACAGCAAATTTAGAATACTAGATACTACAGCTGATTTGCATACTCTACATTCACATAGAACTATACATCAGGCTTAGTTTTTAAATACACATATTATAGAATGAGTAGAGCCTAACGAAAGATGCGCTATGAATTGTATATATATCAAATGATCAATGTATCTTAGATAAAGCTAGAGCTTAAGCTATAGAGATAGAGATAGAGATAGATTTAGAGATATGTATACTAGGGACACGAAAGATACTGTAGGAATGTATGAATAGTTTCCATAGTATCTTTCGTATCTAAGCTTACAATGTATCTACAGCTGAGCTGTTATAGCTTTATAGATACTTTGACTAGGGATTTATGCATTACAAGATACATATATATATGCCATATGCAGAGTAAATGCCATATGTAATCTGAATATGGCTGGAACTATGCGTACATAAGATGCATTGTAACTACAGACACAGATCAATTTAGATAAAATCATAGATAAAGATACGATAGATGAAATAGTTGCTATATTTCTTCAAGATATGAGGACTACAGGTGTAACAGATACATTCTACTCCAGATATAAAGCAGCAAATGAAGGCAGTCCAGATAATGCAGATACATATTCAGATACGTACACATATAAGCATGCTCTGTACACATTCTTCCTCTTCTAATTGCAGGAGCGTATGCGTAAGCGTGCCGAAATTCTGGCTGGGAATAGCACCGCATGCCAACTGCAGGTCGCCCCGTTGGCCGTGTCGACCATAATGCTCAGCTATCTGGGCAACAGCTTTCTCAATTTATAACTTGAGCATAAGTCGTCAGAGTATAATCTAGCTATAAGTCAGCCAGTCAGACAGATCTTAAGATATATAGCGGGCAGGTACAATTTTGTTAACTATGAAAAGATCCTAACCAAATCCTAAAAGCTAAAAAAGAACCCCAAAAACTGAATTAATTATTACAATGTAATAAATGCAGATATATATATACATATATGTAAACAAAAGCGAGAGATATATATAGATATATATATATATATATATGAAGAGTATAATTTGGAGTAATACAGAACAAAAACGTAGGTTCTCAACTTATATGTATGTCCCTAGTCTTATGTAGGTACAATAATACAAATAATAACAGCATATAACACACATATATATATAAATATAAATTGATATAGATAGTATATAGCATACGACTTGTAAATACGCTACCTGGCGCTCTATATACCATAAATCGGATCAAAAACTTGTTGATTAGTGTTTAGCTAAATGAATCAAAGATGATAATTAGTTTATAAATATAAAAAAAAAAAAAAAAATATATATATATATATATATATATATATATATATATATATATATATATAGATATGTACCCCTTTTTAATATTAACTGAGAAAGCTAAGAATATATCGTAATTACACCTCGTAATACCCATGACAAAACGCGACCCCAGTTCAAACACCTAGTGACATTTTCCAGCCCTATCTAGTTTTTTGTTTCGAACATAGATTTTAAGATACTTTTGATTGCAATCTAAGAACTTTAGTAATTTACACATATCATTAGATACACACACCGACACACACACACTCGTATAGTATTTATATATGTATATGTATATACCTAAAAATCGTATATATTTTGCATTGGTGCTAATTTTATTGTAGGTTAAACGCGATCCACACACCAGCACACACACACATGCAGACACACACAAATTTGCAATCACAATACACGTCCCAAACAATATCCACAAAAGATCATGATGAAGATTCACATCCGATTCGATCCATTCAATTTACATATGCTGTATAAGGGATTCTCACACACTCAAGATCCACAAACTCAAGATCCACAAAATCAAAGTCTGCAGACTCAAGGTCCACCATCTCAAGATCCCCAAACTCAAGATCCGCCAACTCAATATCCACAAACTCGAGATCCACAAACTCAAGATCCTCAAACTCAAGATCCACAAGCTCAAGATCCGCAAACTCAAGATCCACAAACTCGAAATACGCAAACTCAAGATCCACAGACTCCCTATCCACATCCACAAAATCCACAAACTCAAGATCGGCACACCAAAGATCCCCAAACTCAAGATCCACACCCTCAAGATACACAAACTCAAGAGTAACACATTCAAGGTCCCCAAGCTTTAGATCCACACATTCTAGACCCCCAACTCCAAAATCCCCACACTCAAGATCCTCACACAATCCACACACGCAAACTTCGCAAAATTTGATTTCAAATCAACAGCCATATCACTGGCTTAACAAGCATCCAAAGAAACCCTTTTTGTAGTACACTTAGAACTAAATTTAAAAAGCAAAAAACCCAAAACTAACCTAAAAAACTCCCAAAGTAAACTCTTTCATTTACAATAATAAACTTAAATCAATTAATCAAAAAAGTATTCGAGAGATAAAGAAATCCTTCAAGATATAATCAAACAACAATTGAATTCCGTTTCATTTTTCTGTAGGATCTAAGAACTTTTAAAGCGCTCTATAAATAAAAAACTTACAGAACAAATAAACAATAACAAAAGCAAAAACAAAATCTCTTTCGGAATAATAGAAACAATTGAATTAATTTCTAGACCAGGACCAGAGACAGTCTTATAAAACACTTAACAGAACTCGGAATAAAATAGAATATATATATATATATATATATATATATATATATATATATATATATATATATATATATATATATATATATATATGATATACTATATATATATATATATACTAAGCAGTACGGCTGTGACATTTTGTTTTTGGTTTTGCTTCACACAACTGTAAATAAAAATATATATAAATATATATATATATATATATATATATATATATATATATATATATATATATATATATCTGATATATCTGATATATGGTTTATAAATCAAACAAATCAAAGAAAATCTATATAAATTTCAATATTTACTAACTAGAGTTATAAGGAAGGTTTTACTCTGAGGGAAAACCTTCTACATGAATATGAAAGTTAAAAGCAAAATGCATTTACGGACATTTCGTATATCAATGTGAGCCAGCACTAGATATATATATCCAGTAAAATATCGGTTACAACCGATGTCTGTAAGCTCCGATTGAGAGAGTAGAGCGAAGAGGGGCGGGAAAAGAGAGAAAAGGAAATAGAGAAAACAAAAGACAGAAGCCAAAAAGATAAAGAATAAGCGAAAAGCGAAGAGAGCAAGGGTAGGCAGACAGACAGACAGACAGCTAAATGGATATTGTATAAAACCAATATACTCTCAATTCCCACAGCGCGAGCGAGTATTTAAGAAGCTTGCTAAAGTGGTCCGATTGTAGTCAAATGATTGATTGATGAAGTCCAATTGGACTCATGTATATATATGTTATCTATATATAGATCGATATCTGGTGCGGGCTTACGGAAAAGCAACAAAAATTAAATCGAAAGCAGAAACAATAAACAATGATCTAAACTGAATGTACAATTCGAATGCCACAATATCTGACCAATATGCAAACGTATATAGTATATATGATATATATATATACAAGTACACATACACATATATAGTATATATATATATATATATATGGAATATATATTTATGCATAAATCGAGCAAATAATGCCTAAACTTAAGCTAACAAATCTGACAAATTTTAATAGAAATCGTTCAACTTAATAAAACTTTGGAACGCGCTTGAAGAAAATGGCGAGAAAAATATACCGAAAAATAACCGAAATACCAACAATAAAAAAATTAATACCAATTTATAAGCGAACAAACATAAAAAATGCAAGAAATTTGGCTTTACATTTAAAAAGAAATTTTAAAAAAATATATATATAAAAATAAAAAATATAGTTAAGAAAAAAAATTAAATTATTTACCCTAGCAAATCTCAAGCTCATTTTTAAAATGAAACGAGTTGGTATTTTTTTTTAATTTTTTCATTTCCTAGATAGATTTCCTAAAACTAAAATAAATATATAAAAAAAAAAACTTAAAAAAAAGGATTCAGAAACCCGTCTAAAAAAAAGCTTTGCCACTAGAAACCTCGAAAAACAAAGTATTTTTTTTTATAAATATAAATATAAATAATTGATAATTAATAATTAATACTAATTAATAATAACACTTAAGCCGTGGACGCAGAGCAGCTGCATCTCTATAGCTCCATTAGCTCCCCCTCTTAAGGCATTAACTACTCTAAAATATATATATAAATATACGAATTTTCGTTTCGAACAGCCGCACTTGATAAACTCTTTAAAGTTCTTGAACTAATTTGAATAAGTAAATGGAAGAAGAAGCAGTACAGCTCTGCACTTAATATTAATCTAGTCAAAGACATCCATCGAGTTCAAAGGAAATCTCGGCTCATTGAATTTATTAGAACTTCAAACTTCATTTATCAAGGAGATGCATTATCATAGTTCAGCAAATGTTTCCCAAAATATTTCAAGTACCAGAGAATTTTAACAAAAAGTATAAAAACAATATTTTCACAATAGCTTAAATAAAAGAGAAAAAGAAAAAAAAACAAAAGAAAAACAAAAGCAAAAGCAAAAACTGACTTTTACTTCAACTTTCTTTATTTTCAGGCGAATTTCTGAAAACCTTTTGGCTGCTGCGAAATGCTACTACAGTTACTTTATCTTTGACAGCAGCATTCCCCCTCTCTCCCCCACTGCTGCGCTGTCTCTCTTCTCTCTCTCACTTTCCCCCCCTCTCTTTCTCTCTCTGTTTTTTTATCTCTGTCTGCTTCTATCTTCGTCTATCTCCATATCGATCTCCCCATCTCTCTCTCTCTCTCTCTCTCTCTCTCTCTCTCTCTGTCTTTTAATCTTCAGCTCTAAAATTTTTTCTTCTCCCTCTTCGCACTTTCTTTTCGCTCTCTCTATATATGAATATATGGCTATCCTATTAATAGATGGTTTCCTCTCTCCTCATTCTCTCCTCTCATTCGCTCAGTCTCTCTCTCTTCTCGCTCTCTCTCTCTCTCTCTCTCGCTCTCTCTCTCTCTCTCTCTCTCTCTCTCTCGTCTCTCTCTTACTCTCCTCCTCTCTCTCTCTCTCTCTCTCTCCTTCTCTCTCTCTCTCTCTCTCTATCCCTTTGCTTCCATCTATCAATTTTATTGTTCTCAATCTCCCTGTCTCCCTTTCTCTCTCTCTCTCTCTTTTTCTACCTCTCCCCTATCTCTCTCTCTCTCCCTGCCCCTCTCTGCGTCTTCATATCTACGTCTATCTCCTTCTCTCTATCTCCTCCCACACATCTCATTCTTTATATCTACCTTTCGTTATAGATTTCCTATTTCCATTATCCAGCACATTGCCACACTATGGCATGACTCCTCCTCCAAAATAAGGCTCAAATGGTTTTTGTTTCATTCTTTAAGCAACACTCTTTGTTGCTTCGCCTTTGAGAACTTTAAATTCGCCAAAGCAAACTAAATGAGCACACGATACCAGAGTTAGGTAAACCTAGGGAATGTTAAGGCAGGAAGTATTATCGATGCAGCAGAAGCGGCTGCAACTGCTGCTCAAGTTGCTTCTCGCTCTCCCCCTCTCACTCGCTCCGTCCCTTTCTATAACATATATATATATATATATATATATCTGATCAAGTAAAACACAAGTACTTTCCATATTCACATTTATTAAACACTATACAGTGAAGAGTTTTTTTGTTTTTGTATTTTGTTCAGCCATAGCGATAAAAAAAAAATCAATTTCGAAAAAAAAGTATATATATATATATATATATAATAGATTCGACACTTAAAACTAGGCGTTATAAAAAAAAAATATATACCATATATACTAAATATAAATATATATATATATATATATATACATATATATATCAATATATACATATATATACACACATATATATATAATATTATGATTAAATGTTTAGCAAAAAGATTGTGTGTGTTGGCTATATATATAGGCTCAGTTCCACAGATATCAACTGGTTTAACTCTAGCTAGCATGTTGTTCAGATAAATATATATATATACATATCGATATACATATCGATATATATATATATATATTTAAATGAATAATCAAAAAAAAAAAGTTCGTAATTTAAAATAAAATTAATGCCTTATATATGTATATATATATGGTATATAGTATATGGTAACTATAACTATCATATATTAACTAAGTTTTCTTTTCATTCGTTTTTTTTTTAAATTTTTCATATTTTTTTTTTTTTATTTTTTTCACATTTTTGTTATATTTTTTTTTTAATTTAAGAAAAGTGAATAATACCTATATGGATATATAAAAAAAATTAATTTTCAATTCAGTTAAAGAGACTTACTTAACTACAATTAGCCTTAGTAATTAATAGTATTTTTTTAGTATTTTTAATGGTATTTTTTTTGTTGCTTTTCTTGAGTGTTGAATAAAAACGTTGAAGAAATTTGTTGAATGCATTCGATTGTACAAGTGAAGGGGAATGGGAGATGGGGCTTTATATATATATATATTTATATATATATATATATAAACTATATAGACTTAAGCTAGATGAGGGCGTGTTAAGTGGGCTGGCTAGACTTAACTTAGTTTAGTTGTAGTACTCGATTCATGTTTATCATACAATTGGCCTTACAAATTTGAAGCTACATTAAAGTTAAATAGAGACTAAGCGACAGCTGCTGGGGCCAATGGGAGGCGGGGCGGGGAATGCCTGCGCGAGGGTATCTTAGTGTTTAGCTAGTGTGAATCACATTCACAATGAACTCCAACTCCAACTCCGGCACCAACAATAACTGGTTAGACCAGCGCCAATTTAGACGGGCGAATACGGCGGCGGTGTGATGGAGTAGGTGGGCGATAGCAGCGATAGAGGACTGGCACAGCTGTCGCTGTTGCTGCTGCTGCTGCTGCTGGCAACACCAATCCTTGCTCGAACTGTGCACTATTGTTGGGCATCTTTAGACACATCATTGGCAACGGGCTGATTCACCTCCTTCATGGACTCCACTTTGGCGACGATTTTGAGCGCCGGCCCCAGCTTCATGCCCATCGCATTGACCAAATGATTCTCTTTGAGCAACAGCAGCGCTTGCCCATCGATTTCCTGTTGCACAAAGTCATCAACATAGTCCTGGCAGCCGGGCAGATTGCGTATAAATTCGCTAACCTCGTCCACGCTCCAGCTGGAGATCGATGGACGTTCAGGTGCTACGGCAATGTTGTTGTTGTTGTTGTTGGTGTTGTTGCTGCTGCTGCTGCTGCTGCTGCTGCTGGTGGGCGTGGCAGCCGTTGTTGCTGGCAGCGCTGAAACAGCTGCAGCTGCAATCGCTACTGTTGCCGTCGCTGTTGCCGGCAGCTCGGCTATAATCATGCCCGGCTCCGGACTCAATGCATCCGTTTGCATTTTCTCCTCGGCGAGCGATTCGTCCAGTTTGTCGGCCAGCGCCAATGCATTGTCAGCAACCATGCCAATGCCGCTGCCATTGTTGTTGTTGCTGTTGCTGTTGCTCGCGTTGTTGTTGCTTATTTTGGCCAGGCGCACACAGATCGGCGAGCAATATCGCTTGCGTTTCAGCTTGCTGCGATGCTCCGGCTTGCCGCATTGCTCGCACGCCACCATATCGGCGGGCAGGCCAACCAATGGACTGGCTGCTGCAGCAGCACCACCACCACCACCACCACCAGCACCAGCAGTTGCCGGTACAGTTGTGCTTGTTGTCGTTGTCGTCGCTGCTGCTGTCGTTGCTGCTGCACTTGACTTGAGATCCGTTTCCTGCAGCGCTGCCTTTTTCTCTGCAATGGAAAACACAATTGAAATTTCGATATTGGAATTTGTCTAACGGTTAACTTACTGGGCGGCTCATCCTTGTCATCCTTGTCCGCATAGCGTTGTCGTGTGACCGGAAATGGCTCGTTCGCCTCTTGTATGATGAAGCCGTCGATGACGTGCGTTAAGACATTTGGCTTAATCATTGCCTTGGGCAGGTCCTTGCCATTGCTATTGCTGCTGCTTGTGGTTGTTGTCGCTGTGGTTGTTGTTGTGCTGCTGCTGCTGGCACGCAATCCGCTGCTAGCAATGCCATTGGTAGACGCTGTACTGCTCACATTGCTGTTGCTGTTGCTGTTCTTCTCCTCTTTGCTGTTGCTGTTGCTGTTGCTGCTGCTGCTGCTGCTGGGCAACACGGCATTGCTTTGCTTAACCACAGCAACTGTTGCTGTTGCCGTTGTTGTCAGCTTCGTTGCCTCGCTGATATCGCCATTATGCAGCGCCTCGCCCGTTGTTGTTGTTGTTGTTGTTGCTGTCGAGCTGCTTGCCTCGACGCTGGCTTTGTGCACCTCAGCTGCTGTCAGCGACGTTTCAATGGGCACCAATGTTGCTGTCGGCTGCTGCTGCTGCTGCTGCTGTTGCTGCTTGGGCGTCGTCTCCTGACTGCTGCCTGTGCTCATGCTTATGGCCTTGGTGGGCGTGGCTGGCATCGTTGTTATGCTATTGCTATGGCTATTGCTGAGCGTGACCAGAGCCGTGCTGACAGTCGGCGTTGCTGTTGTTGTTGGCAGGCCAACTGTTGCATTCATCATCGAGGTCATGGCCAGTATGGGATTCTGTGTGGGTGAGCCAGTGGTCAATGTGGTGCTAGTTAGCTGTTGCTGCTGCGCCTGCTGCTGCTGCTGCTGCTGTGCCTGTTGCTGCGCCTGCTGCTGCGCTTGTTGTTGCTGCTGCGCCTGTTGTTGCTGCTGCTGCTGCTGTTGTTGCGCCTGTTGTTGCTGCTGTTGCTGTTGTTGTTGCTGCTGCTGTTGGTGCTGCGTAGCAGCTGCTAGGCTAGCGTTTATGAGTTGCTGCTGCTGCTGTTGATGCTGCTGCTGCAACTGCTGCGCCTGTTGCTGCAAACTGGCCACCGTGCTGCTCGTTACCAGCGGCCCAGCGCCCTGATTGCTGATGGTCACGACGCTGCTGCTGGGCAATGAGTTGCTCGTCTTGGCAGTTGTCTGGAAGACAGTGCCCGCCGAGGCAGACAGTGCCGCCTGCAAGGCGCTCGAGGTGGCAATGCCTGCGGGTGTTGTCGTTGAGCTAACGGAGAACGGCACGCTGGTCAGCTGCAACTGTTGTTGCTGTGCTTGTTGCTGCTGCTGCTGCTGTTGATGTTGCTGCTGCTGCTGCTGCGTGGGTTGCGTTTGCTGCACCACAATTTGTTGTATGATATTTTGTTGATGTTCGCGCTGCTGCTGCTGTTGCTGTTGCTGCTGCTGCACCTGCTGCAATTGATGCTGCAGCAGTTGATTGTGCAGCTGTTGCTGCTGCTGCTGCTGTTGCTGCTGCGCCTGCTGCTGCTGCTGTTGCGAGGCAATAAACGTATTTGGCGCCACCTGCAATATTTGCTGCGCTGTGGCATTCGTCAACGTTTGTTGCTGTTGCGTTTGCTGCGTCTGCTGCTGCTGCTGTTGCTGCTGCTGTTGCTGCTGCTGCTGTTGGTGCTGCTGCTGTTGTGCGTGTTGCTGCTGCTGCTGCTGCAGTTGCAGCAATTGGTGCTGCAACATCTGCTGCTGCAACAATTGCTGGCTCTTTATTATCTGCAACTGTTGCTGCTGCTGTTGCTTATCGACGCCGCCCGCCTGCAACGTTTGCCCATTCTGCAGTGTTATGGGCGTGCCCGTGCTCATGACCACCATCCTAAGAGACATAGAGATACAGATTAGCAATTGAGATAGAGTTAGAGCTGCTGATGCACCACTGGCACCACTTGCACCACTTACTTGTTGCCCGCCGTTGTCACCACCTGATGCAGATTGGCGGCTGCCGCTGCTGCTGCTGCCGCCGCTTGCTGTTGCTGTTGCACGGCCAAATGCTGACTCAGCGCATTGCTGTTCACCTGTCCGCCCGCCGCCTTGCCACCGCCAGCGCCCACCTGTCCGTTCTCCGTCTTCAAGGTGGGCAAAGCGGGTCGCACCGGCTGCTGCTTGTTGCGCATCTTTGCCTTGAGCAAACTTTGATTCTGCGCCGTCTGCGTGGACACCGAGCTGGCGGGTCGCACCTGCGCCCCATTGTGTGGCAAGATGGGCGCACCTGTCCGCTGCAGCTGTGCCGTCAGCTGTTGCTGCTGCAGCACCGCCTGCTGCTGTGTGGCCAACTGCTGCTGCGCCGCCTGCTGCTGCTGCTGCTGCTGTTGCTGCTGCTGCTGCTGTTGCTGCTGTGCATTGGCCTGTTGCTGCTGCTGCGTCTGTTGCTTTGGCGCCAGCGCGTCTAGCTGAGCGCGCGCCTTTGTTGGCGTCTGCGTCACATTGCACTGAATTATCTCTGCGAGAGGGAGAGAGAAAGAGAAGGAGAAAGAGAGAGAAAGGGTTGCATTAGTTTCTCGTTAGCTAGGGATGGGCGCGTGACACGATGCGTAGTAGTTGGCCAGGGCTAAGCTTGACATTCTATCAACTCCCTCGATATCGATACTAAGTTGATCGATAATAATTACCAATCGATATACATCAACGAATCATATACAAGCTACTCATGACTGAAACTAGCTCAAGCAGCGAGCAGTGAGCACCGAGTAGCTCATTGCTATGTTTTATCGATTACAAAAGTTATCGATGATTACCAACTGGAGTTACGACAATTTGGAACTAATAGAGCTTAATTTTCCATAAAAAACTACGTTTCGTTTATATTTTGTGTAGAAAATTCAGTTATCGATTGTTGCTAGTTCCGATAACTTGGAAGTCTCAGTTTTACTTTTTGAAAATAATTTATAATTTACTGTTATAACAGCTCGAGTTTTATATATATATATTTGGTTTCATCTAAATTAACTCTTGCTGAACATGAACCAGTTCATTTGTTTTTGCTGCGCTGTTATCGAACTCTTTCGATATAGATATAAATCTCAATGCGCTCCATTGACATTTGTTTAGGAAATGCTCCCTCATTTCACTCACTTGCAGAACTAGTTCCGCTTGCTCTCAACTAGTTCAATTACCCAAATGTAAACGCAATATATGTCGCCCGGAACTAGTTCCAAACTCGTTCACAACTAGTTCATTCCATTGCACACGTCTACATATTCATTAATATGCTCCACTCTTTATTGAAGTCGACTTGATCTCTACATGCTTTAGTTGGGAACTAGTTCCAAGTTCGCTCACAACTAGTTCACTTCAATGCATGCACTCTTATGTAAGTGTCACTTCATTGAAATCGACAAAGCAGTTTTTCTCTATTCCTTTTATTTTGGAACTAGTTCCATTCATTTTGAACTAGTTCATTTGAATCTAAATACTTTACAAGTAAGATGTGGCTTTTTATTGAAGTCAACTATCTATCTATCTATCTACTAGCTATAGATTGGAACTAGTTCCAAGCTCGCTCACAACTAGTTCATTGCTGAATATCCTGTCTATATACATTCCATGTCTACAGCTCACTTATGCTACTTTATGGAGAGCCACTAATCACACGTTGATTGGAACTAGTTCCACTCAACTAGTTCGTGCTGTTCGGGTTTTCTTCTACTTACGATTCTGCTGTGTCTGGAGCGCTTGATGCGTCGCCGGCTGCTGGATGAACATGCCGGACGTATGATCCGCCTGCCCGCGCAATATAATCGGATTCGCACCGAAATTGGACCAGAACCAGGGATTAATCATCTGCTGCGGTTGGCCGCTTGCAGCGTTCTGCAGCGGACTAATTAGCTGGGCTGCCTGGGCAGCGGTAACACCTGGCAGCGTTGACTGCGACACCTGGACACATTGCTGCGTTGTGGTCTGCTGCTGTTGCTGCTGTTGCGTTTGAGCATTGCCACCGCCACTGGCGGCTTGCACCGTATTCGTTGTGGTTGTCACCTTCTGCACCACCTTCTGCTGCAGCTTGGCCTGCCCGTCGCTGGTCAGGCCCACCTTCGAGGCGGTCACAGCCAGCGCTGCCTGCTGAGCTGCAGTCAATTGTTGCTGTTGCTGCTGTGTCAATTGCTGTTGCTGCTGCTGCTGTTGCTGCTGCTGCTGCTGTTGCTGCTGCTGCTGTTGCTGCTGCTGTTGCTGCTGCTGCTGCTGCTGTTGCGCCGCCGCCGCCGCCTGCATGGTGTGCAGCAAGCTCTGCTGCTGCGGCGAAATCACATTCACTGGCGAAATGAGCAACGTCTGCGGCGACTGACTCGAGGGGATCGCATAGGTGCCACCGGCAAAGCTCGCCTGCCCGCCAATCATCTGTTTGGCGTTCTGTGTGGTCGTCGTTATCATCTGCGGCCCGCTGCCCTGAAAGTGCTTGCTGGCAATCACCTGTATCGGCTGCTGGCCGAGCGTTGCCGGCAACAGGTTGCCGGAGACGATCATTTGCGGATAGATGAAGCCCGTCGATGGCTGCATCAGTTGCACCGTTCGACCGTTGGCCCAGTCGCCGGGGACACCGCCGGTGGCAGCAGCCAATTGCATTGGCGACATTGTGCTGATTGCTGTCGAGTGCTGTTGCTGTTGCTGCTGTTGTTGCTGCTGCTGTTGCTGTTGCTGTTGCTGCTGTACAACCTGCTGTTGTTGTGCTGCTGCCGCCGCTGCTGCCGCTGCCGCTGCCTGTTGCTGGAGCACGTTTTGTTGCGCTGGACTGCCGGCAGCTGCAGCAGCAGCGGCAGCGGCAGCAGCAGCCACAGCGGCCGCAGCCGCTGCATTGCCATCGCCAGCCGCCGTCAATTGTTGCAGCTGCAATTGTTGCAGCTGTGTCGTTTGGCTGGCATCCAATAGACCCGTGGCGTGCTTCAATTCGTTGCTGTTGCCGCTATTGTTGCCGCTGTTATTGCTATTGTTGTTGTTGTTGCCGCCGCCATTGTTGTTGCTGCCGCCGCCAACAACGCTGTTGTTGTTGCCGCTGGCATTGTGCGTGGGAAACTCCTGTTTAACCTGTATGGCTGCATACGGATTGCTCGCATAGAATTGCTGCAATTGCTCAGGTGAAATTTGCAGTGGCACCGCCGCAGCGGATGCCACCTGTTGGGCGGGGCTCTGTGATTTCTCCAGCGTGCCGCCAACAACTGATGTTGTTGTTGCTGCTGCTGCTGCTGTCGCTGCTGCTGCTGCTGCTGCTGCTGCACGCGAAGTGGGCGTGCTGGAACGCGAACGCGAACGTGAAACACTGCGTGAGCGCGCGTTGTTGCTGTTGCTGTTTGGTGTTGTTGCTGCTGTGGGTGTTGTTGCTGCTGCTGTTGGTGTTGTTGCTGTGCGTCGCGGCGTTTGCGCTGTATTTGTTGCAATTGATGTGGGCGTGGAGCTTTTTATATGATTATTGTTGTTCAATTGTGTATTATTATTGTTGTTATTGTTGTTATTGTTATTATTATTATTATTATTATTATTATTATTATTATTGTTATTGTTATTATTATTATGATTGTTGTTGTTGTTAGTGTTGCCAATGCCTGGATGTGGCGGACTAGCAAAATCGTATTTCTCGTCAAATGTTATGCCAGCCTTTTGAGCCAAGGTCTCCAAGCACTTTAAAGGTCGCTCAACACTAACAATATGTTGCTGCTGCTGCTGCTGTTGTTGCTTGTGTTGCTGCTGTAGCTGTTGTAGCTGTTGCGTTGCTGTTTGCAACTTGTCGCTGTTGCCGTTGTTGCTGCTGCTGCTTCTTATATTCGAATTGTCCTTTAGGGGTAGCGCAGTTGTTGTTGTTGTTGTAATTGCTGCTGCTGTTGTTGTTGTCGTTGTTGTTGTAGTTGCTGCTGATGCGGCCGTTGTTGAAATTGTTGCTGCTGCTGCTGCTGCTGTCAATGTGTTTGTTGTTGCTGTTGTTTCGCTTTCAGTGTCCGCTCTGCGTTAACCAGAAAGAGAGTGAGAGAGAGAGAGATGCAAAATAGATTAGTAAAGGCATATGCATAGGAAACACATACACACAGACACACACACACACACAGATAGCTGAGGCATGCACACACACTTGCAACGTTTGCGGCGACTGCGCTTGGCATGCAACATTTTTGCCCGACAATATCACAAAATTAATATGAAAAGCAATCCAAAGCCAACGAAAGCAGCAAGGCAAAAGAGACGAGCAAAAAAGCAATGCAAACTGCAGACTGCAAACTGAAAATTGCAAACAGGTTGGCAGCACCCGCCATTTGCATGCAGGCAAGCAAAAAAATAATAACAAAAAGCAATAAGAAAACAACAACAATCGCCAGCCAAAGCGTAGGCAATAAATGCCCGCGTTCGCTCTTCCACTCTCTCTCTCGCGCACACACAAAAGCTCAGCATAGACTGAGCGAGCGTCCAATGCAAAGATCATTCATAGCAAAATAAATAAACAAATGCCTAATGTCAAAGATTCTACTTGATTTCTAGTGGCAACATTTAAAACTTATTTTTAAATAATTTAATATATTTTTGTTGGTAAATGTACACATATATCACGGACACTTGTATAATATCTAAATATTTTTTTATTATTTATATTTATTTTTCAACTTTGATCTGCACTGCCTTATTCCTTCTGCATGTGAAGCAGTCTGCAATCATTGACCCACATAACGGTAAATGTAGCTCACGTCAGAGCACGCATATAATACACACACACACACGCGCAACTATGCATTAGTTACTCAAAAGAGGTCATCTGTGATGCAAAAGTCTGCATACACACACACACATACATATATACATAAGCCCCGGACAACATTTATATATAGATTATTATGATTTTATTTTGTTGCGCTCTTCCTCTATTGCCGTCAATTGTTAACTGTAAACATGCAGAGGCAGGAGTTGCCAGTGAATGAGAGATGCAGTCTAACTGCATGCGTGGGAGAGTCAGACGAGGTTGAACGAGCTATCCGGGTGAGCAAGAGAGATACAGAGAGAGAGAAAGAGAGTCGCAAATGCAGTTACCGTTATCTAGGTCTCATGCAGCTAACTGCATTGAAAGTTATGCATAGAAAGTAAAATAATCAAAGTGAAAATGTTCAAAAAGGCACAATTTTGCATTTTTGTTGCTATGGGTATGAAATTTGGCAACGTCACAATAAGTTAACATTGAGCTGAATCCTTTAAATTGTCAGTTGAGTGTAATTTGTGTGTATAAAGTTGGTTAAGAGAAGTAAATGCGGCCAGTGATGAGCAAGTGTCAAGTCATCGCAGCTTAAAGCGAAACATTTTCAGACGTTGCCAAACTTCATAGTTCAAAAGCCCAAAGAAAAAGCCTCATAAGATTTTCGTTTAAATAACACAAGGTAACTATACCAAGATCCATTCCCGGCCGAGCCACCTAATCCCCCAATCTAAGTTCCCCGCAATGCCCGTGAGGCATATAAAAAAAATATGTGCATAAAAAAAAAACAAAAAAAAGGAAAAAAAAAACTACAGCCGATGTACGAGGCAGAAGCAGCGGCTGCAGGAGAGGCGGGCCGGCACAGCATTAGGGTTACCCCTGGCAACACCACATCAAAAGTAAAAACGGGGAGCGGGGTGGAGCAGCAGTGGGCGGTTTTGGCAAGCCATGAAATCGGTCAGGGGTGTTTCAATGCAACGAATGCGGGAGGGTTGCTGTTGGTTTTCTTCTGGGCTATGCTAAGGTCGCACGCCCCCACCAAAGCACCGCAAACGGCAAAGAGCAAGCGTAAGCTGGTGGAACGAAATAAATAAAAAGGAAAGAAAAAATGTCGACTAGACGCCGTGCCAGACGCAGCAGCATCCTTTTCAACGTCACAAAAAAAAATAAACTTGCAGCTTAAGACTGGTTTGATGCCTGTTTGCATTTGTGTATGTGTATGAGTGTATGTTTATGTATGTGTATATGTGTGCGTACAATTGTGTGTATGTATGCGAGTGTGTGAAGAGAGTAGCTTCTACGCGAGCGTAAGAAAGAGTGAGAGCCTCTGAACGTTGCTGTCAGTTCAATGTTATGAGTGGAGCTGAGGAGTGTCATTAATATTCTAAGACCGATAATAATATTAATGTTGCACAGCCATCATCAATTTTATGCTTGCTCTAACCACTTTGAGTTGCAAGAAGATTGATAACAAGCCGACAACGCCAAGAAACCGAGCATGCGCTCAAGAATTGAATAAAAAAAATATAAGTGTGAGCGAATAGGTTAGAGATATAACTGAGAGAGCGCGCGCAGCTTGCATGCAGGCAAGAGTAATAGAACATGAAATTCAAATTGTTGCGAGAAACATGCGTGCAAAATTACGTTTGGTGGTTGTTGGGGCATTAAACCTGTACACAGTGTAGGTGGTAACGGGGATGAGACGCAAATAGATGACTACATATTGATTATACGAACCGGTTTCATTTCTATATGCCAGACCACAGCCACCAACAACTTACTCACTCACACACACACGATTGCGAATACAGATACAATAGAGCGCGAAGCATTGATGTTGCCCTTGTCGCAGTCGTTGCCTAATATTCGAAAGTGTAAGCGGGATAACAATACTTTCTTGGTCAAACTCACACACACACTTATGTGCCAAATGGTTGAGAGCGCGAGCGTGAGTTGGTATAAGACTAGAGTTGCCATCAGACAAATAATTGCATACATTTTTCTTACATTTCAACGTTTATTCATTAAAACAAAACCGATAGATCATGACATGCTAGTATTTATTTATATTTGATTAAACAGGAAAGCAATTCAAAATTTAAACTACAAACAAAAAGTACAAAATGTATATTATATTTACATTTATTAATTTAGTAATGCAAACTTTTTGAGCAGATGGCAACACTAACCACGCGCCTTAAATTTTGTTTACTTCGTACTATGGGCTCCCACGCGCACGCAAGCGAGAGAGCGAATGCACTCCACTAACTGTTGTTGCTGCCGCGGTTTTATTTTATTTTCTTCTTCTTCAGCGCAGTGCTCCCGCTGCTTATAATGCCGCCTGCAATTTCAGTTTCGGACCAAAAATTTGTTACTTCGGCTTAGAACTTTTGCTTTTCAATACTGCGAAAAGTAAAAGAAAAATCAACCACCAACAAATTTACAAACATACACATATACACAAAGGCATATGTATCGCATGCATTGCGAAATTTAATGCGTGAGTGTGTGTGTGCGTGCGTATGCATGAGGTTGACTGCAGCGTTTTATAAACACTACATTAGCTGAGCAGATGGGGCAACAAAAAAAACTCGTTTAGGACTTCTGATTTTAGCTCGCTTTAGCTGAAAAAGAAGAGTGTTTCAAGTACAACTTCGATTATGATGGGACGTCAAACAGCGACTGCACACAGATACACACACATAAGCACTCGAATATGCATTTGCAAAGATGTAGTACACATTCGTTATTTGCAGCAGTGTTGAAAAGCGTCGCACTGTTGAGCTGCGCGCCAAAGATAGCGCGCTGCAATTAACAGCAGCATTAAAAAAGTATGTAAATATTACAAATACGAATAAAATGATTTAAAATGTTGGGAAATCAATGTATATAATGAAAGGAATAAAATCAAGTGTGTACACACAGCATAGAATATTTTTCTGCGCTGCGAGGGTCACACTCAACGCTAACCTGAGACGCGGCGCAATGAAATAATAACAAATACACAAGTATAACCACCACAAGAGTGAAAGAGAGAGGGAAATAGCAAGAAGTTCGTGTATATGAGTGCGTGTGCAGAAAAAATGAAATAACATTAGTAATAAGCAATAATAAACGCGAGTGCATTGACACACATACACATACATGTATGCGTATGTGCATATGCGAGTGTGTGAAATAGTGTCTGCTTGCAAATGCAATATTGTATTTAAAAACTTAAAAAAATCGAAACAAAACAAACAAAAAAAACAAAATACCTTTTTTGCATAAACTTCAATGCACGACGATCCATTATTCAAAATAAAAACAATTTGTATAATAAATTAATAGTAAGCATGCGGCGACGTCAGCGGCGACGGCGACTGCAGCAGCGACGACAGCGATGTTCTGTTGTTTTTTGCTGTTACTCTGACGGCGACTGCGACTGCGACTGCTGTTGCTGCTGCTGCTATTCTGCGGCTGCTGTTGCGAGTGCTGATTGTTTTTATTGTTGTTGGCAGCATATTGCTGCTGCTTCTGCGTTTGTGTAATTTTCTTTTATGTTGTTGCTGTTTTTATTTTTCTGTCGGTAACAAATATATGAGATAAACACACACACAAACGTACATATATATACGAGTACAGGCAATAAACATATACATATACATATAAAAACAGGCAAAAAAACGTAAAACTTTGTTGCAAGGCAAGCGCAACAACAAGAAAACATACAAAAATGTACACAAAAAAATGTCTCGCCGAGCGTCAGCCTCAGTCGGTGTATGTGTGTGTATACATATGTGTATGTGTATATTGTATATCTGTTCGTGTCTGTCTGTGTGTGTATGTACGTTGTCTGAGACTTCGACTGCGACTGCGACTGAGGCGTGTAAATGAACGTATCGTGCACGAGAGCAATAATTAGTACGTACGTCCACTCGCTGCAGCGGCTTCGTCGACGTCAACGTTGACGTTGGCTCACAATTAATGCAATGCCTGGCTTTATTTCACAGTTAATTCATTTTTGTTTTCTTTTTTATATGTATTATGCTGAATAGTCCAAGCACCTGTACACGTGATGTGCGTGGGCGCTTGGAAAGGGTGGATGGGGTAGAGGGTTTTAGCTTTAACTATTGTTGTGTGTCTCGGCTTACATAAAACGCGGCGGCGACAACTCTAGCAACATATTTTTTGTTAGGCAGCACACAATTTCACTGCTCGCTTTGGCAGCGGCTGCGACTGCGACGCCGGCAGCATAACTTTTCACTTTGCAGCATGTATCTTGTATCTTTTTGGTTAACTTGAACTTGCAACACCAAAAAAATATATTAAAAAATCCAGTTGTTAATTTGTCGATTTGGTTAGTCTTTGCATATATGCATGTGAGTATTTGTGTGCGTAGCGCGACGCGTTGTATCTTTTATCTCGACTAGTGGTTTGGACAGATCGGCGCGAGCGAGCGAACAAAACGCAAACCGTGCGGTCCCAAGTTGAATTTTAGACTGACACGCGCGCAGACTGCGGCAACTCTGCCGAAACAAAATGAAGCAGCAGCGCGCATGTGTATTGGTGACTGTGTGTGTTAGTCTTAGGAGGGTTGGCAGGCAGCTGGGCGAGGAAAACGAGTTTCCTCACACATACACACGCTCAGATAACACGCACAGCGAAACATTTCTCTATAACAAATGCGGGTGTGTGACTGCGATGCCAAGAGTAAGTCACAAGCCGGGACTATCGAGTGCGAGTGTGACTGCAATAGCGTCATTACTCGCTGTTCGCAGCGTTTTGTTGTGTGCGCTTTGGGGGTGTGTGCGAACGAAAGAAAAAATGTACGTGAACAAAAAAGAAAAAACAAAAAAACGAGGCTACACAGCTGGCGGGCATATGTATTGTATTTGCTTTTGCTTTCGCGCCCGTTGTGGCGCATTCATCCATCTATATGTTTGTATGTATATATATATGTGTGTGTGTTGCGCTGTCATCCACCCTGCCCGCTACTTTTGGCACTGCCGCCCTTGTCGACGAGCGAGAGACCAGTTTTCTGTGTCTGTATACTCGAATGTCGTTTCGTTGTGGTTGTTGCTGTTGTCGTTGCTGATACTGCTGCTGGCTTGCTTGCTATACTTCATCTTCTTTTTTCGATTTCGCGTTTGCCACCACCACACCTTCGCATACGCCTATACAGACGTACACACATACATGCGCATACATACAGATATACATAAATACATACATACCTGAGCTGACTAGCAAACGACAGCGGCTTTATTTTATTATTAGTTTTGCTTGTCGGCCTCACCCGGGACCGTTGGTCGCATCGGGCTGGTGGGGGGGAGCTACGAGTGTATCGCCGAAGCATTCGTTCGCTTTCGCTTGTAGGTACAGTGGCTGGCGTTGTATTATTTTTATTTGAATTTCATTTTCTTTCCGTTTAATTGTTAATGCTAATGTGTTTTTAATGCCAATATTGTTTATTCAATATTTTCATTTGTAATACTTTGAGATTTGTATAAATGTGGCTGTGACTGATGGCACTCGCTGATTGAGCACACACGTTGGTTTATTGCAATTATTATATGCTATTGACGTATTAATATATACCCAATGTATATGTATAAGATCAGTATTTTTAATGTTATTTTTTATATTTATTTTATTATCTTTAATACAATGTACTTGTATGCTATATATAAATATAAAATAATAGCATTAATATAATATTACTATAATATTATAAATTAAATACATAGAAATATATTGCACACTTGCACCACTGTGCCTTGTCAGAAGCTCTAGCATTCCATTTTTCATTTTGTTGTTTGACTGTGTGAGCTGCCCCCGTATAACTGTTCGTAGCTGTGTGCGTCGCTTTGGGCTGTTCTTGTAGTCGACGTTCACAAATGTTCAACGTTATATGTATGCCTGTATGTTTGTCTCTCGTTGAGGTTGTTGTTGTTTTTGGGCTACTGCTGGCAATGACAGGCAACGCTGATGTTGTCGATGTGAGGCTCGTTGTTGGAAACGAACGATGGCACGAAACATTTTGGTGTTTGCCTCGTTTTTGTTGTTGCTGCAGCCGCCATATTATTTCTACGCTTGTTAAGTGTTTTTGCCTGCTGTTTCTCTCTTCTCTATTATGCCTTTTATTTGGTTTTTGATTGCGGCCCGTTCATCTATACATATGCATGTGTGTGTGCGTGGCGATCCGGCTTCATCTTTGGCTGGACTATGTGTGTATTGGATTTTTTTATGGTTGGACTTTTGTATTTTTTGTTGTTGTTTTCGTATATCTGTACGTAGTTTTTTCTTATTAGTTGGGCAGACCTTCTTATGTCTTATTCAACTGTACAAAAAGCAATGCGGAGCATGCGCTCTTTTTTTTGTACGCTTCGAATTATGAACTCAAACTTGTTGGGTCTGGCTGCGGTAGTTGTTGGTGTGGTTGCCGTTGGCACTGGTTGGGGGGTCGTTGGCGTTGGCGCCGCAGTGTGAGCGAGCGCACGAGTGTGTGTCGAACGTTTCAGCATGAGTTAGCCTATGTGTGAGTAGCTCTACTTGTGTGTGTATGTATGTGCTTTTGTATATTTTATACAAAAATGACAAATGTATAATCAGCGTAAATTGCTTTGCGCGTGCTTTTTTTCACTGGCATCAATTTACCTTAGTGCGCTCTCGCTCTCTCTCTCTCGTTGCTGCCTCACTTGCGCTTATTAGCGCAGCCCGCGCGGCTGTATGTGTGTGTGTCGGTGAGTTGTAATTGCCTCACTCTCACACACATATTAGCTCTAGCATTGTTATCGTTAGAATTTCCTTCACCATTTTTAAAAAAAAACCTTGGAATTATCAACATCTGCATACACAAATACACTTACATACATACATACACATGCATACGACAGCCCGACTGGGGTGTCATTCGGGGCGTATAATATTGCTTTGCGCACGTCTGTATGTGTGTGTTGATTCAACTATCAAAATGGGTTGCTGATTGTTGGGTTCGCTTTGTTTTTGCTTTTGCTTTTGTAATGAAGTTTGAGCTCAGCGCCTAGGCGTGGTCAACTAAGCGTCGATCTTACTGTTAGGTCACCGAATTGAACGAAACTTCGACTTAAAAATAATTATACACAAAATACTTGCGCGATTGTATGTGTGTATCTCTAAAATGTGTGCATGGATGAATGCATGTGTGCACGTATGTGTGTATGCAGCTATACTGCTTATTAACCTCTCATATTACACAAGCAACTGATCGATTCACCCTTGTCCTTGCCCAGCTCCTCCTGCGTAGCGCACACACGCAGTCGTTATGCTCGCACGCATGCACATGTGAACGCTCAGGTTCAGTGCTGTGCGCTTCTTTCTTTTTCAAAATTTTCGTTAGGTTTTGGCGACATTTGTATGCGCTCTTTGTTATCGATAATAGTGATTGTTTAGTTATGCTTATTGTTTCATAAATTGAAAAATGTTATTAATTAGAATTTTGCTACGAATTTTGCTTTGCTTATTGTTGGTGTTTATAAATTGATTATTATAATTGAAGTGATTAACATAGTTTTTCTTTTTCATTATGAATTTTTATGAATAGGATAAGAGCAAATAAAATGATATATATAATAATATTATTAAAAAGTTTTAGCTAAATAACTTAAATGAAATCGTATCCAATATAAATTTACAAAATACATATTTCATATTTGATATTTGGACAACCCCTGTTGACTAACTGTTTGTAGTTGACCCCTCTTGAGATTTGCTGAAAAACCCATTGAACAGGCACGAACTGTACCGCTGGCTGGATGCGCTACTGCCAAGGGCCAGGGTAGTTCTGGCCGTCACTTTTTTTGTCAAAAGGGTTGAACTTTGGCACTTAATACACACACACACCTTGTGTGTGCCTTTCGCTCCCTTCACTTTTTCCTTTCTCCATTTTACGCCGTACTATGAATGCATTGCCAAAAGCAAATATTCAACAATTACCCCCAAAAATATTGCAGCTATTAAATAGAATGTGCCAAAAGCAACCCCTGAACTTGCTAAGGGCTGTTTCTCATTATTATTATTGTTGTTGTTGTTGTTTCTGGTGCTGTTGGTTTGGCAAAGAAGTTTCGCCAGGGCCGGAACTATGCACAGCCGACACAGATCTTAACTCTTGAGTGACTTAAGGGTTGGGGGATCAAAGTGTGGGGTGCCAGAGAGATCATTCCGAGATTTCCCAGGCAAATATGTGTAAAGATCTCAACAGGGAAAAGTTGCTTAGTTTCTTCATTTTTCTGGATATATCTTTAAAGATATTATCTTAACGGTATATTTATATATAAGAAAATAATATACAAATACAAAAAACAAAACACAAATTTTCACGCTTAAAAAAGGGTCGACTTTTCATAGTATAGGAATTTGATTAAATAGTGAACTTTTTCTGCTTCTTCTTCATTTTCATTATCTACTCGTAAAGTATTTAACATTTATCTTGATGGTCCTTTATCATTCGACTTCACATTTCAAATTTTGGAACTAGAAATCTTATCAATCTTATCTATATCAATGTCTGACACCTGTGAGCTCTAGCGACTGTACTTTGATTAACCATTAGCTTAGGAGACTGATATATATATATATATATTGAAGATAAGATTAATGGAAGTAAGATGTGAATACAAAAACCTAGTATTTAGAAATCTGAAAATTAAGTTTGGGGCCTAGTTGATAGAAAGCTAAAAGTTTTGAAATCTAGAAAGCTACCATATGAGCATCAAGTATGTGTGATCCTAATATATGGAGCCTTGGTAGATGAACTACCCAGTATACACAGGGAGTATATGAAAGTCCAGAATTGGGTAACCATGTTACCAAGTTATCAAAGTTAGTATTTCGGAATCAAAGTAAGTCTATAGAAGCCTAGTATATGGCAGAGCTGCTTGAGAGTTTTGCTAATCAGTATATATAAAAAACAGGTAACATTTGAAAGCCCAGTATGTATATAAAAACGTGCTATATGAAAACCTAAAGTGTCTAAAACCCTAATGGATACGCAATTTTAGGGAACCAAGAAACCTAGCATCTGAAAAGGCAGAAGATGGAAACCGACTATGGGGAAGCCCAGAAGCTTAGCATATGGAAATCAACTAGAAACCTAGTTAACATATAAGAAGAAAAAAAAAAGTATATATAAACCCGCTATATCGAATATACAGAACTGCAATATAAATAAATGAAAAACCAAGAACTTAGTTACCTTATAAAGGAAAGTCTAGTTGGGAGTCAGGAAACTAAGTGTACGGACTCCTATGAACTTAATATATGCAAACACAAAATATGTTTCTTTCTTAGAGGGAAGTCTACTAATTCGAAACCTACTAGATCGCAAGCTAGATATAGATAAGATATGGAAATGATTTCTATACAATTACACAAAAGATATTAACATAATAGATCTTTGTATCTATAAGATCTAGCAGACGAAAGTTAATATGTATATATGTATAAATAAATATATATATATATATATATATATATTTAAATATAAAAATATATATGTATATTTAAATATAAAAATATATATATATATATATATATATATATATATATATATATATATATATATATATATATATATATATATATATTTATATATTTATATATTTAAAAAAGCCTTTTATATATGATAAAACATACCCTTGAACTTTGATAGAACGCGCAGCTAAGATTTATCGATATAAATTCAAATAAACGATAGCATTTTGCCGTTAATAACAATATATGATTTCTTCTGAATTGTTATTGTTTTTATTATTATTATTATTATTATCATTATTATTATTATTATTATTTTTACTATTATTATTATTATCATTATTATTATTAATATTATTAATATTATTATTTTTACTATTATTATTATTATTATTATTATTATTATTTTTACTATTATTATTATTATTATTATTATTATTTTTACTATTATTATTATTAGTATTATTACTATTATTATTATACAACCATGCGTTATTCCACCGTTTGTAGGCCCCTCATTATGGCTCCGATTAGATAACTTCCACTTGGCAGGGCTTATTGAATATTTCGATGTCAGCTTTACTAAACAAAATTTAAACAATGTTTATTGAAACAAGAGCCACGGCTCAGAATTGCAGTAGGGAGTGATCGATTAGAAAATAGCTTAGCTTACGAGAAGACATATACAAAGCTTAGCTTGTTCTCACTTTCAAAACTTATGATATAAGGCAAGGCGTGTTATCGATATATATATATATATATATATATATATATATATATATATATATATATATATATATATATATATATTTATTTATTTATATATATATATATGATTTTATGTTATAATAATCACAAAAATGTTTACTCATAATTCTCGGTTTTAAACATTGCTGAATCAATCGATTGCAAATGTTTAGTTCATATTCTGGATCGATAAATCGTATAAAATGTACTAACTAACTTTATTTTAATTATAATAGTTATGAAAATATCTAAGATAGTAAAAATATTAGTCTACCGCTCTTATTTATAAAGCTCTATTCGTTTAACAGACGTACATGTCAATTTATGTCGTCCATTCCTCATTCGCTAATGGCATTTCATTGCGGTGACTTTCTTGGTATTGCACAATAATTGGACGATCGTTGGCGTGAACAACAGTTAAAAAATAGAAGCGCGCCGCCATTTTGAATTAACTGTCGCTGTCTAATTGCAGTTGGTATCGCGACTGCGTCCAATACAAAATGCCGACGGCGAAAAATGGGCGCGCTGCTTGCTGGTCGTTTTCGTTTTTTCGTTTTGGGGGTGGGTGTCGTCGAACGACAAAGCCAACAGTTCTTTCGCAAGCGAAACAACATCAACTATAGAGCTGTAAGCAAAGGAGCGAACGAGATAGATATATGTTAGGCGCATGTCGCTGGTGGTGCGCTGCAAACGGAATGGGCGTTGCCGTGGTGAGTTCAGTCGCTATATGGTGAACCAGCGTGTATAACAGTTGCATGGTAACAATATATTAGTTCTCGAAATTCTTGTCAAATAAATATTTAAAAAAAACTTACTTAATTTCTAAAAATATAAAAAAAAACGTATAGTTAAGCAGATATGCATGTGTGTACGTTTCTCATAAAGCCCATTAAAATAAATATTGCTTTCGGAGGCATAAAATTGAATTTTTTGTGGTGTGCTAAACAAAATGGTGGACATTTCATTTTTAAATGTTATATGTATAAAAAACGGAAAAATGTTAAATATTGTACTTTAAGTGATTATCATGTAATTAGAATTGATTTACATAACATATAAATTAAAATTATTGTTTTTGAGGTTATGTTAAAACAAGATTAATAAGAAAATTAATTAAAATAGGATTTTTAATTTATCAAATTTGAACATATTAAATGTATTCTTAAATAAATACAAACATAATAACTTATTATTAAAATAAATGCTTATTAAAATTAACAAAATGCGGAGAAATTAAGTTAGTATCTAAAATATAATACAAATATTAGTTTCTATGCTTTAAATCAGTTTTGCAATATGTCAGTATCAACTAAAAAATGTTTAAAAATCGCAAATTATTATTGTAATATTTTTTGTTTTTGTATAAAAAAAAAACAAAAACAATTCCTACGACTTGAGACATGAAAGAACTTGCAAAGCTTTCCAAACAGCTGATCGGCGCAAAGGGAGCTTTTATTGTGGCGCTTGTTAGCTTTTACATGCTCACTCACTGTCAGTCTCTCGCTCTCTTTCTTTTACGCTTTATTTTTTTATGCGCCGCTCACGCTTATTTTAGTGATTGTCGTCTGTGATTTCGTTTTAGTTTTGTTTTGGTTGCGCCTAAGATTGTGCGACTAGGCGAGCAAATAATATAAAGAAGAGTAAGCAAAGTATAGGTGCATTAACGTATAAGCATAAGTATAAGTATCTAATTATGTATAAGAGTGACTTTAGTGTTATATCGGACTTCTCTTGTCTTTTGCGTTGCGTTGTCTCTTTGCGGTTATTTTCCATAACGGATTATCTAAAATCTATGCAAATGATTGGAGCGTGTGGCGGCGCTCTGTGCTTGTGTATACTTCTCTCTATCTCTCTGTATCTCTCTCGCTCTCTCTGGTGCCGAGTGCGTGAATGGCGCGTGTACGTCAGCTGATGTCAGAAAATACATGCAAACGTAGATATGTACAATGCGCGCGTGTTTATGTATGTATAACGGCGATAGTATAAAACATATTGAATACTTATATTGCTGCGCTACGTACATACATTCATAGATATGTGTGTACATATATACACGCATACAATTTGTATGAAAATTTTTTGCTTATCAGTTGCTACATACAAACATTTATAAGATAATACACTAACACATACTCATATGCACACACCCACGTGTCCACACACACACATACACAGGCCTGCGAAGCCATTCAAGCTTTTCGACGTAATCAAATAAGACAGGGCATCTGAAAGACGACGGTCGGAAATGTAAACAAAAACAAACGTGTGAAAAAGCGCTAAGGTCAAAAGCTTTAAAGCTTTTTGAGATCGGCCTGCTTGCGGGACAGGCACAGACATCACTTGGCTTGTAATGTCAAGCAAATGAAGGAGGGTGAAAGAGAGAAAATCATAGATAAAACTTTATTTTAGCAGCAGCTGACAACCAACAGTCAAACATGTCTGTCATACAATATGGCTGCAATCAGCCAGCGATCACATGCCAGAGATGAGCTTATCAAAATAATTGAAATTAGCCAAATCAAAAAGAATTTTAAATAAAAAGTTTATTAATAGAGATTAAGATAGTCATATTTTGGTATTTGTACTACACATACATCAGTCTAAAACTTGATAATGGATTTAGCTGACAGTTTTGCCCGATCTAAGCTAAACAGGCTTCAAGTATTGTCCATGACTGAGTTTATGCACTCAACCTTCAACGCAATTCAGTCACAGAAAGACCGCAAATATTGAGCCAAAGGTATGGTAAGGCAGGCAGGTAAATTAGACGATCGTAAATGAGTTTATGATTATGCAGTTTCGTTTGCCTTTGTACCTGGAAACAGACAGACAGACGACGGCCAGACCTATGCACATATTGACAAAGTAAACCCGGTCGCGGTCATAAACATATTGACTTTAACAGCGCTCGGCTTTACGACCCAAAACTGTTTCACATTTCAGACCCTGGAACAACCTGCTGAATTGGCCTTTTTATTGTTTATCCAGCAAATTTGCAAGTATGCAAATTCGAATCAACTTGAAAAGCTCAGCTATGATCAGAATAGATCTGAAGAGTTGGTTTTGACTTTCTGCTTCGATTTTCTCGGGGCTTTTTGTGACTTGAGGCGATAAAGTAACTGTAAAATCAGTTAGGAACAACATTAAAGACTTCGAATTCATAAAATTTACTGAATTCAGGTTTAAAGTCACAAAGTAATGCAGTTTGCAGGCAGGCAGACGTGGGCGTGACACCGCCCATAAAGTATCTATAAGCTTGGTTAGAGCCACGAACTGGATCTTGCTAGCCATGTTCATATGCCCGTCCGTTCGTTTGTCCGTCTTACTACAAAAGATACTTTAAATATCAAAGATTCCTCTAAGTCAAACCCTAAGTTTATTATTGTTTTCTTTCTCAAATGAGAACTCGATTTTCTAACTATCGATAATAATCGATGATTTTTGAGACTAACTTTAGCAAGACTTCGAAATTAATATCCAGTTTACTGTGATGCAGACTATAGATAACTTAAAGATAATAGATAATAGACTCAATGAAGACTTTGATAAGCATTATAAAGATTTATATTATATATACAGTGAAATATGGCTTTAAAGAATAATGACAATTCCTTATACTTGGCAGCTTACAGAGACTTCACTGTATTTATATCAAGTCTGAATTGAAGTCTAAAAATAGATTAAGCTAAAGATTAAACCATAGACATAGTTACATACTAATTAACTGTTATGTCTGCTTTCGTTTTTATAGAATTTCAAAACTTTTGACCAAGGTCTTGTCATTGATTGTTGCATTTGATCAGCTTTACAAGAATGCGTTTCCATCAGGGCCTAATGCAAATGCGCAGATATGCGACTGCCGTTACCCTTCGGCAATTTGCGCAGGCACACACACACGCCAGCACACGCACAAGCACACAGACGACGGTGGTGCGAACACTGGCAAGCAGCGCATCGCCGCTGCCGGAACTGACACAGGTAAGAGCAACAAAGAAAGATAGAGCGAGGGAGTGGAAGAGCGAGCAAGAAAGCAAGCAGCATTGGGTAAGGGTGGGAGGGAGCTAGAGTGTGTGCATTGTGTTACGTGGTGGATTTTAGCGTTTGCTACCTGGGTGGGAGGGAGCAAGAGTGTGAGCATTGTCTGCGTGGTGAGTTTGTGCATCTTAGCGACCAGCATGGCCCAGGGTGGGAGGAACCAAATACTGTCCGCATTTATGCCGTGGTAAGTTTTTGCCTTTGCTCGCCGCCAACGGCCAATCGGCGTCTGCCAAGCAAAGGCAGCGTTTTGCAAATGGTGGTTGCAAAATTAAAGGCTAGGTACAGTTATACAGTTAGCCCACACGCAAAACTGATTGGGCTTGATACTCATGATCTCTTAAAAATCTATATCTATATCAATATAAATCTATCGCAGATCTCGGACAACGTACAGCGCGGCAATTACGCCCAGCTCAATGATAAGGATGTATCACACTTTGAGCAGCTGCTGGGCAAGAATTATGTGCTCACCGAGGATCTGGAGGGCTATAACATATGCTTTCTGAAGCGCATACGAGGTGGGTTGGCCGGATGAGTTCTGAAATTTCCTTTCTTCTATACATTTCTGGATCTTCTTCAATCCTAGGCAATAGCAAGCTGGTGCTAAAGCCCGGCAACACCCAGGAGGTGGCCGCCATATTGCGCTACTGCAACGAGCGGCGGTTGGCGGTGGTGCCGCAGGGTGGCAACACGGGTCTGGTTGGCGGCTCGGTGCCCATTTGCGACGAGATTGTGTTGTCCATGCAGCGCCTGAATAAGGTGCTCTCTGTCGATGAGGTGACGGGCATTGCCATCGTTGAGGCCGGTTGCATTTTGGAGAATTTCGATCAGCGCGCCCGCGACGTGGGTCTAACGGTGCCGCTCGATCTGGGCGCCAAGGCCAGCTGCCACATCGGTGGCAATGTGTCCACAAACGCCGGCGGCGTTCGCGTCGTGCGCTACGGCAATTTGCACGGCTCCGTTCTGGGCGTCGAAGCGGTTCTGGCCAATGGTCAGGTGCTCGACCTGATGTCAAATTTCAAGAAGGACAACACGGGCTACCACATGAAACACCTGTTCATTGGCTCCGAGGGCACACTGGGCGTGGTCACCAAGCTGGCGATGCTCTGTCCGCATGTCTCAAAGGCCGTCAACGTCGCCTTCATTGGACTCAATTCCTTTGACGATGTCCTCAAGACGTTTGTCAGCGCCAAGCGCAATCTGGGCGAGATTCTTAGCTCCTGCGAACTCATCGATCAGCTTGCCCTCAACACGGCGCTACAGCAGTTCAAGTTTCTTAAGTGAGTACTTGAGTAAACGTGTTATCGATTTGTTATCGATTTTGCACATAACAAAGAATCTATCGATTATTTCGAATCAATTTTTTTTATAGTTTTTCTTGAGATCATAAATTTTTCTATAAATTTATAGACTCTAATTACTCAGCGCTTAGATACCCCGAGCTTTGCATTGTTTACAGGATATATAAAGTAACAAGTGAGAATATAAAAAAGAAATGCTTCGACATCTATAAGTTTAGTGACAGCATAAATTTGGCTCTTTAAATATTTACAGGGTATACATTGTGATAATCCATATTTTCAAAGAAAACCAACCGATTTCCATCGTAAAGTTTATGAATGTTTGATATATGCTAGAAAAAGATTCAATCTTGTCAACTCTGCATTGTTTTTAATGATTACAGGGTATACCATACATGTCAACAATTTAATCTAATAAGACTAAAGTTATTTGTGAGAGGTTGAGTTTATCAATAGAAAAACTTGGGCTTAACTCATATCCGTTATAGCTCCTCTATCTTTTTTTTAGTATTTACAGGGTATACAGGGTATTTTTGTAAAATCTTAGCGCAGAGATTCATTTGATCTATGTGCAAATTCGATCTACATAACTTGTATGTTATATATATATATATAACATATGTTATATATACTTTTGACATTTTTACAGGGTATACACGGTATATAAAGAATTAATTTAGTATTTCTTTAACGCTAGTTAAGGGAGACACTTATTTTTACTTCATATGCTTCGACGCCAAAATACACTTCTAAATTTGTAATATATACAGGGTATAAAGGGTATAAAAACTCACCATATATCCTCCGTAGACTCAGCATAGTTTCTGGTCCCTATCTCTCTACCCCTGTCGCTTTAATAGGGTATACACAAGAATAACATCTTTTGTTCTTTCCCCTTAGTTCACCCATCTCTGGCTATCCGTTCTACATGCTGATCGAGACTTCGGGCAGCAATGGCGATCATGACGAGGAGAAGATCAATCAATTCATTAGCCAGGGCATGGAGCGTGGCGAAATTTTGGATGGTACCGTTACCGGCGAGCCCGGAAAAGTGCAGGAAATTTGGAAGATCCGTGAAATGGTGCCACTGGGCCTGATCGAGAAGAGTTTCTGCTTCAAATACGATATATCATTGCCGCTGCGCGATTTCTATAACATCGTGGACGTGATGCGAGAGCGCTGCGGCCCCTTGGCCACGATCGTTTGCGGCTATGGCCATCTGGGCGATTCGAATCTGCATTTGAATGTGTCCTGCGATCAGTTCAATGATGAAATCTACAAACGCGTCGAGCCGTTCGTTTACGAATACACCTCAAAGCTGAAGGGCAGCATCAGTGCCGAGCATGGCATCGGCTTTCTCAAAAAGGACTATTTGCATTACTCCAAGGATCCGGTGGCCATCAACTGGATGCGCGACATGAAGAAAATGTTCGATCCCAACGGCATACTGAATCCCTACAAAATGCTTAACTAAATGCAGTTCGTAATAATCCCGAAATTTTTTTTTTGTCTATTCTAATTATAAATGTTATATGTAAAAAGCTTTTAATAAATGTGCATTTGTTGCTTGTGTACTTTGGCTTTGAGCTTTTCATTGAATTGCATTTGTGGCGCCCCAGTGAATGGCTATCGATAGTGAGCTATGTTATCGGAAAGCTGCGTGCCTGGAGGGCGGCTCAAGGTGGAGTTGAAAATGCTTTCGTACGTTTCGATCGTGCTAAAAGCTGCGCGCTCCTCGAGATGAGCGCAGTTCATTGGGTTTTAAACGATGAGCACGTAGCAAGCAGTAAGTAAAAGCGAGCTTATATGTTGAAAATATTAACTGTATTAATATATATATTATTATTTTATATTCAATATTATTTAAAAATTATTATAAAATATTTGGTTTTATTCTCGTTTTTATTAAATTATATACATTTTTTATTGTATTGAAATCTTTATATATGTTTAAATATCTTATTTATATTTGATATAGTTTAATAAATTATTTTGAAATTTGTTATATTTTAATTAAAATACTTATACCATATTATATTGAAGCATTGCTGCGTCTGCGTGACACGTCGTTGTAACGTTTACATACACATCACTAGTGCAAAGCTTTTCAGTTTTATTTACTTTTTTTGGCATTTATCGCTTATACTTTGGCAATCTTTAGTCAGTTTCAGTTGGCGAGCGCAAGCGGCCGGACGACAGTATCGCGGCTAAGGTGACAAAAACCCAAGAGAAAAACAAGTTTTGCGTAAAATTTACAATACTTTATTCATAAATCGTTAACAAAAATAAAACAAATATGAGCGGGTAAGCGACATTTTTTTGTTATTTGTCATTAGTTACGCAGTAATTAAATTATTTTTGGTTTTTCAATATTATTATTGCTTTCTCAATACAGGAAAGCTGATATTGCACTCATTGGCCTCGCTGTCATGGGTCAAAATCTTATATTGAATATGGACGAGAAGGGCTTTGTGGTCTGTGCGTTCAATCGTACCGTATCAAAGGTGCAAGACTTTCTAAACAATGAGGCCAAAGGCACCAAAGTGATCGGTGCCGAGTCATTGAAGGACATGGTCGACAAGCTGAAAACGCCACGCAAAGTCATGTTGCTGGTCAAGGGTAAGTTGATGTTAGTGCTGTTTTTGTTGTAACATTGTGGAGTGAATGGCGTGAAGTGATCGTTAGGTGTGTGCGTGTGTGCATATGTGTGTGTGGAAGTCAAAGCAAAGTCATGCACACTAAAAATTGCATAGCGTGCTTTACAAGCAGCAACAGCTAAAGTCAGCGGGAGAGCGTCTGCCTCAGGCTCCCCCACTCTCGCTTCTATTCTCTTAGAGAGCGCACATTATATGTATTTGTTTTTGTTTACCATTGCCATATGCACGCTATCGATAATTAGTTCTTATTTTGATATATATCGCTTAAGCTCAATACACAGCTTAATGGCTGAATGGCAAACAATGCAATTTATGACAGCCCACGCATTGTTGATATGCTGCCGTCTTCATGGGCCGTGACATTCATTAGGTCGTACACATTGGCAAACGTAATTCAGCAGGTGCTTGGCACTTGGGTCAAGATCAATGCTTGCGATAAGCGCTGCCGTCAAGCGGTCAAAAAAAGTTACCATTATCTCGTCAACGCGCAGAAAGTGACGACTTTGGGCTGACCTTACTTCAAGGTCAATTTTATGCACTGCTGTTACAACTAGAGGTGAACACTTGAAGACCTTAGAGAATTGAAAAATAACCAAATTAAATCACGTTTCGCTAAGATAAATTAGATATTTAGCGTGTCTTATATTTTTTAAAATTGAAATCTAAAGAAAAAATACTGTGTAATAATTTTTACTTTCAATATTTTCATATGTAACTTGAATACAATGCACAAGCCCTAATCGGTGCATGTCCCACCACTAGATTAACTTTACAATGTGGCCTTACACGCATATTGCACGATCAACACGCGGTCATCTCTAAGATTGACTTTCTAAACAACAACAAAAATCACAGCTTATATTACTTTATTTGGCAGCTGGCAGTGCTGTGGATGATTTTATTGGACAACTTGTGCCGCTGCTGTCGCCGGGCGACGTCATCATTGATGGCGGCAACTCTGAATATCAGGATACAACGCGACGCTGCGAACAACTGGAAAAGGTTGGCCTGCTTTATGTCGGCTCCGGCGTGAGTGGCGGCGAGGAGGGCGCACGAAATGGACCATCTCTAATGCCAGGCGGTCATGCGGCCGCCTGGCCACTGATCAAGCCCATTTTCCAGGCTATTTGCGCCAAGGCCGATGGCGAACCCTGCTGCGAGTGGGTGGGCGATGCGGGCGCCGGCCACTTTGTGAAGATGGTGCACAACGGTATCGAATATGGCGACATGCAGCTCATCTGCGAGGCATACCACATTATGAAAAAGCTGGGGCTAACGTCGCCTCAAATGTCCGAGGTGTTTGGCGAATGGAACAGCACCGAACTGGACTCCTTCCTCATCGAGATAACTAGGGATATATTGAATTTTAAGGATAGCAAGGGATATCTGCTGGATCGCATACGTGACACAGCTGGCCAGAAGGGCACGGGCAAGTGGACAGCGATAGCGGCGCTGCAATATGGTGTGCCCGTCACACTTATCGGCGAGGCTGTCTTCTCGCGCTGTTTGTCCGCTCTGAAGGACGAGCGCGTCATTGCCAGCGGCGTATTGACAGGACCCAACTGCAAGCCCTGCGTGTCTGATCTAAAGAAATACCTGAATGGCATCAAATATGCGCTCTACTGCTCGAAGATCGTCAGCTATGCCCAAGGCTTTATGCTGATGCGCGAGGCAGCTAAGGAGAATAACTGGAGCCTAAATTATGGCGGCATCGCCCTGATGTGGCGCGGCGGCTGCATCATACGCAGCGTCTTTCTGGGCAACATTAAGGATGCGTACACACGCCAACCAACGCTCTCCAATCTGCTGCTCGACGATTTCTTCAAACGCGCCATTCAACATGGCCAGAACTCGTGGCGCGAGGTGGTGGCCAATGCCTTCCTTTGGGGCATACCTGTGCCAGCTCTATCAACGGCCTTGAGCTTCTATGATGGCTATCGCACGGCGAGTTTGCCGGCAAATCTATTGCAGGCGCAACGCGACTATTTTGGCGCTCACACGTACGAGCTGGTGGACAGGGAGGGGGAGTTCCATCATACCAATTGGACGGGCACGGGCGGCAATGTCTCGGCCAGCACCTATCAGGCATAGAGGGGATACCAACTACATTCCAAGTTTACAGTTTTTGTATTGTCTAGTAACAATAGGCTAGCCTCTTAGTCTATTTCTACTCTATTTTCTTTTTTCTCGCTTTTTTTTGAGTACTTTAAGTCAGTACTTAATTATACACTATTTAATTAGTTTCATTGTAATTAATATATTATTAAACTGGTGTGTTTTTCTAAAATCTCCAGCGGTTTGATTTCTTTTGGCGGCAACTAATCTGAGCATAACAAAATAAAAATAAAAAAAAACAATATCCAACTTTTAACGAGTCTTCCGCTTTGCTATTGTCCAGCTGCCTTATGCCGTGGTATGTGTGTGTGTGTTTGTGATAGCGATGATAAATCCTCAGTCGTCTGATGGACGCAATGTCTTTTTTTGTTCGATAACCAGTTTTTCGGCTGTGTAAAGATGGCCGATAATTACCTGCAAGTACAAGAATGGATGCTTAAGTTAAGGAATTCTGTATTCACATTGCTATCTTTGGCAATTCTGACGTTAAATGTGACGTGCATAATGCGATAACAACTGGGCAATTGGGCATGTCACACAACAAATTGATGTGTATGTGTGCGTGTTTAAGTGTTTGCATGTATGCACATGGTGGTACAGCTGATTTGCCAATTTAATGACCCGGCACAAACTCACCTGTCGTCGAATCAATTCCAAACTTTGTTTGGCATTAGCTACTTGTCGATCGATTTCTTTAAAATCATTTATCATCTTATTGGCTCGAAATGTGTCACGTATTTTCCGAACTGCATACATTCTATACAAGAGAAAATATACATATTTCTTACAATTGGGATGTTATGTTATGCTATTTCACAATTCACAGGCACCTGAAGTTGTAGGAAGGCAGCTTCTCGGACTCACGCAATAAATTCCGATATAATGTAATGGCCTGGCGACGTGTCGACATCTTTGCACTCGTTATGTATGGGATAGCAAACAAAATATATTATATTATATTGACTTTAATTGATAATAATCGTGTTGATTATTTTGGTTAAACCGTATAATTTGGTGATGCTAACAAATAAAAAGTAAAACAACAACTATATCGATTATTGTCCAAAGGAACGAGCTACTTATTAAATCACAGGCATCGGCACGAAAATCCTATCGATATACAATATTCATCGCAAATATGGCGACTCTCAGTACAACACTGCCTTGCTCATCCCTAATCAGCTACAACCAAACGAGCATTTTTGTACGCGTTTTTTTTTCATCAAGTATTTTCGTTGCTCTTAAATTAAAATAATAAAATGGATGTGCGTCCAAATCAAACTATTTATATAAACAATCTAAATGAAAAGATTAAAAAGGAGGAGCTTAAGAAGTCGCTCTATGCCATTTTCTCACAATTCGGCCAAATACTCGATATTGTGGCGTTGAAAACATTAAAAATGCGAGGACAGGCATTCGTCATATTTAAGGAAATTGGCAGTGCCTCGAACGCGCTGCGTACAATGCAGGGCTTTCCGTTTTACGACAAGCCCATGCGCATTGCCTATTCCAAATCCGATTCGGATATTGTGGCTAAATTAAAGGGCACCTACAAAGAGCGACCAAAGAAGGTGAAGCCGCCAAAGCCGGTGCCGGGCGTCGAGGAGAAAAAGTTTGTATCAACTATTCGCATAGCACTCATATTGCACATTATTGATTACCATACTTCATTTCGTCTGTCAATATTAATAGGGACAAGAAAAAGAAGCAGAGCAGTGCCGAAAATTCAAATCCAAATACACAAACAGAGCAGCCACCAAATCAAATCCTATTCCTCACCAACCTGCCGGAGGAGACAAACGAAATGATGCTCTCAATGCTGTTCAATCAATTCCCCGGCTTCAAGGAGGTGCGCCTGGTGCCCAACCGTCACGACATCGCCTTTGTGGAGTTTACCACCGAGCTGCAGAGCAACGCAGCCAAAGAAGCGCTTCAGGGCTTCAAAATCACTCCCACGCACGCTATGAAAATCACGTTTGCCAAAAAGTAAACTCAGCACAATTTCCCTTTATATATAAAAAAATATATATATATATATATATATGTATATATAATTGTAGGAAAGTCGGGCTATTTTTTTTTTATCAATTAAATGCCTCTAATTTAAAATATATATGTATACTTAGCATAAATAAAATACACTGAACGATAAGCGTGACTAGCTTTAAAGTTGGCAACAAGTCAAGTTTAATGGTGATTTACAATTTAGAGGGTATATGTTACGTTACAGTAAACCGTTGTAGTAGCTCGCATGCATGTGTGTAGCCTAGTGCACTGCAATGTAGTGTAGTGTAATGTTTGTTGTTCGGTGTAGTGTTGTGTTTATGTTGTTCGGTGTAGTTTTGTGTTTATGTTGTTCGGTGTAGTGTAGTGTAGTGTAGATTTTCTGTCGATCAGCGTAGTGTAGTGTTTCTGTTCAGTGTAGTGTTTCTGTTGTTCAGTGTAGTGTAGTGTTTATGTTGTGCAGTGCAGTGTAGTGTTTATGTTGTGCAGTATACGTTTTTTTCTTCTCTTTAAAGTGTACTGGCATTACAATCTATTTGCATGAGAGTAGTTAGTATAAATATGTATGCTTTTATTTTGTTGTGCTTCAATATCCGTGAGACTTCGCTAATTCTCTAAGATGCCCTCCTTGTCCATGGCACTTTGAACACGAGATGGTAGATCGTGTGCCCCTTCGACATCCTCGCTGAGATCACAAACGGTGCTGCCGCTGGCAGCACTTTCCGAGGACATGCTGAGCTGCTGTTGCAAATGATGGTCCTCGTCGAATGGTTCGTCGGCATCGCCCACAAATTTCTCCATTGATTTCGCCAGCTTCTCCGAGTTGCCACCGACAAATACCTCCAGCACCTCGCCGCTCTTGATGAACACAAATGTGGGCATGCTGGTTATGTTATACTCAATGGTTATCTCCTCGTTGTCATCGACATTCACTTTCAGCACGACGGCTCGCTCGGCATACTGTGCGGCCAGCTCCTCCAGTTTGGGTGCAATTATTTTGCACGGACCGCACCAATTGGCGCAGAAGTCGATGACGATCAGTTTGTCGCCGGCATTGGACAGTTGCTGCTCGAAGTCCTCTTTGCTCTGTATGACGTGCACCATGACTGAAAATTGTTATTTTTTTGTTTTTTTTTTTATATTTTTACTTAAATTTCGAATATTACTTGACAACAATCTGTGTATGCGTACACAAATGTATAGAATCTTTTTATTTTTTGCCTTACAGCTAGACAGACATCTAAAATGAAATTGGAAGGAAGGAAACCTTGACGCCCAGTCAAGTGTTAGCAACTCGCAAAAACATTTCATTGGATTGGCAGCTAAGTTTTTAACGTTCAAATAGCTGTGAACGGCAACGGTGCGTGGTAATCGGTTATCGTCAATCTTCAATCGATAATAGCAGAAATTCTGTGCGAACACTGGCATCGCTTTACTGCTGGATAAGTACCGTTTGCTCCCTTGCATGTGTGTGCTTCACAAAAGAGCGCGAAAGATTTGCATGTACATACACTTAGCTTTCCAGGCAAGGGCTTAAAAAATGGCTGCGCTGCATTTGGTGTTTAGTGTTTCACTTCTGCTCGCCAGATCAAGTCAAATTTTTCTCTATCGAGTTTCTACTTTATTCAATTTTTTGTTCGCAAAATGTCCTCCATTCGCAGCATGAATGAATTCTACAAGCGCCTCGACGCGTCAGACCATAAGTTGATTGTACTTGACTTTTATGCTACTTGGTGCGGCCCGTGCAAGGATATGGACAGCGTAGTTAAATCGCTGGCCCATAAATATGGCAGCCGGGTGGACATAATAAAAATTGATGTAGATCGATTTGACGACCTTATGGAAATGTACAATGTGCGCAGTATGCCAACATTTGTGTTCATCAAGAACAATCGCAAGATGAGCCGCATCATTGGCGCTGATGAGCATAAACTAAAGCAGACGGTTTACAAGCTCTGCGCTTTATGATGAGTGACAGAGAGAGAGAGAGAGAGAAGTGAACGACGCAGGCGTCGCCATTTTATCAATAAACATAGAGCTAAGCAAACTTTTTATTATATGTATGTATGTAAGATGTAACTTTGTAATACGTAATTGTAATTGTCGGCCATTTTGTGCGCCTTTGCATGCTCGAACATAACCTCTAACCTCTCTACAAACTTGATATAATTTTAATGCAATAATTTTTAAGGTTAGACACGATCAAATGTAATAAAAATAAGCTAAAATGTGATTTAGTCGTAAACAAAAAAGAACATTGAAACTTTCTCATGATCTTAACGCAGCAGGCAATTGCCAGCAGATTTTGGTTATTTTTTTTTTTTTTTTTTCGATTTTCCAGATTTGAACATCCGTCAGGGAGGCATTAAATAAAAATCATTTTCGTCACAGCAACATTCAACAAACAAACTTTTTTTTTTAGGTAGCGTACAAAATTTTCAAGTGCAACAAAAAGCGGAAAAAAATATCTCCTCGTCCTAATTGTCGCGATATATACACACAGACACGTACATACATACACATATATCCACACACAGACATATATATATACATAGATCCACTACACTCACTTTGGTAATCCAAAATTTTTGCGTTGTTGATCCCATTTCGTGGCAGATTAGGCCAGTAGAGAGTACAGAGAAGGGAGAAGAGAAGGATGTCATATCAAATCAAGCGCACGCCCTACTTCCGGCGCATGTTCAACAATAGCCGGCGCAACGGGCAACTGCAGCGGCTGCGCGAAGAGTACGAGCGCATCCAGGAGTTCAATGATCGCACCATTGAGCTGAAGATGCGACAGGTGCGCTTGAAGCGACTGTTTCGCGAGATCGATGATATTAATGATTCGCCGAGCACATCGACGGGGCAGCACCGCAGGCATGCGACAATGGTGCCGCTGACGCAGGAGGCGATGCAGGCACAGCAGCGACGCGAACGTCTCGATGCGCTGGAGCGTGCCCGCGAGCTGGGTCAAGAGATATCGCGACGCAATGCCCAATTGACCGAGAGCGGCGCCGGTTACTATTTGCGCAGCGAACTACGGCTGACGGCAAAAATGCGCGCAGCGGACGATGCACGGCGCGAGGCGCAGGAGCGACGACAGCGCGCCGCGCGGCGCATCAGCTATGGCAATGCCCAATCCCGTTCGAATATCGAACGGATCGTGCAGCGGCAACAGCGGCGGCTCGTTACAAACGACTCGCCGACGACATCGATAATGGTCGATGCCCACCATCAGATGACACAGCTGCCGGTGCAGCCGTCATCCAGCCAGAGTCAATTGCATCCTGATCTCGTGAAGCGGGCCATGCTGCAGCAGCGTCTGCAATATGGCAATTCGCGCTCCACCAACAATATGATGCGCAGTCAGTTGGCAGCGGCGCAACGTGTGATGGGCTGCCTATCGGCCACGGATACGGTGACCGACGATTTGGAGCAGCTGGAACTGCAGCAGGAGCAGCAGCAGCAGCAAGAGCATGAGCAGCAGGAGCAGCAGCAGCAGGAGCAGCAGCAGGAGCGGCAGCAGCAGCAGACGCAGCAAATTGATCAATATCAATTGCAGCAGCAGCAGCAGATGCAACAAAATTTATATGTGCAACAGCTGCAGCATGAGAAACATCAGCAGCGCCACCAACATCACCACCACCACCATCAGCAGCAGCAGCAGCAGCAGCAGCACACATTGAAGCAGACATTGAGCAACATTCAACTCACGTCCAGTTCCAGCGGCTGCAATCAGAAGACCAACAACAACGTTAGCAATCACTTAATGAACATCAAAGACAGCAATAGGAACGACAACAACAGCAACAACCTTATCATAAACAACAACAACAACAACAACAACGTTAACACCAACAGCAGCAACAGCAACTACAAACGCATGAACAGCATCAACTCTGAGCTAGAGATGCACACGGCTATGTTGCCGCCAACGGAACTAGAGTTTGTGCAACTATTGCCACAGCACGGCGACAACAACAACAGCAACAGCAACGACAACAGCTGCAACTGCAACTGCGAGGGCAACAGCAATGACAATCACAATCGTAATCGCAACAGCAATAACTATGATGATGTGCCAACAACAAGCCAGCATGCGCACAGATCTAGATCTGTGGATGCTGCGCCGACTGTTGCCGCCTATCAACTGCCGTTGGCCGATAACGAGGCGTCCGCGGATCGAGCGGCGCAACGCTGGCATCGCATCTCACTGATGGTGCCCTGGATTAAGGTGTTGCACGAGCGTCCGCTGATTGCGCCCAGCCAGCAGGCAACGGTGCTGCCGCCGCACAACCTTACTATTGCCGTTAGCAATGAACTGGGCAGCAACAATAATAACAATAACAATAATAATGACAATGACAATAGAAATCAAACTTATAACAGCAATAATACTAGCTCAGCATTGGCACTTGCCGACAATAGTAATTTCCAAAGTGTCTGTGGACCATCATTAATGCAAGAGGACTTAATGCAGATCATGGAGCTGGACGATGATGGACATGTGCCCACGATGCATGTCATGCATCCGACATTCAATCAGTAGGAAATCCTCAGTACGTCCTGTCCTTAAGAAAAACAACGAACTAATTTATATAAATGAAATAATCCCAAATAATATCATCGGCAAGTTCCGACAATTTCGTGGATTGACAGAGTAAGTGCATGCCCAACAATTCGACCATGAATTCATTCCATCTCTAATTGAGGTTTCTGTCACTCATTCCCATCTTTAATGGCAGCTGTTGTCATTTATTCCATCTTCTGTCACTTTTTCTATCTCGAATTTAAGCTTTCAAATCAATTCCATCTCTAGTTGAAGCTTCTGTCCTTTAATTGATGTTTCTCTCACTTGTTCCATCTCTATTTAAGTTTTTCAATCTATTCCATCTCTAATTGATGTTTCACTTGCTCCATTAAATTGAAGCCAAATTAGCCGACTTACAAATACCCTGTAGCAAGCAAATTTGATTTAATTTAGTATATTTCAGACATTTCATTGAATGGAAGTGGATGGATCGTAGCCCCATAGACTAATGGGATAATTGGGCGATAAACGAGTTTTTTTGTACGGCCCACTAAAGATATTAATATATATATATATATATATATGCTAAATGCTAAACTGCATTTTCTTTGCAGGCACATGCAGCTCCCGTTCTACACAAAACTACGAGATGCCTTATGGGCTCCGCGGATACAATGGTTATCTATGGATGTATATGTGTATATATATATATTTATGCTTACGGTGTTTTGTAATTATATATATATATATATATGTATGCATACTTTTTTTGTTGTCGCCAACTGGAGAAAGTCATTGCGCTCTCGACGCGCAACATGCAACGTCTACGCCCTGAAAAAGAAAAGCGCATCTACGAACTATCGACGACAAAATGCAGAAAATTGTTTGCAACATAATTCGGAATACTCGTATGGTATATATATCTAGACTATATATACATGTATTTATATATATATACATATATATATATATATGGTCTCTATATATATATAGATCCATTTGCTTTCATTTGTATTAGTAAAGAATTTCATATTTATTTGTAAAATAAATTAAAAGTCGAAAGGAAAACTCGAATCAAAACCAACGTATGTCAATAAATAAATTCTTTGATTTTTATTGCTCATCAATTTTGGAATATATATTATTGTTTGTACTGCAAAGAATATATTTACTATATATGATAGGGTCACATATACTGGCTTTGCAAATGTATACAGCATGACAATTTATCAGCTGAGAAACTTATTCCAAGAGCTATTTATAATTTTTGAAACTCTTAAATCAAGTCTTGAAGAGAACTTGGCTTTTTTAGAGCTTATCCGAATTATAAAAGTTGTATGTTATCTAAATACATTTGGTATGTACCCGGAGGTAGCCTGATAGCTTCATGTAGTTAGGCTGCTCGCTGTTGCTGTTGCAATGGCTTCGGCTTTGGTTGTTCCTGTTTTATTTTGGCGTTAGCTTCTTGGGTTACCTTTTGCCAAGCCAGCTCTTCGGGCTGGAATTTGAGTAGCCAATCGGCCAGGGCCTGCTGGAGATCATGTCTAAGTGGATTTGCCATTTGCGGCAGCTTAAACTGCTGAAAGAATGTTGGCATATAGATGATATTATCGAACAGTTTCTCAAACTCATCCGTCGCTTGGAACACCTGAGTCTCCAGCATGTCAAAGCTGCCAAATAACAGAGTTTTTCTTAATGCAATTCATAAGGGTATAAAGCAAGGCGACGTACGTGGGAAGACGCTCGCGCAAATAACGCAAACGGCGACCGCAATTGGCAGCGCGCTGCTCGGAGCTATAATTCTGACTGCGTCCAGCCAGTTTGGCCTCGATCAATAAGTCACTAATGGTCGTTGTATCGCAGCTAAAGATATTTATGAATAAGATGCGCTCATCCTGGTCGATATCCTTGATGGCGGCATGCAGCTTTTGTCCCTGCACCAGCTGTCGAAACTTCCATGTCGCATTTGCCGGCCAGTGCAGATCGAGCGGATAGACATCAGTTAGAGTGCCGCGCATCAACAGCGCCGGCTGTTCGGCAAAACGACTATGCAGAAAATACAAGTCTTTGGCTTGCACCTCCACACTCTTGCCATAGTCCAGTAGATAGATTTCCACGCGCTGATCCTGCGACTGCGGTTCGCTGACGATGCGTGCACGTCGCCAGTTCAACTTGTAGAGAACAGCGCAAATATAGCCGGCCTTCATAAAGTAATTGGACAGCTGCCACTTGGTACAGCGATTTGAGTCATAAAATTTTCTGAACATTGAAAAGGGCAAATGCATATTAGTTAAAAGAAGCAGCAGAAGATGAATCTGAGTCAACAGACTGCTGATTGAACTGGTTTCAATCCTTACGTTAGCTGAGCACCCAGTGCATCCAGTAAATTGGTATCGTAATCGCCGTCAACAACATGGAACCAGAATTGAAACGGACTGTAGATCTGCAATATATAAGGGACTAGGATTCAAATTTTAAGCCCAGACTTGGCTAGAAGAATGCCTTAGTTGATGTTGCCATTATAATAATAGTTACATTGATACCTTAACCAAACAGTCATTCCCGTGTTCGCACTCACCTCGGTTACAAATACCTTCAGCGTGTCGCCTACCTTAAAGCTATTTGATATCTGAATGTGGGGCAATTTAGAGCCGAGGGCCATGGCTTCATCAGGTCTGTCCACGCGGTGGACTTCGTCTGACTTGAAAATGTAGGTGAAAAGAGTTTTGGTTATTACGTTCTTGAGTTGGCTAACCATGGCATACCAGCGCAAATTCTGGCACTGCCGCGCGCGCTTCTATAAGTTGTGTAAAGTTATTCATTTGGCGCTCAGCGCTCCGGTCTTCATAGTTTTTTGTATCTGGCTGTTGTCCTTTCTGCTCTTTGTTTGTTTTGTCGATACGAAATGGATTTGCGCTGTCTACCACTGGTTCGGGCTCTTCTTCTACATCACTGTCATCTTGCTCCAGCTCCGGTCTACGTTCACCCACATCCATCATTATCGGTATCAAGGTGTGGCTCTCTATAGTGCTCAGCCATGTCTCTAGATGATTGTATGTATTAGTAGTTGTCAGTGGCAGCAGCTCTATATGTCTGCTCTCCTCTTCCTCGTCGCTACTATCTGTGGATGTTGTCTGACTACTGTCCAGGAGTTTCGAATCAATGTCTTCTTCAGAATTTGTACTCATATCCATATCCTGAGATTTCTTTATGAATGACTTTCGGGAGAATTTCAGCTGGCGAGCCAATGCAGCAGCACTAATAAGCTGATGGTCTGGGATCTGTAATATATATATTTATATTTATTTATGTAATATATTTATTTATATTTAAGTATTCTATTATTATGAGAGAAAATAAAAAAAATAGGTTATGTTTCAAATTCCAGAATGTAAAGAAAAAACGCAACCGTTGGGTTTGCTTCTCATGTCTTTGGGTAAATTTATTATTACAACTCAGATCAGTGCATAATATTAACGGGACATATATATAAATGTATTACTTACCACAATATCACACGCATCCATTTTAGAAACCTCATTAGTTAGAACAGTTTTTAATTTTTTTTGCTTTACTTCATAATTCGAATCTTTTTGAATGTCGTCTGCTGCAATAGCATCCGTTTCTGCATCGTTATCCGTTTTAGAATTCATAACTAAGTCTCGTTATTCTGCTTTCTCGGCTGACAAAGGCGCGCAAACACAAAGAACACAAAAATAACTGTAAATGTCATAGCTTTAACTCAACCAAGTGTGGCAGCACGATAAGTTTCAGTTGCCATTTACCGGATGGCAACACTGGGGTTAAAACAAAAACTAAATTAAGCTAATGCAAATTTTTATTTGTATATACACTTATATATATATATATATATATATATATATATATATAAGTGTATATATATATATAGTATACATGTGCATGTGCATACTTTGCAAATCAAATATTTAAATGTACTATTATTAACTGACTTAAATTGTGATCGCTCGTCACTTATCGATTTTAAAGTAATATTATTGTAACTGTGTATCGTAATCGAAACTATCGTGATATTTTGAAAGTGACATAGAGCTGAGCTATTTTTGCTCATCACTAAGGTGGACATTTGTTTACGGCACGTGTTGGTGGCAAAAACATAGTTTTAAAAAAATATATTACCAAAATGGATAGTGAGGCGGATGACTATGACCCCACCGACTCTGAGCAGGAGTACGATGAGGATGAGCGCGAGATATTGAATGATTTGCGTAAAGAGCGAAAGAAGAAAGCAGACAAACTAAAAAATCAGAAACTGGATGTTCTATCATTCAGCGATAGCGACGATGATGATGAGGATGAGGACGTTGTGGGCAACCTGATGCGCGACAGCGACATTGAAGGTGCCGAGGATGATGATGGCGATCTGCCGGATACCATGGACTGGGGCACTAATAAGAAAGCCTACTATAATACCGATTTCGTGGATCCCGATTACAGCAGCTACACGGCCCAGGAGGAGGACATGGCAAAGGCAGAGGAGGAAGAAGCCAAAAAGATACAATTACGTTTAGTCAAGCAATTAACGGAAGCGGATTTCAAGCTAGATGACATGACGGTGCCGGCCGATGATCAGAATAAAGACGTCGCCGTAAAGAGTATTACGGTGACCAGAGATCTTAAAGGCCTAACGGAACGCGAGCGTCTACAATTACTGCAAAAGGACTCACCTGAATTCGTTGGCCTCACCCAAGACTTTCAGCAACATCTAAGCGAAGTGCAACAGCTGACGGCGCCAGTTCTGAACTATGTGCGCAATCATCAGGTGCCCATGGTGCCGGCCCTGCAGTTCGCCTTGCTCTATCAGAATGTCCTGCTTACCCACTGCTCAAATGTATCATTCTACCTGCTGCTGAAGGCCAAACGCAGCAGCATCAAATACCATCCGGTGGTTAAGCGACTGGTGCAGCTCAAGCAGCTGCGCGAACAGTTAGCTCCACGCTATGAGGAGTACATACGACCGCAGTTAGAGGCGCTCCTAGAGCGTATACAGGATGGGGACGCATTCACCGTGCTGGATGCAGAACAGCGCAAGGCCAAGCTGCAAATGCTCAACAAATACAATGGCACAGGAGCAACAAGGGCCAGCGAATACAAGGAACCAAATGACGAGGACAATGCCGATGCTGATAATGATGATGAAGAAGATGATGAAGATGATGATGACCTTGACGAGGAAGAGCAGCTGCTGGAGAAGGCGCTTGAGGATGAGAATGAGCGACGCGGCATTACCTATCAAATGGCCAAGAACAAGGGCTTGACGCCGGCTCGCAAAAAGGAGCTGCGTAATCCGCGTGTCAAGCATCGCGGTAAATATCGTAAGGCGCTCATCCGTCGCAAGGGAGCTGTGCGCACCGTACGCAAGGAAACCAAAAGATACGGCGGCGAAATATCTGGCATTAAGGCCACCGTTACCAAGAGTGTCAAATTCAAAACGTAATCCTCATATACCGTTAGGCTATGTAAGCGCACCCCCTCCAAAACCTATTAAAATCTTGTTCCCAAATCAAAAACCTTTTGCTTTGCTCATCAAATTTATTCAATTAGTTCACAAGGTCGCCTGTTGCATTACATAACATGGATATACAAATATATATATTTATATATTTGTGTGTATATACATATATATTTGTAGTTACATATATTTAAGTCTAGTTGCCAAATTGCTTTGCTAAAATTACAAATTTGTTTTCCTTTTATTGATAACAACAAATATGTATTTGGAAACAACGCGCGCTGCTGCTTCGCTGATGATGGTTTTGTGTGGCTGTTTTTCAGGTGTTTTGTTTTTGGGATTTTCAGGAATCGACTTAGAGATAACTTAGAATACAATTAAAAACATCAATTGCTTATGTTAAGCTTAAATATTAAAGAGCTTGCGAAAGTCATCGTTGCTCTTTGGCACAGTCGCCGTTGCCGATGACTGTTCCGGTTCGTTGGCTGTCTCATTGCCATTGCCATTGCCATTATCATTGCCATTGGCACTGTTGCTGTTGCCATTGGCCGCATCGTTTGTACTGCTGACGGCTGCATCATCATCCAACTCGAGTTTCTTGCGTCGCTTCACCTCATTTAGGACCAACCTTGTGGGTATCAGTGATGTTTGAATGCGACGTTTTTCTGGCTTCTTTTTATCACCGGCGGCTGCTGCTACTGTTGCTGCTCCCGAGGATGTAGAAGGCCCTGTGGCAAGTTTAGGTGGCGGATTTGAAATAGCAACCTCAATCTAAAAAAATATTGATTATATTTTTGTTTTCTTTTCCTTTTTTTAAGATAAATGCTAGGTCTTACCTTTTGGCCGCCAATCTCGATACCATCGCCGCCGATGACCGCTTTTTGTGCATCCTCCGCCTTTTCGAACTCAATGTACGCAATGCCCTTGAACCTTTGATTGCTACTAGAATGTAATTGGATATATTTAGCATATTGAAGTTCATAAGTCCTGTCGCCACTTACGGTCTGTAGACCAAGCGCACATCCTTGATGGTGCCAAAGCTTTCGAATGCATCAGTTAGATCATCTTTGGTACAATTGGCATAAAGATTTTTTATGAATATCTTGTTCTCTTCCATATTCGCTGTGTGTGTGTGAGAGAGAGAGAGAGAGAGAGAGAGAGATAGCCTTAAATGTTGACCGATCTTAGTCTTTAGTTAAAAACTTACGTGAATACTTGAAATTGGATTCCTTTGTTTCTTTAGCTGGTGGCTCTGATGGCATTATTTTCTTGGCAGCCGGCAACTGTTTGCGGGACGATTTGATGGGAGGCTTCTTCTCTGGCTTTTGGTATGATTGTATTCGCCTATTATTTCCCTGCCTCCAAGCTGATTGTTGCCTATAGGGGTCCACATGCTGCTGCTGTTCCACGTATGCCTCGCAGTACTTTTGACATTCGGCAATCGATTCATAGTTGCCAAAGCAGCGCTCGTTACGTCGATAGAGTTCCACTATGACATGCACATCCGGCGTCATAGAGAGCGCCTCCAAAGCCTGCCGCAGCACAATGGACACCTTGTGCCCCTTGTTATATTCGATCTCCATTTGGGCATAGGAGAGCCACAGATGGCTCCTGACGCTGCTGCCCGGATAATCTATAAGCATATGATATTAATGTAATTCTTATACAAAAAGTTGTTTTATCCATTTGCCACTCACTGAATATCTCACACCAGATGGCAGCTCCATTCTCGGGATTGTTTAGCTTTGCGTACTCCACCTGAGCCCACAGCTGGAGCACTTCGTAGCTGGTGTCTGCCAGGTCGCCGTAGAGTTCAGATAAGCGATCCCACACCTCACGAAAGGCATCGCGCAGCTGATTAACCTGTCGAGCATTCGATTTAAGTCAAATTTCATATCTATATATATATATTATTCTGTTGATAAGCACCTGCTCCTCGTTGTGGACTTCGGTGTGACGCACGCGATAGGCCAGGTAGTCCAGCTGGAGTTCAACATTCATTTCCATATACGGCTCGATGCGTTGAAGCTGCCGCTTAATCTCCGAATCGACTTGCTCCGGGCTCAGTTTGTTTTGTTCCATCAACTCCAGATACTTGTGATTGAGCGCAATTGTTGGCCTTGTCTGGAGCACACGGTTAATCAGCTCCAAGGGCTTGCACTTTAAATAGCCATCGCACACTGCAGTGTGAGCCATGGCTTCACCTTCCGGCTCCATTGGCTTCTCCATATAGGCTATGTAGTCCAGCCACAAGCGACTATCAGTGGGATATTTGGCGAGGCAACGCTCGTAAATCAATTTGGCCAAGGAGCATTTCAGATTTGTGCTAAGTGACAAGGTCTCAGCCCTCAGTAAATAGCTTTCCTGCAGCCAGGACGAGTTCTCTGCATTGGATTTCAACTTCTGTTTGAACTCATCAATCAAATCTGCAATAGCCTCCAACTTATCCTTGTCGCAACTCCATGTCACGCAATTCGTGCTCATTGTCTGCTCAACCTTCTCAATTTCGTCTTTTTCATTAACGCCGCTGAGCAATTTACGTACTTCCTCAATGAAATCAATACGTTCCAAGCCATAATCTGCCAGAATTTTGGACCACATCGACAGGTGATCCACGAGTGGCTGTTCCATTAAGCTTTTGACAACAAATTCAGCCAGTTGGTCATCTGATTAACATAGAGTAAAGCAGAAGGTCGTTTATTTAACCAACTACCACACATCTCCGACTTACCATAGAAGCTGGTTAGCGCCGTACTGCATTTTGTTTGAAAGACCACCCACTCCGCCGGCGTTTGTGTGACCACCTTCAGAGTCTTGAGATAGCGAAGCCATATGTGCGGCGGTACGATTGTGTATTCCTGGAACTCATTGATAGCCACTTCGATCTTTTCAAACACATTCAACTTGCTGCAAGGGAGAGCAAAGTTAAGCTGAGGCTAGGCAATATGAGATGAATGAAAACTCACAAGGCCGTGGTACACAAATCCATATAATGTTTATATCTCTTATTTGGTATGGCTAATATGGCTGAAAATTCATCGGCCAGCTTTTGATCATCGTGCGAATCGGTGCTGTCTACCAGCGAGCTCAAGATACTCACATCACTGTCCGAATCGGACGGTGCATCACAGCCGCTATTATCCTCGATGCTCGAATCTGAGCTTATTTCGATTGGCTGCTCGTTCACGATGTTGTCGCCAGCTGAAGCTTTCTGCTGAAAATGAATTGAGCAATTGTTTCCAATGTTGACAGCTGCAATGTTGATCGACATATACTTACATCAGCTCCGCTGGACATTTTATTTTTAATATATATTTATTTTGTCCAAATCAAAGTGAAGATATGTTTTATTTGTTTCAGCTTTTAGTGCAAGTCCAAATTTCTTGTTGTATTTAACGTGACGCCAACTAGAGATGTGTTACGGACTGTGGCTGACATATGAAAAATGACCTTCTATCGATATTGTAAGCTGCCGCAGCTTCGAAAGCTGTCTTAAGATTAAAATGAATGGTAAGTCATCCAATTTAAAATCCAAATAATTTAATATTAAGTCACATATACAACTGCCATATAGCATAATTGTAGCAGATACTAGTGCTTTGATATTTGTTGTGTTTTCATTTTGGCTGGTTGGCAACACGCATAGAAGTATCGAAAGATCGTGCCTAAATGTCTGTTATCGATGTGTGATCTGTTTGCAGCCCTGACTTTGGGTTTGTGATTCCCGCCAAAACTAAGATTGCATTCGGCGTGTGACGGAAATTGCGCTTGCGAATCGTTTTGTTATTCATTGTTAAAATATTGTTTGAAAATGGCACACGACGCGGAGCAATACATAAAAGATATACAGCGCGAGTATGTGGACTTCCTCGACGACGAAGAGGATCAGGGCATCTATGCCGGTCATGTTAAAGACATGATTGCAGAAAAAAGCAAACGTCTGGTCGTCAATATCAACGATTTGAAGCGTAAGAATCAACAGCGGGCATTGGGACTACTAAACAACGCATCCGACGAGCAGCTGGCATTTGGGCGGGCACTCAAAGAATATGTCTCAACTGTGGATCCCAGCTATGCCAAACAGCACGAAGACTTCTTTGTTGGCTTCGAGGGCTGCTTTGGCAACCGTCATGTTACGCCTCGCTCCCTCACCTCCATTTACTTGGGCAATCTGGTTTGCGTGGAGGGCATTGTCACCAAGGTCTCTCTCATACATCCAAAGGTTGTGCGCAGCGTTCACTACTGTCCGGCCACGCGTAAAGTGCTCGAGCGTAAATATACAGATCTCACCTCGTTCGAGGCGGTGCCATCGAGCGCTGTCTACCCCACCAAGGACGATGATGGCAATCTGCTGGAAACCGAATTCGGCCTGTCCGTCTATAAGGATCATCAAACGTTAACCATACAGGAGATGCCAGAAAAGGCGCCGGCTGGCCAACTGCCGCGCTCTGTTGACATTGTCTGTGATGATGATTTGGTTGATCGTTGCAAGCCCGGTGATCGGGTCCAGATCGTTGGCAACTATCGCTGCCTGCCGGGCAAACATGGCGGCTACACCTCGGGCACCTTTCGCACCGTTCTGCTGGCCAACAACATATCGCTGCTGAGCAAGGAGAGTAATCTGGACATCTCCCGCGAGGACATTATGCTCTGCAAGAAGCTGGCCAAGAACAATGACATCTTCGAGTTGCTTAGCAAGAGTCTAGCGCCCTCCATACACGGTCACACGTTTGTCAAGCAGGCCATTCTGTGCCTGCTGCTCGGCGGCGTTGAGAAGGTCCTGCCAAATGGCACACGATTGCGTGGCGACATCAATGTTCTGCTCATTGGTGATCCTTCGGTGGCCAAGTCGCAGCTGTTACGCTATGTGCTGAATACGGCACCGCGTGCCATACCAACAACCGGACGTGGCTCGAGCGGCGTGGGCTTGACGGCAGCGGTGACCACGGATCAGGAGACGGGCGAGAGACGTCTGGAAGCTGGCGCTATGGTGCTCGCCGATCGTGGAGTGGTTTGCATCGACGAGTTTGACAAGATGAGCGACATCGATCGCACAGCCATACACGAGGTGATGGAACAGGGTCGCGTTACCATCTCAAAGGCCGGCATTCATGCTTCTCTGAATGCGCGCTGCTCGGTGCTGGCGGCCGCTAACCCGGTCTATGGACGCGTAAGTATACTGTCCATAGCCAGTTAAAGGTACATCCAACCAGACTCATGCAAATCTTCTTTCAGTATGATCAATATAAAACGCCAATGGAGAACATTGGATTGCAGGATTCGTTGCTCTCGCGTTTCGATTTGCTGTTCGTCATGCTGGATGTTATTGACAGCGATGTGGATCAGATGATTTCAGATCACGTTGTCCGCATGCATCGCTATCGCAATCCGAAGGAGGCCGACGGCGAACCGCTCACCATGGGCAGCTCCTATGCTGATTCGCTGGCCTTCGTCTCCAATTCGGAGCAGGTAAGATCGGCAACATCCACGTAGTCAGTCGAATGCCATTTGATATAATCGCATCTTGCAGAAGAAGGAGACGGAGCTGTATGAGAAATATGATGCACTGTTGCATGGCAAATCACGGAAGCGTCATGAGAAGATATTGTCCGTGGAATTTATGCGCAAATACATTCACATTGCCAAGTGCATGAAGCCGAAGCTGACGGAGCAGGCTTGCGAAGCGATTGCCAATGAATATTCACGTCTGCGCTCCCAGGAGGCTGTCGAATCGGACGTGGCACGCACACAGCCGATAACGGCACGTACGCTGGAAACATTGATCCGTTTGTCGACGGCGCATGCGCGCGCTCGCATGTCCAAGACGGTGACAATCGATGATGCGCATGCGGCCATAGAGCTGGTGCAGTACGCCTATTTCAAGAAGGTGCTGGAGAAGGATCGCGGCAGCAAGCGTCGTCGCAATGGCAACGGCTCCTCGGACGAGGAGGAGGAGGACGAGGATGGAGCAAATGCAACGACGCGTTCGCCCTCGCGTCGCTCCAAACGCACGCGCACCGAACCGGATCCAACTGTCGACAGTGACGAAGAGATTGAAACGCCACAGCCAGATGCTGGCGATTTGACGCGTCGCGAAACGCGTCGCTCCTTGCCGTCACGCCAGCACAGTGTAGCCGCTGACACAAACTCTGCTAGCCAGATCAGCTCGGAGCCTACAACCGCCACGCCCACAGTAACTGCCAGCATCAGCGATGAACGTCTGGGCGTGTTCAAGAACGGACTGCAGCGTCTGTTCCGCGAGGCACGCGAACAGAGTCTCCCACTGCAACGCATCACAAAGGCGATCAATGAGAACAATGCGGAACCCTTCACGGCCGGCGAAGTGGATGCAGCCATGCATCGGATGACCGAGGACAATCAGATAATGCTCGCCGACGACATTGTCTTTCTTATCTAATACTGAACAATATCTTTACATACATACATATATATATATATATCGAATCTAATCCCATTTCCAACCATCATTTGGCTCGTTCTCCTTTCCAGTACGTACAAATTCTTTATGTGTAGCGATTAAGTCTTTTACATCCTTTTTCATCCTTTTTTTTGTGTGTTCATTTCATATTCATAATAAAAAGTTGGCACTCTTATTATCAAATGCATACAATCAATTGCCTTTAATAACTATTTTCACATTTTTGTATTCTGGCGATGTCTGTCTGATAAGATCTTACTATCTAATTGGGCACGTGGGCTTCAGCTGTCTGCTGGCCGGTTCCGCTATACGCAAAGCGAATTTCGAACTGGCAGCGGCGAGATTCTAATACGCCCAATTCCAATTGGACCTGTTGAGATCTCAGCAACTGAACGAAATGCAAAATATTTGATTTTGAATGAAATTGTTGAGCGAATTGAAAAACTGGAATGTTATAATTCATATTTAATAATACTTCACAAGCATATTTATCTGTATATTGGACATTAATATCAATTATTTATTTTACATTAATAGGAATAATTTGCGAACATGAGATAATGTGACTAAATCGTTGCAGATCGTTGCTAACGGCATTTACTATATATCTGTTTGTGTATATATACAATTTGAAAGTTTCTCTTTTCATTTTTTGTTTTTTGTTTTTTTTTTTGGAAAACATTTGTGGATATGATTAATTTGTACACAAATTCTATTTACTTACGACACTAAATCGGGCTTTAAGGAAAGCAACAAGCAACACACATATACGAATATATATATATATATATATATCGATCTGATTGACAGTGTGTGTCTTTGTTATCATCATTTAACAGTTTGCAGCCATCGCTTAAACATAAACATACATAGAAAATATATAAGGTAAAGGAGTACAAGGAGCTCGGGTTGGGTTGGTCTTGGAGCTGCGGACCAAGAAATTAGCTAACGCCCTGCACAAACGATCAAAGATTCACAACATTCCTCAGATCGGATGGCAACAACTCTTTCATACATTCTATCTGCGCCCTTATCTGCCGCTGTGTGGTATTTGTATTGCCCTCGAGCGCTGCCTTATCACTGTAGAGATTCAGTTTCTGTTTTAGTTTGAGTATCATATCAATTATTTCCACCTCCTGCTTGTCGTGCGCCCAGTGCTCCAGATTGGCCTCGGATAGCGCCTGCAGCTGCAGATCTTGCAGTGTTAGCTGCAGCTCACGGTGCCGCGACTCGTACCAGCCCCGAAAGTTGGGCGATCGAACGAAGCGTCTGTACAGACCCTTCCAGTCGCCCTTGAGCGTGGAGGTTAATTGCGGCCCGGCTGACTCGAGCGTGGCCAGAAAGTCGTCCAGCTTAAAGGAGCTGGCATTGGGCGCCGACTTGAACGGACTGATGTCCTTCTGCAGCGGCATCAGCGAGGCCATATAACGTTCGAGCGGTATCATAAAGCTCTGCGTCAACTCCAACAGATGCCGCCTGATCAGCGCCGTCTGCACATGCTCCGGCCGCTTGGTCTTAATGCCCAGCAGCACCTTCTTGATCAGCAGCTTGTCCTTCTTCAAATACGGCTTGTACTTGGTATGCAGTCCAGCAACCGAGCTGTCCCCAGCAGCAGTCAAGCTGCCATTCAGTATGTTGTGATTGTGACTGCTTGGCTGGGCCAGTTTGGCACTCGCATTGCGTGTATTCTTGTGGAGCTCCTGTTGCATGTTCTTCTGCAAGCGCACAGAGAGGGAGAGAGTGAGAGTTAGATGATTCGGTGTGAGGGGTAGGTTAACTGACCTGATTATCGACCAGTCGCAGCATGTGCGGCCAATCCTTGAGAAGCTTGACAAAGAACGGATTGGTGACGCCCAGTATGACAGCTGGTATGGGCCGATTGCTGCACTCGTGGGTGAATTCCTTGAATTCGCTGTCGTGTATGGTGAAATATGGACGCGCCTCGGCACAGTATTCCAGCGGTGCTATCATTGCCACCAGAGCCTGCACCATATGCGAGCAATCGGCCGGCGAGGTGCCCACCACAACGATTGGCTCCGATGTGATGACCAGCTCCCACAGCGTATACAAATGGTCGATGACATAGCTAAGGCTGTGGAACAGCTCCAGTTCGCTGACAGACGCCAACACTTTGACAGATGTGGGTATCGGTTCCGGTTGCTCGCTGGTCGATAGCGGCGTCAGTGCTGCTGCTGCTACTGCGGCAGCCGCAGCTAATTTGCGGCTGCTGCTGCTGCTGGCCTTCGGTATGCATATCTGATAATTATACTCGAGCAGCGGCAGTTTGAGCGTCTGTCCGACCATCAATGTTGGCCACTGTTTGTTGATTTGATTGCAGGCGCGATGCAGCAGCTCGTTGCCCTCCTCGAAGTATTTGGGCGCCAGCTGGGCGAGCACATCATAGTAGAGATTGAAGAATGGCAGTCGCGTTATTATGATCAGACTCTTTTGGAAATAGCCGCGCGGCAAATTGGGATCGCGCTTCTGGCGAAAGTAGACGAAGCCCCAATAATGGCTGCTGTCGTAGCGCATGGCGGGCGCACAGTCTAAATTGTAATTTTGCATATTGGCGGGTGTTTGGTGTTTCATATTTTGGAACGCTCGCAGGCGCATATGGAACTTGGTGTCGCCCATGCAGCCAGAGTTGGAGTCTGGGAAGGCCATGTAGCAAATGTTGCTAACTTCCTGATCGCTGGGCATAAACTCAGCAGGATAAACGTATTCGAGTGCCTGGCCCAGGTTCAGATCGAACGTAACGACACAAAAACAATGCACCCATTGTGAGAGACGAATCCAATCATCGGGCAATTCGTTTGATACGCTTGTCGTATCATCGTCTCCCGTCGCCTGCCGTCCATCGATTGTGTATTGCCGTTCTTGCCTGGGGTCTGCGTTCATGATTGGTTCAACTTAGCAAGTGTTGTTATTGTGTTCACACTGCATGGGAAGCTGGCTAGTTCTACTTTCACTTCCAATGTTAATGTTATTTATTTGTGCTTGGTTTGTCAGCGTTGCCATCTAATCGTTGCGATACTATTATATATATGCGGGGCAGCAAAGTGGCAACCTTCGAAACGAACGATAGGCAATCGACTATCGATAGCTCATTTGATATCAAGTCTCCACATTTAGTATTCCGCCACAATTCAAACAACCAAAAAAGAACAAATGAAATTTTTCATTTTTTAAATGTAAATATTTTGTATTTGTGATGCTATCCAAATGTAAGTGTTAATGTAGTATCACAGATATGGGTCCCAGCCATGATAAAGCATAGCTAAATTACTTGGCAACGTTGCCTCGTTTATCAAACGCTGCACTTGCGTCTCCACATCCGAGTTCTCCAACAGGCCCGGCTCCCGACCTTCCAGTTTGTACTTGACAAGTAAAAGGGCACGTTGTGCCAGTAAGTTCTTTGATTCCTCATCTGCCAATTAAATATTTACATTAAATCACAACATATTATTATGTTGGATAAATTCGTTCTTACTCGATTGCCGTTGATGTTGTCCTTTGGACAGGACGCCCCAAATGAAGAGCGGATCATAGAGCAACACCTCCAATATGGTGGTAAATACAGATTTGTAACGCCTCAAAATATGCATAATCGCCTCACAGGACTTGGTGAAAACACCATTCGTACCACAAACGCCCATCGGGGCGACAAAATCTCGTGTCAAACGAAAAGGTACCGTTTCGGGGGTTGTCTGAATCTTGCCCTGTTCAAATGCAATGCCTGTTTGAATTACACAAAATATATAATATATAAATATGTGCTAAAAGTTGTTGCATAACATCCAAAAACGCACCGAAGTCAATGTGCACCACTTCGGCCGTTCGGTCATCAATTAAAATGTTTTGTGTATGGCGATCGCCCAGTCCCAGGACGTAGCCCACCATCGAGGTGGTGGCCACGCTGTTCGTATAGGCCAAACGCCGTTCGAACCATTCACCCGGTATGGGAAACTTCTCCAGTAGGAAATAATGAAAAACTGGCTTCACATGCTCACAAATAGTTTGATAGATTTTTCGACGTTCCACTGGCAATTTCTTCAAGCCCGCCTACAAAGTAAATGGCAATAAAAATAATAAATATAATCGAATAATGTAATATATATATATAATTACCGCTGTCAGCTCGCGACATTTGCGATTGTTCCAATCTTTGGGTCGATACTTCATGTGCGCACCGCCAGTGCCGTCGCCAACCAGATAGGTTGCCACTGGTATCGTATTGCTGCACCACTCAAGGATTCCGCTGCGGGCAGATAGCGGGGTCACTTTGTAGGTGCGCAAGTGCAGCTTGCGCTCAATGAACTGTGAATCGCTGCTCAATAGCTCGTTGACAATGCCAAACACCTGCTGCATGACCGCATCCTGCCGCAGATCATCCTTGCCCTTGATCAACTGCGCACGCGTCACACCATCCGAGCAGAGGCACTTCACCTTAATAGGCGCATTCAGGCCGCCACAAAAGGCATACTCCTCCGACCATTTTACTACACCTGCAAGTAGATACTGTTTTAAATATCTGACAATCATCCTACGACATGCATCTTCGCTTACTGATTATTTTATACTTCCGATGCGGCTGCACGGCCAGCTCCAATGTGGGACAGTGTATGCGATCTATTTTAAGTGCGCCAAGCTTTTTCAGCTTCTCGGGCACCACTTTCGGATTGGGGCGATTATTTGGGCCAAGCGAAATGTACGTGTTGGCAAATGTAATCAGAGCTGCAATAGAAATGGAACACAGATTAGTGATCAGCCATGTTGCTTATGGTTAATGGAGATTTTACTTGGAAACATGATTTCGAATTGTTGGCTAGCTTGAAGTGCCGTTGCGTTGGCATCGCCGCATTGACTTATTATCTTCTTGGCAATATCTGCGCGCTGTGTATTGCTGTGGTTTCCATCCATGTGGGCATAGACCAATGGATAGAGCTTGTAGAATGTCTGCTGCGGATGATCTGTGCCGCAGCGCACCAGCAAATCGACAAGCACCTGGTGAAAATTCTCGTTTTTGGAATTGAGACGTCCGGCCAGCTGGCTGACGGCACAAATGAACTTGTAGCTGGGCACCGTCTTGATGGGCTCCTTGATCTTGTCCAGCATCGTTTGGTTTTGGTCATTGGTGAACCAGAGTGCTATAATCCGATAAATTGCGGCGCTAGAGAACCCACTATCCAGCTGGCAATAGATAATATAATGCGAGATAGCCGTGCACAAATGCTCCGTGAGATTATCTTCGATGCGCCGCAGCTCCTGTTCGTCCAGCTTGGCAAATCGATTCAAGTTGATGGCGCCAATTTGGCGATCACGATCGGTTCGCTCGCCGCCAATAACTGTTTCGGCCAATTGACGATTCTGCTTGATGATATCGACGAGCGTCTGATATTCCTGCGACTGGCGATAGTCGTGCAGGCGCTGATACTCACGATCTGCATACTTGGCGATAGCCTCGTGAGCGGCCTTGCGATTCTGATTCTCGAACTGTTGAAATGTATCCCACGCGAATATATCGGGATATTTCTCCATAAGCACCGTCTGATGCGATTTGAAGTGGTCGAGCAGCTTGAGCGATTGATTGAATTTATGCTCCAATGTATAGCTCAAGCTCTCGGCATTGCAATTCAGCAGAAATTCGCCTTGCATTCGCAGCGCCGGCACGCGCTGCAGGCAAAACTGAAAGTCTGTATTCTTGTTCACATGCTGCAATATGGCCTTGGCTATTTGATAATTGCCACGCTGAACATTCGCATCCGCATCCTCCAGCAGCACGGAGATCTGTAAAAAGAGTCTAATAAGTGGGATTCTGAGTGACCTCATCGGACACTTGCCTTTGTGGGCGCCTTGATGTCGGGCATGCCGCGTAGCGTGGATATATATTTCGATGCCAAATTCAATTTGCCAGCTGCCTTGCATTCGCCAATGCACTTGAGCAAATAGGTGTCCACGGGACTCTGATCGTAATACTGTTGAATGCGACGACTGGCCCTAGTACCCGATATTTTGAATAGCGCAATTTGATGGGAGAGTATTTGCTCCTTGCAGCTAAAGCTGCCGTAGGTCAGATCTAGTTCCGTCTGCCATTTGTCGAATATTTCGTTGATCTGTGTGGCGGCCAATTGCTGGCTAAATTGAATCTGTAATACACCAAGTTCAGAGTTAAGTTGCGTATTCACTTACAGACAGACACCCACACACACCTGATAAAAGTCCTCGGTCTGCTGCAGTGTGCAGAGCCAGGTCATGTATTTGTAGACCGTCTGCAGACACTCGACGCTAATGTCGCGCAGTATTTCCTGGACACACTGGTAGGCATTGTTGATAGCCGACGAAGTGTTCTCCTGCTCCCGCTTGCTAATGCTCTTCAGTGCGATATAGTGATGTTTGTTGAACTCCTGTTCGAGATTGTTCGACCAATTCACCTTGTGATGCCGCTCGATTAGCTCATCCCACTGGCCCAGACGCCACAGTGCGTCGTAGTCCACAGTCATGTTTTGGCAAAACCTCTGATAGACATTGGCAAACGACAGCATGCCGTTGCTCTTCATAATGTCCATGCACATCTCGCTATTCGGCGCATCTAGATTATCCGATTCCAGCAAAATCCCCGACAGATTATCGTTCAAGCTCAGGAAATCGACGCGTGAGCGTAAAGGATTCAGAAAACCAGGTATGGCATCGAGACACCCAATCGACTTGTATGCCTATTGAAAACATTTAAAATTTTCATTTCATTCGTTTTGTGTTCGTTCAGCTCGCTTACCGTCTTGGCGGACATTTGAAAGTTTTCATCGGCGAGAATATTTGCGTTTGTCTTGGACGCACAGGCCCACAGCTCCAGATACAAAATACTCAAGAAATAGGCCTGACAATGATTGCTCGCCTTGACCACATTGCCCAAATTAATGGGTATGCTCCTGCGGGCATAGATTAGAGCGAGAGGGAAATCGAGATTTGAGATATTGGCTGCTCTTTACAACTATGTTGGTTGGACCTACCAACTGTTGACCACGCGTACGCATTCGCATATGTATAGGAATCGTTTGATCACTCTCTTATCCTGATAGATATCCGTAGAGCCATTTGCTGAGCACTCAAAGAAGTGTTCCAGCATGTTGCATATGCCATTTAAATGCAGCTCTTTATTGCCCAGCACGAGCTTGATGAATGCTTGCAGACAGCCGCTGGCAAACTCAACGGACTGGCAAGCAAATGCATCGAATCCTTGCCAATTGCAGGCCTTAAACAAAGAGCCCATAAACTTGCACAGCCAGGGCTCATAGTCCAAATGCTCCGTGGCCTTGAGCACGTCGAGCCAATCAATTGATGGAATGCTGTTGATCGAATTCAGGAAACTCATTTTATTTAAACCAACACAGAAGATGCGCAAATGCGGATATTGACCTGTAAATAAAGTGAAGGCGTTCAGACAATTTGACAAAATATTGGTAATTTTTCATGTTTACCAATTAGAGGGGCTGCGCTCTTGCTGTTAACCACTTCCCCGACCACTTGGAAGAAGGCCTCGTGTGTGTTTACATTGAAGTCGAATAGATTCCGCTCCAGCGTCTCCATGATGACGTCAATGAACTGTTCCATTGGCTGCACTGGCGACTGTAAAGGTTCAAGATAGAATTGTAAATAAAAGTATTATTAATTATTGAAAACATAAGCAAGGAGTAGGATTTGGCCATGAACAAAGAAACGGACTAGAAGCTAAGACTACGCAAATAAGGTGCTTTGGATAGCTCTTAGACTCTCCATTTTTTGTCGTGACTCTTGCTGCCAAGACTCTTTCGAGGTTTACATATTGTTTCTTTGATACCTGCTGTATGGACTCGAAGTCAGTTTGAAAGAAATACGAAATATGTTTCATTTTGATTGGTCCGATCTGAGCTAGACATTTGACAGCATCCAGATTGTGATCGTGCTTTGGCGATTCGCGCACCATGCGTATGAGTCGACTGACTAGCTCGAACAGCAGCTGTTCATGGTTCTGCAGCTCCTCCTTGTGCTCAGCAATCTGAATATACATTCGAATGTACAATGAACTATATATAGATATAAATAAAAACAACTCACGTATTCGCGCAGACCATGCAAACGTTCCAAACGATTGGGCTTGAGAAAGGCGTGTATATAGTCGACGACGCTCTGCTTGCTGATCTTTGGCAATGTTGTTTCAAATAGATTCCGCAATGTTTGCAAATATTCACAGTCGTCGCCGCTTTCATCGAGCAGCGCCTGCACTTGCAGCTTCGCCTTGTACATATTGATGTAGGCAACGAGCTTTTGAGTTGCCATCATCTTCAGTTCCTTTGTCTCAACATGCTTGACACAGGCAATCAATAGCTTGGCCAGCTGATCCATATGTGCGGTTACTTGCTGAGTCAGGAAGCTGCCCTTTTCCAGCATCACTTCCACATACTCAAGAGCAGATCGATGCAGTTGCCCACATTTGCCTGCAGTTGAAGGAAAAACTGAATTCGGAAAGCCAGAAGATGTGGAGAGTGCTAACTCACTGTGCAACAGAAAGCGGCAGACAAAGAACCAAACGTCACGCACAAAGTAGCCACAATGCACTTCAATCAATTTTGCATCCGAATTGCGTGTGGATTCCAATTTCTTGGCCGCATCCAAAATGGCATCAGCAATGGTGCAGTACCGAAAGAAGCAATGCAGCACATGACTGGGCAGCACGGCTCGATAGCAATCGCCTTTCAATATGTTCAGCAATTTGACCAGCATCAGCGGCTCTTCAAACATCAGCGTCGAAATGCTTTGTATGCGCAAGTCCGTGGACCATATTTTACCATTCTACAATGTATATAGCAATTAATCATGTCATTATCCGAATCATCTCTATATTGCAGTATACCATAAATTTGGACATTGAACTGAAGACCGATGCGGCAGAGAGATTAAACCACTGCGGCTGGCTAAGGCTTGAGACTGTGCCACCAAACAGTCTATCCAGTTCTTCTTTATCCAAAAGCAGTCTGATAGTTCTGTAGAGTGTGAGTGTATTGAGTTGCTCATCCATCGGTTTCAATTTGAAATGATCCAGATTCTGTTTTAGATTCTCGTAATTTTGACGAAACTCAACGCTTTGCGATTCATCTGAACCGCTTAATTCGACTGCCAAAAAGGCTTTCAGTATGGGCATGGCGTCCTTAAATAGTTTGAATACAGAGCGATAAGATTAATGCAAAAATCAAGTGACTGCCAGGATTACCTCTGCATTTACGAACTTGCTATAGCGCTGTATATCATCGGGCTTGCCGTAAATAAACGTAAAAGCCAAAATGCTACTGGCATGCTTCTTAATAAACTCCTCTTTGGTGTCGTAGCAAAGGAAATATGGAAATCTAAAATAGTTGGCAATTTATAGTTAAGTCTGCAAAAATAGTTAGGCCAGCTTACTTGGAAACGGCCCAGCGTTGGGATATCCATTTGTGTATTAGGCCATCCGCATAGGGCAACAGCAGCTGACGCATGTTCTGATTGTAACACGGCACGTGGCACTGCAAAGCACAGAAATCAACTGAAGAACATTTAAATATATATCCGTATGAGACTGTGAATTAATGGCATTAACTAAATCGTACATTCATTCAATTTATGTTGTGCGCAATAGGGTAATAGATCCTGCAAGGCAACATCCTGGTGGTACGTACTAAAGGCAAAGAAAGCAATTAGCGTTTGAATTGTCACCGCATGACTATTCTGCTCCAGATCCTCGCTGATGAACTGCAATACGAGGCAAGCATCTTATTAATTATTGAACATTTTCATAGTCCGATCGAATCGCACTTACAGTCAGCTTCTTCCAGTCAATGTTTGCGTAGAGCTCTTCGCTAAATGCCAAATGGCTGGCCCACTTGTTGACTGTGTCGCCATCCTTAACGGACACACAATACTTTGTATTGAGCAGCTGCGTCAGCGTCGCAATTGTGGCCAAACGTACTTCAATCGTTGGCATTGTTAAGAACTTTGCCACCGAGAAGCAAATAACATGAAAATTGATCAAATCGTAAATGTTGGGACAGCGTTGCGCTATCAGCCCGATAGAGAGTACAATTTTGACCGATAACGTTGCAGGATACGCTTTCTTCAATGCTATCCGCATTAGTGATATTATCGCCGACATCATATCGTCCAGATCGTTCTCATTATCGCACGCAAAGTAAACGACAGCTAAAAGAGCAAAAGTTTAGACACTTGGCTTGGCTTGTTCTATTGTCCAACACTTACTGGGTATTTCATCAACGATCTTGCTTATGAACTCAACATTGGTGAAGTGATTCTGAAAAATCTCCTTCAGCCTCTCGACTAGCCAAGCAATGCACTCCGGCGATAGGCTTTTGCACTTGCAGAGCAACTAAATTCAAAAAATTACAGATCATTAGCCTATTTTAGTTAGTTAGTTAGTTACCATAGGCTTACCTTAACAACCAGCAGCATGTCCTGGGGCGTGGAGCGTAGCTTAAGATTCCTGACTATATGACGAAACGCCTCTGCGCTATAGGAACTGTTGGCACACAGGCTGCCCAGTATGTGTAGGCAACTGGTCATCAATGCTGACTGCTCTGGGCTATCCACTGTATTCTTGGGTGCGCCTAAAACTCGGCACAGTTAATAAGTTAATATAAGATATAGAGTGAATAGAGCCATATGCTTCTAGTTATGTCTAATATAAAAGAGCAATGATTCCTAATCCTCTAGCTTAGATCTTTTATATAAAACTCCCATGCCACTCACATATTTGATGAAGGAGCACGCCTGTGAATTCGAGCAGCATTTCAATTGGCTGCTTCTCCATATACTGCAGGAGTATGTCATTCGAATTGAACACATCCAGAATGCCGATCTGTTGCTGCAGAATATCACGTAGATCGCTCACGTCCATGGTACGCAACTCCGGCTGAAGCGCCTTGTATTGAAACTGCAAGCCAAAATAACGTGAATTAATGAATGGCTTCATCAAGTAAATGGGTTTCAGGTTTCAGCCCACCTCAACGTGGCTAAGGAACAGGCCGATACGCTTGATGAGCGGACAGTTGACCAAATTCTCATCATCGAACACTTTGTAGTGCAGCAATCGTTCCATGGTGCAGGCCAATTTGTGCAAACACTTCAGGTCTCTCAATATAGATGAGATTGAGTGCTCGCTGGCTGTCGTTATGTTAAGCATGCGCATGAGCAGCTCATAGTTTCTCTGAAACAGACAGTTCTTTGCGGCCGATCTCATTGGAGCAGGCATGCCGCCCGATTGCAGCAGTTGCGATTGAAATTTCTCATCCAAGCAGATCAATTGCTTATTGTACTTGTACAACAGCAGTTGCAGATGGTCAGTGGCTGTGGTAGTTGGGCTGTTAGCATGAGTGTTCGACAGTTGTTGCAATTGCTGTTCATCGAGAAAATTAATGATGCCAATGGCAAAGGTGTCTGCCAACAGTTTGGGCTCAATTGCCGCTATATTGTGAATCATTTGCGTCGCATTGCTCTTGTCTATGGCATAGGCCCACTTGATAATGGGCTCCAGACTGCCAGAGGTTTTGTCCAAGCCGCATTGCTCGGCATATATAAAGATATGGCGCAAGGTTTCGATGCATTCATTGCGCCGCAGCATCTCATTCGTTGTGATGCTCTGCAACAGTGCGTTGCACAGCGTCTGGTTCAGTTTGTTGTGCCTGATGAGCGACTGTAGTATGATTTGTTTCTCTACAATCTCATCGGCAGCGGGTCGTGTCTCTGATATCAAATGAGTGGCAATTTGTGTCCATTTCTCGGCCATAAAGTCAACTGGAATCGATTGCGTTTCCAGTAGCTGAAGCTCCTTCTGCAGCAGACTCGTTAGACAGATGCGCACATTATGCAAATTTTTGCCATTTCCGTAGATGAGAAGGACATCGAGCGTGGTTAACAACGCTAGCTGATAATTGGCTGCGTTTATTATGACATCAAACTGCAGCAGCTCAGCATAGATGGCAAACCTAAAAAAGTACAAATTTCTCTCTTACACATATTCGATAGATAGATAGATGTTTACCATATGGCATTGAAGCTCGTTTCCTGTTTGTCAATTAGATTGATGACATTCTCAAGCTTATCGTGTCGTGGACGTTTGCTAGGCGTCTCCTGATCTCCGCTCGCAGCACTTTGCAGTTCCACATGCCATTGAACCTGCAAAGAGTTTTATATATATAGTAAACATATAAAAGAGTGAAGTTTTTGACGATCTTATTTACAATATAAACAACAATTGCTGCCATTTTAATGAACTTATCCGAGAACTTGTCTGTATTTAGAACAGATGATGCTTTGCTTCGGCCTATGAAATTCTTTCTGATTTCCATATTAACAATTGTGCGCAATTTCAACATAGTTTGCTGCCAATCCTTGTCAATCGGCACACGAAAGGTGCTAAAATCATGATTTTTCAGCTTTGGATATATCGTTTGCAGTGATAATCTGATAGAATCAAAGAATATAATTTTTGTATCGTCGCGAAAGATGTCGTCGTTGTGGAAGTCACAAAGCCTTGGCAATATCTCCTGCATATGGATGCATAGCCTATGATGATAGTTGACCGACAGCTGAGAAATGGGACAGATTAGTTAGGTAATCGACTGATTTTTTTATCGTACTCTTACCTCGCTAACAAATATCTCATAGAGACGCACAATTTCTTGTTTTCTTTCTGCATTGTTTGCCGTTTGAGCGAAATTGGTTAACATGGGTAAATAGTCGACTAGATCGGCATGCAGCTGTACGCGTTTCTGTGCTAGCTGCAACGTCTTTGTTATACACTTCAATATCTTGGAGCGCAGTATATCATCATTATTCAGATTCAGCTCGAACAGATAGGAGAGTATGCCTTGGAAATGCATGGAATGTAATATAAGATTATCGATGGTAGCTGCTGTAACTTACGACTATATTCGCTAACTTTCAATTGTGCTATATAGTGGTTCGACAGAAAGATGCCTCTGTCCAGCAAATTGATGAAATGACTGCCAAAATGTCGCACAACAATGCGCTGCTTGATGCCTTCTTCGAAGGCATTGAATATGGTTGACTTGGACAAGAAGTGACCATTGCCGCATTTGCCCACTGCAAATGGGAACAATAAATAGTTACGATTTACTATTGCTCTACTCTCCAGACTAATATAACTTACTCTCCAAGTTGTATTCAATGAGCTTATCTATGGCATTTCCATATAAATAGCACTTATCTGAAAGCGTTTTATATGACTTCTCATTGGCATCTTGCAAGTTGGCTGCATGCTGCAATCGCATGAATAAACACATCAACAATATATGCAAGTTTATAATTTATAGCAATTATACTTTAAAAATGGCCTCCTTGGTGACGTCAAAGACAGCTTGCCAACATAAATCCTGTTTTTTGTTTAGAACACCGTTAAGGGCCTCCTTTGAGCTGTTAAGCTTTTGGTCCAATTGTTCAATAGCTTTGTTGCGCGTGGTTGGTTTATCACAGCGCATTTCACTGATAATGCGCTGTATTTCATTTAAAAGTGGATTCATATTGCAGATCTACTCCTTCGCCTTGGTTTTGCCAAAAAGAACATTCAAGTTAAACACATTTTGGTGTCGAAACTTTGGGCTACAAGTCAAAGCGGGCAATGCAGTGTGACCTCATACAACAATCGAAAAAATACTAAAAATATATCGATTAATTTGCAAGCTTAAAAATAAGTAAGCATACGTAAAAACATATCATTAAAGTAAAGAATAGTTATTTTTCATAACCATAACACAGAAATAAACTATAAGAAATAATCAATAATACATTAGCTTAAAAAAAAACATCAAAACACTTCTCACAATCGTTTACACATACAGCTATCGCTCATCTTTATAAATGTATCGATAGAAAGTAGAAAATTCCGCCACAAATAAACGGCGTCTGGGCTATATTGTGTTGACGAAATGCCGATTGGAGTTTTTAAAACTGTGCGCGAAGTAAGCAGCGAAGATGCGGTGAGTTACATCAATAAGTGAGGCAACAATAGCATGGTAAACTGTCTTATCAAATTACAGGTACATGTAGCTGCAAATCTGTTGCAAGAGAATGCCGCCAAAAAGTGGAAGACGCAAGCGATCGGCGAGAAATCGGCTCATGTTATTCTTGAGTTCGAGGAGCCGCAACAGATTACCGGCATAGATATTGGCAACGAGCACGCTGCCTTTGTTGAGGTGCTGGTTAGCAAGACGGGCTGTCAGCTGGATGATTTTAAGGAACTTCTGCTCTCCAGCTCATTTATGACGCCCATTGAGAGCAAAAATTCCAGCAATACAAATCGCGTGCGCTGCTTCAGCACCGAAGCTCTGTGTCCCGCCGCGCTGACAGACAAATGGAAGCTAGTGAAGATTGTGTGCACGCAGCCATTCAATAAGCATGTACAATATGGCTTGTCCTTTGTTAAGATGCATGTGGCGGGCAGTGTAAAACCAAAATGCTTGGTGCCCGATAAATTTAAGCTGGCGGCCCGTCCCAATCCTACCTCCAGCCCTACACTGGCTGCCTTGGGTCGTTTTAAGCTGCGCGAAGAGTCACCCGATTCGGAGCCGGATGGCAAAGCTTCACTCTCGCTTTTTCAGCGCTGGAAGGCAACCAGAAATGATGATACCAGCACGGCAGCTGCCATACGAGATGCCGCCTCGCCGGCTGCACTGCGTCGCTTAAGCGACACACGCCCAGCGCCCATTAAAGTGCCAGCAACACAGGCCAACACTCCGTCGAAGGCGACGCAGGCAGAAACTAAGCTCTTGGATCGCAATCGTAACTCACTACTGTTTGGCGACGATGAGGACGAAGATGATGCGGCTGAAGCTGTTGCAGACGCGAGAAAGCAGCGCTTGAGCAAACACATTGAGGCGGATAAGAGCAGGCGGCGCATAGAGCTAGAGAAGGAACTCGAAAAGAAGAAGGACAAAGGCAAGCGTCTGTCTATTGAAAAGCCAGCTGCCAAGCAGGATGAGCAGCTTGAAAAGAAGATAGAGTCGAAGCCAACGGCAGCACAGGCACAAAAGCGACTTTCGTCCTCCCTCGAAGAGCACAGCAAGCCAGCCAAAAAGCCAAAAATCAAGCAGGTGAAATATGCGCCATTTAATCAGCTGCTACGTGGCGTTGTGCTCGTCATCAGTGGCATACAGGTGAGTAGAGCTCTAAATCGTTGACCCATCACTCCTCAACATCTTCAACCTTTGCTCATATAGAATCCAGATCGTGCAGATCTGCGCTCGAAGGCCATAGCGCTGGGCGCCAAGTACAAAGCGGACTGGGGAGCTGGCTGCACGCATCTAATGTAAGTTTAGCTCTAGGAATCTCTAAAGAACGGAAGATTCTGTAACTTTCGAGTTGATCCATTGCAGCTGCGCCTTCAGAAATACGCCCAAATACAATCAGGTCAAGGGCGAGGGTAAAATTGTGACGCGTCGCTGGATTGAAAAATGTTACGAATTGAAAAAGTATTTGCCCTGGCGACGTTATGCATTGGACAATGCGGAAATGGCTCAGCCGGAGAGCGATGAAGAGCTGTACGATGAGTCGCTGAAGCCCACAGTGGATGACGATGATGATGAGCATGACAAGGATGCCAGTCCAATTGCTCTGGCTGAAAGAGTGGGCAACAACAACTGCGTCGAGCTGGAATCGTCTGGACCCGACACAGAGGACGAGCTCGAACGAGTGGCACAACAAAGTAAGTTGTTGAATTGTTGATTTTCAATTAAAGTCTACTAAAAATGATTTACAGAAAAGAAATTGAAGCAGACAAATGAATCAACGGAGAGTTCAAAGTCAAAATCTCTGAATATTTACGAAGTTAGCACAGATGAGGAGGACTATCTACAGGAAAAGCGAAAGCAGTTATAGTTATAAGTTGTGCCAAGTATTGTTTATTTTAATTATGTGTACAGATAAGTTGATATTTTATTTTTCATGTATTACGCCAGTAAAGTGATGTATATATTTTAACTATTTCAAACAACGCGATTTAGTAGTGTTGACAATGGCAACGCGCTGGTCATCCTAATGTTATTATCCTAAGAGTGCGCACGATGGGTTTTTGGTATTTACTATTTAGGATCTGCATTGTAACGAGATTATCAGTAAGGATTATAATATAGCTATTAGTTATGTGGCATTATATATGTACATTTATATATTATGTCGTATATAAAAAAAGTCAATTTTTGCCGCGCGCTTTTGTAGTGTTGTTAAGTGGTGTTAGCACATGCGCTGTTAAGTCCTTGCACAACGCGTTTAGTATTTAGTTAGTATTTTATAAAGGTATAAATCGATATATGCCAGTTCAGATTGAATATATTTGTCGATAGGGATAGTATCAACGTTTTTTTTTTAAGTTCACTTTCTAGCGCAGAACTTTTCCTTTCATATAAGAGAAACAAAGCTGTTTGTGTATTTGCCAGTAAATATACATTATAATGTATATAATGTATATAAAACACTACATTACAGTGTTAAGCATCAGTAAACACATAAGTAAGCATATTTAAATTTCCATATAAATATACAGCAGAAATGGCAGCAAGTAATCGAGATATATGGCAGCTCTGAATGCAAATAATGCAGATTTTATCGTAGCAGCTGGTTGAAAATGCACTAAAAAATACCAGGTGTCATTTAACACTGGCTTGCAATTCACAATAGACTGCTGCATTGGCTGCCCGTGGAAAGAAAAAACGGAGAAAAACAACTTGTGCCTGGGCTCAATTATGCTCGCAAGGATAACATAAAAAGGAACAACACATACAAACAAAAAAACACTCTCGCACACATACGCACACGTACACACAGCAGCAGCAACGTTTCCATAGGATTCGCTGCGAGTGTTGCTTGCGAGCCGAGACTACGAGACACACGGCGTATACGTATTTTCTGTGCTGCTTTGTTGATAAACGGTATGGAAAAATATAAATAAATGAATATATATGTATTGTTATATATATAATTATATATTCAATATAGGACTAGTGCATGCGCTGAATTTTGCCTGTTGAAAAGTGGAACACTCAGACAAAATTTGAGATTCGAAATTCGGTCTTAGGTGAAAAATCGATAGAGAGAGATATAAAAAGAAAGTGTTGATTGTTGACTGTTGTTGTTGTTGTTGTTGTTTTGCAGAATGTGCGACTAAGGATAATAGTAAAAGAGAAAACAAAACAACAAGTTAAGGTTAGTAAAATGCATTTATTGTATACCTATAAATATTTATTTTATATGCATTTGTTTTTTAATTCAGCTCAATTTAGGCAGTGGAAGAAAACGAGTTAGAAAAAGGACATTCAACATGGGTAACGAGACGTCGCTGCCAATGGACATGTGCTCCAACTTTGATGCAGATGAAATTCGTCGCTTGGGCAAACGTTTTCGAAAACTCGATCTCGATAATTCGGGTGCGCTGAGTATCGATGAGTTCATGTCGCTGCCGGAGCTGCAGCAAAATCCGCTCGTGCAGCGTGTTATCGATATTTTCGATGCCGACGGCAATGGCGAGGTGGACTTCAAGGAGTTCATCCAAGGCGTATCGCAGTTTAGTGTGCGCGGCGATAAGCTATCGAAGTTGCGTTTCGCCTTCCGCATCTACGATATGGACAACGATGGCTACATATCGAACGGGGAGCTCTTCCAAGTCCTGAAAATGATGGTCGGCAATAATTTAAAGGATACGCAACTGCAACAGATTGTCGACAAGACAATCTGCTTCGCCGACAAGGACGAGGATGGAAAAATCTCTTTCGATGAGTTCTGCTCTGTGGTGGGCAATACGGATATACATAAGAAAATGGTTGTTGATGTTTAAGCTAAGCGGCCAATAGAGACACAAACACACTCACACACACACACACTTCCACATATATGCACATATATATCGATATATATGGACCTACCAAAGAAATTTTGAACTTCATTTCAACTCGAAAAAAGAAAAACCAAAGCAAAAAACAATTTTGATGTATATGTATCGTACGTACCTCTACCATTTATATATGTATATGTATGTATGTATGGATTTATCTAAGTGCGTGCTTTAGGGGCACAACAACAACTAACTAACTAACTAAAGTAATTATTAAAACAAAGAAGATAAAAAGATAGACGAAAATGTAACAAAAAAAAAAAATCAACTATGAAAACTCGAATTTTATACCATTTCCATGCACCTAATCCTCGAGAGCGTGTGAACCAACATATTGGAATTGGTTAATTGGAATTGTGTAGCTGACAAATCTGTATACTATAATGAACAGCCCTGAAATCCCGAGACCCGCACCTGGAACCACTCCTCACGCTCCTATACCCACTAGCGTCTCTCCTCTGTTCTATGGCTAAGGGCAGTATAACAGTATAACGTATAACAGTATGACAACTATATTTTGTGCCTGGCTCATTTTCAAAATCTAACTGATATTCTATTCTAAAAAGCGTCGGCGTTCTTTTATCTATAGCATTTATATAAAATATATATATATATATATATATATAGATATATATATATATATATATACAGAAATATTATGTGTATTAAATTTTTTCTATTTCTCATTTGGTTTCTTCAATTTTCGTTTCTTTTTTAGATTAACTATTAATTAAATGTTGTGAATGTACAAAATAATTCTTGAATATTGTTCAATTAAAATACAATTGTTAAGAATTAAAACAGCAAAAATCCAAAACTCTAACTAAAATTACCTTTTGCATTCAATTGGGTCTTCCAACTCCATCCAATTGGATTTCGTCGCCGTCACATACATAATTAGCGCCATATACACATATATGCATACATGTAATCATGTTAAGTATTTATTGGGAAACAGTTGGCGACAAAACTGAAAATGAAATGTAAACGAAAACGAAATCTGAAAACGGAATTCATTTTCGTGGCCGTGGCCGAGGCCGAGGCCGAGGCTGAAGCCGAACGCGAAAAGCTCGAACTCTAACTCGAACTCAAACCCGAGCTCCGCTCACACCCTTTTTATGGCAACGATTAACTTGACTTTGTAGGTCACACGATTTGTGCATGTGTATGTGTGCGTTAGCGATGTTAGTGAGTGCAGCATGAGACACGAGACAGCTGAAACGATGTATTGTAAAACCTAGTTGAGCTTAAGAGCAGTTTTTCTTAATATATTTCATATATCATCTGAACTTGAGATATTTAAAAGAAATTTAAATTATTATAGCATTATTCGATCCATGTCGGAGCTTCAGTATATGATGATTATGTTTCTTTGGCAATGTATCGTCAAGACACAGGTCCATCTCTAAGCTTGTAAGTCATATGTATTCGCGTGTATGTGGAAGTGGAATGCATTTTAGCTAGGCAAGCGAACGTTTAACCGTTGTATAGGAAAGCCAATGTCCGCAGGACAACACCCACCATATATATACCCACCATTATATATATAGGAACTTATGGAATGTGTTTGATATCAATAAATTATTATCTGATGTCTGTGTGGCAGTCACGTTAAAGTTGCCTCGTAAATAATATGCGTTAGCCTCTCTCTCTCTCTATATATATATATATACTTTACATATATCGAAAATTACAAAGTATTCTCTCTGTGTTTTACCTTGGATGGCGTAGTCCTTAAAGTTCGGTTGTTCCATCGCTCTGACCTTTTTCATATTAATTGGATTGATTAATGTGCTCCATTTTTGGAATGTACGGAACTACAGCAATGGCTACACGCCCACATGTACCACGCCCCCTACTGTCACCCCTACTGTCCTGTCCATATATTACGACCCTTGTCGGAGCTCTTCTTGACATTCTATCGTCTGGACATTAATCCTAGTGACTGCTGTTTAATAATTTATGTGACTCCAGCCCATTCCAATCGGATTCTAGTTAGCTTTATTGCATATGTTCTATAGGCTAATGAGTAATATCAAAGGGTATTTAGCTAGTTCATACGTTTCATTGAAGAAACTTTGAAAATTAATATCAGCTCAAAATCTTTACGAATCGTTCAACTGGAATGCGTTTGATTGGAAATTGGGGTTCAAACTGCGTTAGTTGGCAAAACCTAACGAAAAAAATGTGAACAATTTGTGTATGCGTTGAATCGCCCACAAAAGTATGCTACACAAATTTTTTTATGTGGAATTAATGCAATTGATTTTCTGTGCCAATTAGCAATGGCTGAACGGGGTATTTTATTTTGCTTAACAGGTGTGTAACAGACCACTGAAGGCGTGGCTGGCGCCTCTTATGGTATTATTATGGTTGATTAAGAATATATACCTATATATATACATATACTTATGCTACACATGTTAAAATAGCCTAATTTATTTATCGATTTTGATCGATTTTATGAAAATAACAAAACGTTATCGATAGCTTGAAACAAATTTAAGTTATTCAAGTTATAGACTCAAGAGACGGAAGCAAAATCAGCAAAATCAGCAAAATAAGTATAGATATATACATACATAAAGTAGATCAAATCGATACAAATTGATAAAAGTCGATAAAATATCGATAACTAAATAAAATTTTTTAGCATATTTGGTTGATTTGAATAGATAGAAATTATATAAAAGAACTCCATTTTTGGAATGTCTTCTTTCATTTTGAATGCAAGAAACTTGAGATTTCTCGTCCAACATTTGAATAACTATGGAAATTTGTTGAAATCTTTGAGGTTTTGGACCAAATTGTATCTATTGCACATACTTTTTGAGCAGACCTTATGCACTAGCGTGATGAAGGGTAACTGCTAGTCGAGCACTTTCCAACAATATTGTATTTGCTGGGAGTTTAGCTTCTATTAATTATAGTATATCATGGCAATAGCTTGAAGTCAAGATATCTTACTACACTCGTTTGTCTCTTTAAAGTAGTCAGTATATAAACTCTCCCTCACACACACACACATATATATATATTTCCTGTCTGAGCATTTTCGCTGTGATTAATTTGTTTGTTTCCGTTGAAGCAACAAGCCCTCCGCTAATCAATTCAAATCAAGATTAACGATGCTCGGCCCAAAAAGCCTTCGAGTTATCCAATTAATGGGGGAAGCTGTGCAAACACTTTTCAGACAATTTCATCTCTTGATTGATTTTTGCTCTGTTCAATTTTGGCAAAATATAAATATTATGAAGAAGACCTTATCAAAACCCCCCCAAAAAATGTATGGTAAAAAAGTCAGATTAAGAAATTTCTAAAAGAATCGAAATAGGTACCTATTGTAGAATTCTACCTTGACCCAATGAAGTTGTACAGTAAAAAAAAATCGAATATGTATCATATGAATATGATATATATATATATATATATATATATATATATATATATATATATATATATATATATATATATTTATATAAATACTATACACTACTGAAAACCAATATACCCTCTATGCACTGGCTGAGCGAGCATAGTTAATTATACTATTCTCGCTTAAAGGATATTTACATAGTATATTTTTAGAAAGTTTTCCTAAAGCAATGACCTGTTATATGTATTAACGGTAAATGCTCGTGTGCCTGTGTGTGGCTGTCTTTGGCATATGAAGTCAGCAGGCCAAAGCATAAGTTCACATAACTGTGAAAGTTTATTGCTTTCGTTCTTTAGTTTTTTTGCTTTATTTTGTTTTCGGTTTTGTTTTTGCAATAAACATCATTTTCATAATGCTAAAAGACAGCTACAATCAAGAAAAACAATGTGAAATCAATGTGAGCACACACACACACTCACACTGATGCATATACATTTGTATGCCTGTGTGTGTACGTGTGTGTGTTAGGCGATAAAAGTTTATTCGTGCCAGTTTGGAGCAGTAACCGAAAAAAAGTCAACAGCAAAAAACGCATACAAAACAATGTGAATGTTAAATGCGAAAATACCAAAAACAACAATCAACAATCAACAACCAAACGCCGTTAGCGCCAGGAGCGGCATCCCACCAGTCCCGCTAACCCTGCTGAAGCCAACAACAGCAACAGTAATAAAAACAAAAACAGAAACAAAAAAAATGGAACCATAAATTTATCATTACAGCAGTAGCAGCAGCAGCAGCAGAAGCAGCAGCCGCAGCAGCAGCAGCAGCAGCAGCAACTACCTCAACACTGCAGCATGTTCCCAAAGTAACACACACTTACTTACGCACACGCCCACTGAGGTGGGCAGCAGCACCGACGTAGCCGGTGACGCAACGGAACTGCGGGAACCATGCATGTGCTAAAGTATGCAGGAGAAAGGGAGATGGCAGGGGTATGGTTGCGTGCTGATGCAGAGCGCGCGGAGCTGCGAGGAAGGGGGACGAACAGAGGAACGACAAGCGACGACGCGTCGTTTTGACTGACAGCGAGACTCCCGGACTGTGTGTGTGTGTGTGTGTGTGTGTGCTGGCTGGCTGGCTGGCTGGCTGCCTGCTGTTCCCAGTGCTGCTTTGGCATGCACTCGACGATGTCGACGCTTCGTTGCTTTTTGGGCGATTGGTATGAGAGAAGGTGAAGAGGAGGAGAGAAATGGGAGAGTGGGGTGCCGCATGGGCATGGCAAAAGGAGCCCGACCCGGACCCAGGCACTGGGCCACGGGAACGAGCAACTAAAACGAAGCAAAAACCGAAGCGTCAGCGCACACGGCTGGCTGGCTGTCGGGTAGGTAGATGGCGCTGGCTGGGTGGGTGGCTCTTGGGTTAGGTTTGGCTGACTGCCTGGCAGCGGGTGAATGCGCGCTGCCAACGTCAGCAGCGACGCGTCGCTGTGTTGTCGTTGCTACGTGTATACACGCGGTGCCGAGCAACAAATTGAGTCAGTATCGCACAAACAACACTAACGGAAACATCAACGTGCAAAGCGAGGACGGACAGACGTTTTCTGTCCCGACTGTCTCATTGTGCGTGTATGTGCGAGTGTGTGTGTGAGTGCGTGTGTGCGTGTGTGTGTGTGTGCGTGTGTTGTTACTTTTGGCATTTGCATTTGGACAAACGCGTGCAGTGCAAAGCATACTGTGTTGTTGTTGTAATCACCAGCAAACAATAAGCAACAGCAATAAAGAATACAACTATACAATCACAAAGACAAGAGCAAGCAAGAAGATTACAGCAGCAGCAACAACAACAGCGCATACAGACAATATTGCAACTCTAAAAATAGCAAGCAAGCGGCAAACTTCACCGTAGCTTTATTTTTTTTTGTACTTTTTTTTGGGTTAGTTTTTTTTTTTGGGATTTCTTTTCGCCAGCTCATTTGCGCGTCGACTGCACTTGAGTAATGCGAATATATCAATTCTGTTTGTTTTTTGTCCCGTTGTTCAGCGAGCAAGTGGAAAAAGTTTAAGAGTCAGTGACAAGCGAAATGTGCATACAGCAGCAACAACAACAACAACAGCAATAGCAGCAGTAACAGCGACAGCAACAGCTTTCGACTGATGTTGCTCTAGGTATATAGCCCAAAAAGTATCTATAATATCTGGCTTACACATGCTCATGCTTCAATGGCAATATGCACGAGCAGCAGCTACAGCAGCAACAGCAACAGCAACAGCAGCAGCACCATTTGTGACAGCAGCCGCATGCAAAATATTGCCGTTACTTACAAGCAAGCAGCAGCAACTATTGCTAACTGAAATAGCAACCACAACGACAACAGCAGCAGCAGCAGCAGCTACAACAACAACGAATATTGCAACCAGGCGCCGCATACTATCAAAGTGGGTACCGTTAAAAGCACACACATACACAAACACTTATATACATATATATATATATATATATATATATATATATGCATATATATGCATTATGTATGCTAGTTTAACCAACAAACTGCAACCAAGTGCAAACAGCAGCAGCAAGAACAACAACAGCAGTTGCCCGTTAAGCGCGTTTTCTAAATGAGTTATGTGCTCATGTACTCATGTACTCATGTACTCATTGTACTCATTGTACTCATGTACTCATCTATTCTTGCACACATTTACACATGTGCCTGCATATATGCATTTACATACATCGACATCTACATCTACAAATATGTGTGTGTATGTATGTGTGTTTGTATGCATTGGGGCATTGGCATTTGCGCAGCTTTGTGGCATGCAGAACCCGAGTTAACCACAAACACAATATATACAATTCCAAAAAGCAACCAAAAAACCAGTCACAATGTTGCAGTCGGACGCCACCGACTGCATAATACTCGTTCGCGTCAATTAAATCCTTACATTCAACGATAATTATGTTGTTAAATTGTTGGTTTCTAGCTTTAAGTCCATAGAAGATATGGACTTAGATATATCCACAATATATAGTTTTGATCTTAGGTTGTCTATGCCCGAGTTTATAAGATGATCGTATCAACGATTCCAAGTTGCAAGTTTTCAAACAAAGGGACAGACAGTCAGAGGGTCCTTGCACGAAAGCTAATGTACTCTCTTTAGTGCGTGAACGAGTATAAAAACCTTTAGCAACTATATATATGCCCCTCTCCGTCCACCGCCCTTCGCCTCTCGCCCCTCGCTCAGTTGAAGTGCTTGGCAATCTGGACAAAAAGCTTTTCGTGTCAGCCACAGATCCTGGGCCGAGTGTTGTGCTAGCTTAAGCTAGCTTATTGCCAATGCGATAACACGGGTGAGTGAGAGAAGAAGAGAAGAAGGGAGATGGAGTGAGTGAGAGAAACAATAACTGTATATACTGTATGCAGCTGTAGCTATAAATGCTATTGTCGCATTTCTTCATTTATTATTTTCAAGTGTTTACTGTACTTTCAAATTTTTGAATCAATATATCAACTTACATACATATGTATATGTATATATATTTATATAGCTCTTAGGCTAGTTGAAAGTTCATGTTCAAGTTACAGTTACTTGGCAAAGTTTTGCTCTGCTCTTGTTGTTCTTCTTTTGTCGGCGACATGTCTAAATGGCTTTTACTGTTTTTATATTCTTTTCGTGTAAGTTCGTTATTTTTGTAATTTTTTTTCGAAATTCCTTTTCATATTGTTTAAGCAAAGCGTTTGGTTGGCTTTGCTAAAGCTTCTCTTCAAGTTGTAAGCCTTTTTTGAGTCCGACAAAGCGTTTATGTAGCTCTTCGCTAAATGCAGCTGTTAAATATTTAACAGGCACTTCGATTTTGACATTGTATTTAGTTTGCTGTCAGTTTCAGTTGCGCAGATTGTGTCTAATATAGTTGAGCTGTTCAAATGAACAAGTGAACTTAATCAGTGAGCAGCGAACGTTTGGTCTAGAAGTTATTCAATTAATCATTGGCTAAACGTTCTATTAAGTGCTTCAGTTGTTCATGAGCCACTGGTTCCATTGCACTATTCAGTTGAATAACTGCTGGACATAGTGCTGGACTAGCTCATGACTGATACTTTAGCTTGATTATTTGATAGTTCACTGAACGTTTCGAACGTTAATGAACTAAATGTTTGTTTGTGAATTTAAGCTCTTCATGAATCGAATGGTTCTTTTGAACTAGTCAGCTGCAATCTATTAAGTTGATCGTGAACTATTAGTTCTATTGAACTATTCAGCATTAGTATCTAAAAAATTAAGAACAGAGCATTATCGTATGCAATTCATTAGACAGTCAACAGAACTAGTTCATGAGCTGCTTAACTAGTTCATATACGATACTTATAGCATAGTTATTTGATTGTTCATTAAACGTTTCGAGAGTTCATGAACTTTTCATCTGCTGATCATTAAAATAATTGATTTGAACTGAACCACAAATTCCGAACTCAATTGCAATAAGTCTCAAAGTTATTCGAGAGTCTCTGATCTTTAGTATGTCCCGCACGTCTAGCATGGAAAACATATTAAAATAGATTATTTTCACATGTGGAATCCAAACACTTAAACGAAATATACAAATATATAAATATTTCATTCGTACATCAAAACAAAAATTTATATATCTTCTACAGTTGCTTGAGTTAATAGAACCATTCCCCAGTGTAAACAAAGATCTTGTATTTGATTTTGCGTTACGTTTCAATGATTCTTTTCTCATTTGGCTTTCACTCTTTTCGGCAATATCAATCATATTACGATTTCTGTTTATATCATTTATCAAAATATCTCGATTCATAAAAACTGCTCGCTTGATGAGCTTATGGAAATATTTATGCGATTCGGTTTGATTACAAAATTGAAAAACAAAACCATTCAACGTCTGCATTAGTCACGTTATGAGATGGATCCGAAGAAGGCAAAGAAGCTTTATATGAATTGCCAGCTATGCAATGTTAATTAACAGCTGTAGTTGCTAAAGGTGAACAGAGGCCTGGCTTTGCACCAACACCAAGAGTAATAGTAAAAGCAACAGCTAACAGCAACAGCTACAGCATTTATTTATAGTAACATCATTAGCTAACAGCAACACCTTATAGCAACAGCCAACAGTAACATCATTAGCGAACAGCAACTCCTATTATCAAAAGTTTACATATGTAACTTCAAAAGCTAACAGCAACGCCTAACAGCCATAGCTAACAGCAGCTGCTAACAGCATCTGCTAACAGCGAACAGCTAACAGTAACACTTAACAGCAGCATCAATGCTAACAGCAATAGCTAACAGCAATAGCTAACAGCAATATATAACATCAATAGCTAACAGTAATAGCTAACAGCAACAACAACAGTTAATAGCAACAACACTAGCTAACAGCAATTGCTCGCATTGCTAACGTGAATCAAAAAGATCAAATGGATTCTATTTAAAAGCGAAAGCGCATTAAATTTCTGTCTTTATGACAACTGTAAAAGATTTTGCCAAATATAAATTTTTTGCTAACTCAAGAAAAATTCGCTTTCATTTGCCAAACGTGCAGCAAGCTAAATGTGGTTGAACTTATTTTGCGAGCTCTGTGCATTTCTGTAAGTGCATATATATATATGTATTTATACTTATAATATACATATATATATACATATATATATATATATATATATATATATATATATATATATATATATATATATATATATATATGTATATATCTATAGATATGTCTGCGACTCAGGAATTTGCCATAAATAGCGTCCGACGAGCTGTTTTTTGTTCCCGATGCACGGGCCTACGGGACTCCATCTATCTCGCTCTACGGCAACTGCACATATAGTTAACGAGTTCTCGTATATGTCTCCCAGATGCATATACATATGTGTGCATATATATATATATATATTTACATATGTATTTCCTATATGCTTGCCTTAATTAAGAGCGAAGTTCATTTTTATGGTCTGTTTGTGAATTTTAAATAGTTTTTTTTGTGTTTTTATAGCTTGCGTTTTATTTATTTGTGTTTCCTTTAGAATACCTGTGCTCAAAAGGGCATTATGAATTGCTTATGCAATATGCAACGCTGCGTATATATTAATATATATACATTTTGATATACTGAAGTATTGTTCAAGGAGTTTTGAATATATCGTTGATAGATCTGCTGATTGATTTACTAATCATAGCTACTCTTATATACAGTTCTATATAATACAGCTATAAGATAGTGCGCAGAGTAAGGGTATTCCCCTTTGTGCATTAAGAGATCTATATACTTTCTATATATGGCTCTTAAATGGTCTGCAAGATTATCTAATTTTTATGATAACATCAATCTTTCACCGATGCGTTCAACTATATCAGTATTATTTGAATCATGTGCAACACTAAAAATGAGTTAACAGGGTATATAGCTTGTATATTACAGGCAGAAATAGGCGTGGCCGTTGCCAATAAGTATATATATATATAGACTTTTATGAGGTCAACACTTGAGCTAATAGAGATAAGTTGATCTGTTTATTCGTCTACAGATGAAGTTTGATTCAAATCATCGATAGCATTTCATAAAACCGATAAAAATCGATGACAAAGCTTAGTGCTTTAAGCATGCTTAACACTTTTGGGTAGCTAAAGTATATACAGCTAATGAATACTCTACTTTTTGCTTGTTCTGTCTTTCATTTCTTTCACAATTGTTAGTTGGAAAACTTATTGTTAAAGTTAAGGGTATCTGCTAGTCGGTCGCTCTCTTCTAAATATGTTGTTCTCCTCCTTCTTGAAAGGGAATCCTATGTTCGGCTCGAACTACGTGTAATATTTACACAGCTCCAACTGGAATTTTCCAGAATGTAAAATTGAATTTGATATTTATTTACGCTGAAGTCATCTCTGTAATTTTTAATCGCCAGCCGTTGCTGCTGCTGCTGTTGCTGTTGCTGGTGGTTAATGAGCAGAAAAGCGCAATTAATGCAAAACGTAATCAATCATTCGGTTCACTTAACCCATGGCCTTCTCTCGTACTCTCACTTTTTTCCATCTTAATGGAATTGAGCATATGGCAAACTTTTTGATCTGGTATGGATTTCAGAGCTCATTACGAATAGCCTGAGCACGGCAGTGGCTGACGGGGGGCGTATTGACATCTTCCTTGCCTTGGGCGTAACAGTCGCAGTAGTTTTAAATCAGAAATTAACTTTTTAATTCCCTGAAACTTTGTAATTAAATAAAAACAAAGGAATAGCCTTAAGTCTAATGAACTTGAGCTAGATTATGAATGAAATTAGTCGGATAAAAGCTTTATAAACTGTATGTAGAGAAAAACTAGCTAAAAGACTATTTTAAAAATATTTATATATAAATAAATCGACATGCCAACAATATGCAGACAGAATATAACTAGAATAGGAATT